GTGCTTGCTCTCCCTTGTTGAATACTAACCCAGAGCCAGGTTGGGTACAACCAGCTTGGATACTAACATACACACACAGCTCGATCGACTACAAGTGAATGATGGGAAAGAATGGGAAAAGGAATGCATCATACTGAACCAAAGCAATTATTGACATGTGCAAGAAGGAATTAACTCGTTACTTCTAGCTTTTTGGGGATCGCAGCATCTGGGCAAAGCGAAAAAAATCCCACCCGAAGAAGAACTGGCTAAGATTTCGATTTGCTCAGAAAAGATGGCAGGCAGAGTACAACTGATACCTCCAGTCTGGTTCCCCACTCCAGTGCGCACGCACGGGTCGGGGAGCAGAAGAAGAATAGACGTCTAGCAAAAACCGACACGCACTCCAGGTGCGGCTCGGTCATACCTCGCCCCGACTCATGAAACGAACCCCGACCCAGTGGACACTCGCGGTCGAGGGTCCACTACTCGGGGTCTTCCGTCATCCGTCATCGTCGCGTTTGAAATTGAGAGAAGACCATGTGCTACGATATATCCAGAGACACAACATCCTTGGCGCGTTAATATCCAATCGTTGTCGTTCATCGCATCATCCACCGGTCGAATGCCGGTATCCTGGGATCGAGAATTTACTCAGACAGGCCAAGGTTCTCCTCAGCAGGGACCACACGGACGGTGTTGGTGTGGCCCTGGCCACCGCGCCAGCCCTGGACACAGACGATGTTGTCGCCCTTGTTGATGATGCCGAGCTTGAGACCGTGGTTGATACCCCACTTGAGACGGCGGTCAACATCCTCCTGCCAGATCTTGACGTTGAAGTCGGGCTTCTTCTCGGGGAAGAGGAAGGGCCAGACACCACGGTACAGGTGGGAGTACCGGGAGGCCTTGGCGTTGCGGGAGACCATGATGATGGGGCAGACGGGGCGGTACTTGGAGACATAACGAGCGGTTTGGCCGCTACATCGAATGTCAGCATGTCATTCGATCCGACAGAAGCGTGGCACTTACCTAGTGGTCAGGACCACGATGGCACCAGCGTTGAGTTCCAGACTGGCGCTGACGGCGGCCATGGCGATGGACTCAACAGTGTCGGTGGGGCGGGGAGCAAGGTTACGGAGCTCATCGAAGACGTTGAAGTGGGGGATGGCAACCTCGGCGAGCAAGCAGGTCTCGGACATCATCTTGACGGCCTCGGAGGGGTAGGAGCCCTTGGCGGTCTCACCGGACAACATGACACAGTCGGCACCGTCGAGAACGGCGTTGGCAACGTCGGACACCTCAGCACGAGTGGGGCGGGGGTTGTAGGTCATGGACTCGAGCATCTGGGTGGCGCAGATGACGGGCTTACCCTTGATGTTACACTTGGCGATCATCATCTTCTGGGCGATGAACACCTTGGGGGCGGGGATCTCGATACCAAGGTCACCACGGGCAACCATGACACCGTCGGTCTCCTCAAGAATCTCATCGAAGTTGTTGACACCCTGCTGGTTCTCAATCTTGGCAATGATCTGGATCTCCTTGCCCTCCTCGCCGAGGACCTCACGGATCTGACGGATGTCGCTGCCGCGGCGGATGAAGGAAGCGAAGACCATGTCGACGTCGTTCTTAACACCGAACTTCAAGTCGGCAATATCCTTCTCGGACAGAGCGGGAAGGTCGACATCAGTGCCGGGCAAGTTGACACCCTTGCGGGAGGAGATGTTGCCGTTGTTCAAGCACTTGACGCGCAGGGTCTTGTCATCGACGACCTCCAGAACCTCGAAGGACAGGATACCATCATCGACGTAGATGAGCTTTCCGGGAGCAATCACCTTGGTGATGTTCTTGTAGTCAAGGTACCTACAAGGATGTCGATCAGTCTCCGTCGACTCGAGTGCGCCCACAATTGACGACGTGGTGATTCGCGAACATCACCTGCAGCGAAGTGACTTACATGTTCTTGTCATCACTGGCAGTAGCATATTGCTCATCAGTGGTGATGTTCAGCTCGTGGCCAGCCTTGATGGGGATATCGGCGTCGCCGACGGTGTTTCCGGTACGGATCTCAGGTCCTTTCTACGGTCGGGTCAGATGCGTTGTTCGTGGCGCCCGGTTAGAAGCACTTACGGTATCAAGAGCAATAGCCAGAGGACGGCCTTCCTGAGTGCGAGCAGCCTCGCGGGCGTTGTCGATGACGGATTGGTGGTACTATCGAAATCAGCATCAAGACGGAGCGGTGGCTTCAGGCCAACTACTCACCTCGTAAGAACCGTGGGAGAAGTTCATGCGAACGACGTTCAGACCAGCTGGATTACAGGTTAATTCCCAGAAGCTCCCCGAGTCGGATACTGTTCAACGTACCTCTGCGGAGCATGTTAATCTTCTCGGCGGAGTTGGTCTTGGGACCTAGAAGCGGGGCAATGTCAGTTACAGACGAAATCATGGTCGCTGAAGCTCTACTGCATGGCAATCAATGCAGAGCGCCTGGAGGATGAGCGTACCGATGGTTCCGATGATGGAGGTGCGGCGGAAGTTCTTGGAGGGGACCATCTCCGTGTTGAGCTTGGAGTGCCACTCCAGCTTCATACGGTTGCTCAGATGGTCGAGAGAGGAACTGGCGGCCATTTTGGATAAGGTAGGTATCTGTACTGAACCGGATGGAAAGTATCAGAAGAGGTGAGTGAAATTGGAGAGAGGAGAGGTTTGGAGAGAAAGAAAGAGAGGAGGAGGAGGAAGAGAAGAAGCAGAAGGGAAGAAGAGAGAGAGAGAGAGAGGGGGGGGGGGGTGGGAGGAAAGATAGGAAAGAAAAGATGGACAGCGGCGGATCCGGTGAGTGAGCGACCGACTAGAGCAAGTCAAGAGGGGTGTGGGTGAGCGAGTGGTCCGTTCTTCGGTCTGGAAAAATGTTGGCAGCCGTTTTTTCCAGGTTGCTCTTCTCTCCCCTTTGAGCTTCTCGGTCGGTTCCCCACGGGTAGCTGGCCTTCGTGCCTTCGTTTCTACGTAACTGAACTCATTGCTATTATTAATAATGGCTTGTCGTTCATGGCAACTTGGACTTATCTTCGGACTACTACTCTACAACTCTCGAGAAACTATCCCAATAACTAGGAGGATCATCCTCTGCTTAACCAGCATCCCGAGTCCAGTCTGCCAGCTACCGTGTACATCTCCGTCCAGTACTAGGGAATTCTGTATGGAAACCCCGCCGCCAACCGGAGCGGAATCCTCAGGCACACCTCCCCGGCGACTCTCCCAATTCGGTTCCATGTTGAGGATGATCCATGATCCATGATCCATGAGGTTTTACCCTATCAACTCCATCGTAGCCTCCTAGTCTATCACCAGCCATTGTCTCTTGGTGCTTTCCGTCCAGAACCAGCTTGCCCCGATGGATCAAGGACCACATGACAAAACCACTGGAGGAGACTCCCTCCCCACCATGCCCATCACTTCGATCAATCAGGGGCCGCAGAGGACGAATCTCCCATCTTTTTGCTGGGAACATGGAGCCGAAGTGGATGAGACCAACCCGTAGGGCTGAACAGTATCCCTCAGCAGTCAGCACCGTACGGAGACAATCAGTCCAATTATAAACCATGGCGAGTATGCAACCCGATTTCATGTGTGCGACTCTTCTTCCGGGGATTGATGATCGGAGACCTCCGTCTCCGTCACACACCCAGACTCAGGCGAGCAAGAGCAGTATCAACTGAATCTGGTTAGGTGTCTCTCTCTTTACGCAAGCTAACCATGCACATCCGATCATCACTACCTCACTTTTCCATTATACGGGAGTATATCTGTATTGTGTATAGCAAGCTGTACGTACTTCCGACCTCCGCATCATCTATGCTCTTCCATCTCCGATTGGTCAGACTGCAATTCACCAACCAGGCATCTCCGATGTTTTCAAGGTTGATAACGAGAGCCCTGAGCCCAGGCTCGGTTGCCGACTCGGGACTCCCGGTGAACCTGCCATTCAAACTACCTCTGTTGCCTCAGAGACCAGGCCGCAACTGACCCTCCGCGGCGGCCCGCACTTGGCTTTCTCCGTTCAGAGACTTTTAGACTAAGCCCCGGTGCGCGGAGTTTCTGGCCTGCCCGGCACGCACGGCAGTTACTCCGGTCCACACAGGTTGTTTGGATTTACTTCGTGTCTGACTCGGAGATAGGTGGTTGTTGGATCCGTTGGGTGTTGGTGCCTTGGGGTGTCGAGAGTGAGCTTTTGCGTTTTCTGTTGGTAGGAAGGAGTCTTGGTGTTTGGGTGAGGTACTGTACTCGTGGCCTGTCACTTGATGTGTAGTTTGTATGGAGATAAGGGCGATGGCTCGCTTCTAGGTTGTAGTCATTGCGTTCGATTACTGATTGTCGATGCATATATCTGGTTCAACGCAAACCCCGAGGTCCTCGATTGAGGATCGCAGACTACTCATCAAGTATGTCTTTCTTTCAGAGCACTATCTTCGGCGGCAGTTGCTACCTATAGTAGTTATACTAAGCTGTCTCCCTCGACACAATCGATATAGTGCATAAGTGCTGGTTCTTCAGCTCTCTGCCCCGGGTGTGGAGACAAGAGATACTGTACTCGACATACTATTGTCGACAAGACTCCTGCAGTGTGCATTCAGCACAATACCAACTTACCCAATCAAAAGCAGTTCCAAGCTGGGATAAACTCCACAGTGTGAATGGACAGTGACTAGCATCTTGAATTCAAACTTCACATCTACATCTCACACATCAAGATCCCCCTCCAAGGAGACACCGACAACCCCAGCACAGCCACAAACAAGCCACCCAGCCACCCCACGCACACACTGACAACCTGAACCTTGAACCCATCCGCCCACATCCTCCCTTCCTCAGGGCTCCCTCACCGCCTTTCCATAATCCTCACAGGTGCCTAAAACACTGGCACTGCAGTCTGGACAAATCACTCGCCCACGTCATGTGCCCGCGAAGCACGTGAACCCCTTCCCGCGGGCGGGCGGGCTTTCTCCTTCCTCCATCGTTCCCAACTCCTCACGTCTCCGCTCCGAATCAGCTATCGACCTACAGGCAGCGCTTCACTCTTGAAAATCAGAAGTCTGAAAACAAGGCCTGCTTGAAAATGTAAGGCTACTGGGTTTCCGTTCCTTGTCAGGTTAGAGAGAAAGAGCTCTAACGGACGGCGCAGATATCGAGTGCAACTTCCCCTCTTCTCCTCCCGGTTGTCGATTATCGACTGTCGATCTTCTTGATCTCGACTTCCATCGTACCATACCACACACGCACGCACGCACGCACGCACGCACGCACGCACGCAGAATTCAAGATGGTGGGTTTTTGCTGCCTTCTTCAACAAGAACATGAAACTGGCGGGTAGCATACGCGAACCGGGGAGAGAAGTGTACTGATTTATGACCGGTTGGTCGGGCTACTAGTTGGGTCGTCTCAGTCATTACGCTTTTGATGCGGTACTTAGTACGTGTTTTTTTTTTTTCATTCTCTCATCGGTCGCCGAGGGCAACCCCTTAAACAACAGATGCTAACCCGCCTTCGCTTCTACCAGTCTCCGCCTTCCTGGCCGGCATCAAGCGGTCGACTGGATTAACGTAATAACTCCCTCCTACTTCCCGCGCATGTGCAGTTTGCGCACCTCAACCTCGGACGGTTGAGGCTGGGTTAACTTCAACCTCGTATATCAAGCTAACTCCTATTCCTCACGCCTGCCCCTGTCCCGGGTTGTGCGTGGGGTCCTTCACAGCCCCAGTCTCGAAACCGACAAAATCACCGATAACAAGGATTTCAAGCAGTGGATCGACAAATACCTCGGCGTGGGCGAGTGGGTGATGGACCAGTCCGTTGCGGTCCTCGGGTCGACCAGCTGGTTTGAGCGGAGACGGTAAAGGTTGATCGTCGTTGGCGGCTGAGTCGGCTGCCCCTCTTTCTTTCCTCTGTTTCGGCCTAGATGAAGTGGCAGGGTCGGTGAACTTGGAACGGAACTTCGATGTCGGAATCGGTTGCAGCGCCCTTTTACATGCCTGTTTCGGTTATGGTTGGCAGGATAGAGGAAAGAACTCCCCCTCTTCTTGCCCGTCAAGCCCGGGTGATCCTCCACGCGTCCGGGTCGGTTTCTTATATGCATGGTGATCGTACGGCGGGAATGCCGCTCGGTTGATGTTGCAACAGCAAAGCTTGGCGTTAGGAATATCCTTCATTATTTGTGCACCTTGAGTCGTCTCTTCACTCATGTACTTGACACTGGCGCTCTCCTCGATACAACCAATGTACATAAACTCATGTCGATAGCAAACAGTTATCGTACCACGCCTGGTTTATCCACAACAACCAATGCATATCTCGACTACAGTCATCCTTCGCAGTGTGGCTGGGCTGTGAATGCAAGCGATATCACTGAGACTTGAGCCCCCATCCCCAGAGCCAATGGTTGCACTGCCATGGAGGGGTCGGTTACTCTGCCACGGTGCTCAGCTCTGATCCACGTCCGTTATTGAAGCGGCAACGTACTTCAATGCAAGACACCAAAGCAATGTAACTGGGTAGCTTTCAAGATTGGAGCGAAGTAGATAAATGACATGATGCGCGCATCCGCAATGTTTCGGACAACTCGGCCTCACGTGTGGAGTAGTGCATCAACATCAAGTCGGCGGTAGTAAGAGATATGGCCCATGGTTTCCCAATAGTGAGCCACGCAGTCCGTTGAAAGCAGGATCAGCTGAGACGAGATAAAAGTATCTAGAAACTCGGGTCAGAGTAGACAAACGCTTGATTAGGAACAGTAGTTCTTACCGTCACGGAAGCCAAGGCCCGCCACATGGCCTCGGCTGCGCACAATTCTTGCCCCTTGGAAAAGGCCTTCGTCAGCAATCCGCACCAGGCCGCCAGGGCCGATGTCATCGGCTGCAAAGGAGATCTCCCCTCGTGGTACGTTTGGGTCCCCTGTCAGCTTGATAGCCTCGAGGCTCCCCTGTAGCGTCGCTTCGCCGTCAGTCGGCTCGGCCGCCGCGAGCGACCCATCGCGGTCGCGCTGCAGAACAAGCAGAAATTCGCAGCCGTGCGCCGAATAATCGCCAACCCAAAGGCCTTGGTATGGCTTGCGCGGTGTTGGTGTGTACACTTCCGGGTCGAGCGTGGCAAATGTCGAGAGGGTCTCATTCCGACCGGCGGCGAAGATGGGAATTCCTAGACGGAAATGCGCCCACCTTCGGATTCGGAAACCATACTCGGACATCTCCTCCAGCTGTCGAGGATTGCGTTCCCACTCTGGTAGCTGTTGCTCGACATCACGATAGACTCGATGATTGCTCGGAATGGTTGGTGGTGGCCACTGCTTACTGCTATCGAGGTCTGGAGGCAGATATTTCGAAGAGGGTGAAAAAGCATTGAAGACATGCTGCGTCTCAAGAGCCATCGGCATGCGAATTTCTCCCTGTAGATAGCGTGGCCGCCCCTCGCGCTGGGGTTTCAACAAAAGGACGGGGTCGTCCAACCATAGACTGACCCTTGGATCAAAGCTTTGTATGATGACATCTGGGTTCCAGTCCCATATTTGAAACTGGTGAGAGCGTCGCTCTGCGATGACCCGGTAGGCCTCGATCACCCCGCGTCGATGATCATAGCGCGCCAGAATCAGATTTCCTGTATGTTCTGTGTCGGAGAACCAGATTTTATGCTTAGGAATAAACCAGCAGGGATGATGGGCAATGTAGAGGCTACGGAAGGAGTCGAAAAGGCCAGGGTCATGGATAGGCTCGGGTAAGTAAGAGTTGATCAGGTTCAACCACAGTAGCTCGTTATCGACGTGATCAGCGAGAGAGCGACAGGTAACGGCTACACGAGCAAGCTCTTGGGCTGGCAGATACGCCAGAATCTGCTGGACGAGTTCTGGAGGAAGCTTTAGGATGGAACTTTCCATGATGTCTTCAGTCTCGGAGGTAAGGTCGGCTATGGAGGACTGGAGCCCGTTTTTCTGCTCTGTTGAAGTCTGTCGTGGTTCGCCCAAAGCAGCCTGGCTTGAATACCAACTGGCTGACGCAGTGGCCATCGCAGTGGTTTGGGCGTGGAGAAAGACTGTGAATGTGTGTCGAGGGGACAGTCAACTTCAGAGACGACAGCTCACAGACGGTGCCGGGGAGGAAAGGAGATATCTAGACAAAGACGATCTGCATGTTTTAAGTTAGTGTTAGTTAGGGACTGTTGCTTCTTCGACGGGCGAGGGGAGAGAGCCAGATCGCATGACATCACCCGCAGCAGGCCCGCCTCACCTCATCATCCACGCAGCAGAGACCGTGCAACGCTGTTACCAGGACATTTGAGTCAAGAGAAGTAAGGGAGCTCGATCAATTGATAGCCTGCAGGGTCTCGCATGGAAACGAACCCAAAGTTCGGGATGAACTTGGGGAACGACGGTCATTTACTCTGGCCAGAGGGAGAGTGATGCGCAATTCCAAATTTCGTTCCCTGGGAGCGATAAGATAGCAACTACCGCCACGCAGCGGTAGAGTGTGTAATCTGACAGGGGGAGGAGGCCTTTGTCCTCAGGCTCCAGACTGATAAGTGCCCAACCTATGGGGTTCCATTGATCCACTGCAATCATCCATCAATGGATCTGAGCCGATGACGCAGAAGTGATAAGTAACTTGTGGGCTATTATGAACGAGCGAAAGGCTGTAAACCTTCCACATGTCACACACACACACACACACACACACACACACACACAAACTGCCTCAACCGCCAGGCACGACGGCAGTCACCTGATGGGCGCAAGGCCTCTCCGGGAGGGCTCCAGGCTCCAGGCTCCAGGCTAAGCCCAGCTCGGGATGTTGTTTACGCTTTCCCAATCGAGACATGGCCCGGGGTCCATCACGCGTAAGGAAGGCACGCACTCGCCCTCGGCGGGCACGATCGACCCCTTGCCTAATGTAGAAAAATCATATCAAAATATCCAAATACCCCATGATCCAGAATACTTTGTCCCCGGTTGCCTCCAGGTCGCGGTTCCATGCTTCGTCGCGCTCTGTTGCCTTCGTTGCTCGGTGATATATCACCTTTCATGCACTCAACTGCACCACTGCACTTTCGTTTGGGTTGCAACACGTTTCTGTTATCATTCTCTCCTGGTAAAGTCCACTGATAGAAAGATATTATTATTACTGATCTTCTATTGTTGTACGACCTAAGCGCGCACTGTACCCAGCCGGGCCAACACGCAATGGTCGTTGAGACAAGACAGCAGTCCGGGCGCAAACGCCGGGTCAGTTCTGTCTCCGGTCCAGAGCCTCAAATCTCAGCTTCCAGTCAACAAACGATTCGTCAGTCCAATAGCTCTCATGCCACAGCTACTCCTTCCAAGAGTCGGCGACAGCCGAGGAAGAAGGTCCGCTTCTCCGATCCAGGCCCTCAGCTACACCACGGGTCGGATTATGGAACTGGACTCACTCCCGCCATGCTACGCACCTCCTTTGAAGAACGGGCGGATATAGTTCCTTTGACTAGCTCCCCAAGTCGCCGCTCGCGACGTCATTCCACGCCACTCCGGAAGACCCGCTTGCAGTCGCACTCCCCGACCTCCTCTTCGTCAGCAGGTGTGGAACAGGTGTTTCAATTTACGCCACTTCGACAGCTTCTAGACTCGCGAACCCAACGAAGAATCCGACGAGTAGGGTTAAGTGATGAGATTAACCAATTCGAGCGCGAGAAGAGGGACACAACACGTTATGAGCGTAACTTGCAGACATTGCTGCGGGAACGTGACTCTTTGAAGCAAGAGCTGGATGCGGTCAAGCGAATCGAGCGCCCGCCGAAAAGTGCATCGCTAGAGCCGGCTGACGGTCCCTCATGCGATTCTCCTCGGTCACTAGCCGAGCGTTTGGAGTCTGAGAATCGGCGATTGAGACAGGAGCTATCTTTCTCCCAAGATGATCTCATGGACAGCTCCAGTGTGGCCAACATCGGGAACGACACAATCATCGTTGATGAAAGCGGATTTGACGGAGAGACGATGCTCATCTCGAACTCACCTGATCTCAGATCTCTATGGAAACCCCAACGCTTTGATATGGATGATTGTGAGCTTTTGCGAAGCGGGAGCCCGAATGCGGATGCGGAAACCCAATTTTCCCTTCCTGACCATGACTCAGAGGCAGAAATCAATGCCCTCTTTGCAGACCTGGAAACTGCTAGGAGAGAAAAACGTGCCCTCTTCGAAGCATGCCGCTTTCGCATTGCGTCCTTTGGTGGAACTAAGCTTGAGCCTCATCTTCATCGGGCGTCCCCACCGCCAGACTTCGTAGATCAACTGATACCAAGTCTGGCTGAGACCCTTGGTCGAGCTTCGGATGCCACGCAGTCATTAAATTCTATCAAAGAGGAGTTGTCAGAACTGGGATTTCCCGGAATACACGCCGAAGAGATCATTGCAGACATGCGCGATCAGTTTCGCTCCGCACGCTTGCGTCTTGAACGAGCGGTTCCTGGAGAGACACCGAATATAGGCTTGAATGACGGCTGCGCGACTCTTAGTGCTTTGGTCAAAAGAATTGAGATCCTAATCAAAAGCTTAGGAGATGAGCGCGCAAGGGCTCTGGGCTCTAGTGATAGGGAAAGAGCCCTTCGTGTTCAATTCGACAAGCTCCTGGCTCGTTACGAAGATGCGAGCAAGAAGATCAGCGGCCTTGAAGAATCAATTGCCGGCTCTGCTAGCGACATGCTCCATACACGAATGCGGATGCAAGAGCTAGAAAAGGAAGGAGAGGAGCAAGCTGTAGGCATCGACAGGCTCAATGCCGCGCTGGACAGGTATCGCGAGGAGATCAGGGGTCTTGAAACACTTGTCACAGAATTAGAGTCAGATAAAGTCACGAACAGCGACATTTACAGTCAGCAGGTGTCGAAGCTTCAACTACAAGTCACTGAACAGGAAGACGCCCGTCGCGTCGCTGAGAGTACGGTTGCAGAGTGTGAAGCCCGCATCCGCGAATTGGAAGACACTGTTGAACAGAACCGTGCTCGATCGTGCCAACTGAGGGTCAAAGTGGAGACCCTGGAGTTGGAGCGTCAGAAGGCAATGGAACGTCTCGAACAGGAAGCGGCGGAGCAACTTGAACGATGTGAGAAGGAGATCGGAAGCCTCAATGTTGTCGTTGCAGAGCTCAACACCTCCCTCATGGGTGCCAAGTCAGAGATTGATAGTTTACGGCAGAGCAACGTGGGCTTGGAGCACCAGCTGCGACTCGAGACCGAAGCCAGGGACAATCTTCTGGAGACATGGGCGGCGGAGCAAGCACGCGCATTTGCCCACATGAAAGAAACTGTCAGCAACGAGCGTCGCAAGGCCAGGGTCCGAGCCGCCAATTGGGAGCTTCGGTCTGATGAACTGCAGTCGGAAAGTACCACACTGGGCAGCGAGCCTATCACACCGGTCAGCATGACCCGATTTATCGATGTGGAGGCTGGACGAGGAGAGCACCGCAAGCGTCTGGACAGTGGCATTGGGATTTTCACCGACGAGCCCAAGCAGGATGCAGATGCGGGCGCGGATATGCAGGTGCTGCTGCCCTCGGACCCGGCTGACCTATGAGCACTTTTCATTTACTACACTATTTACAGCTAGGCCATGTACCGTCTGACTTGCATGCGTGTACCAGTTCGGTTTGGGACGATACGATCTGTGTTTTGGTCTTGTTTGGCGTCTTGCTAATGCGGTCTGGTTTTTGTTTCGGGATATATCTTTAGCTTACACATTGACCACGTGTAAACCGGTTGAGTGAAACGCTGTGAGCCGTAGAGTCTGTATGTCGTACGAGCTGTGGATAACATAGAGACACCTCAAATTCATTCTTCTATGTTGTAGATAGATTTCAGCATCAGTACAGACAATATTAGTAGTATAGTAAGAAGCTGCTGTTCATGCCTTAGGATAAGGTTGATCCCGCGTGGGGGCGGAAGGTGTCCCTGTCCCGACTGTTGCGTGGTTTGGTTGCCCCGGCAAACAAACGGTTCTAGGTTTCCTGCTGGGACGGTCAATTCGGTCCGTACTGATTCAAGTCAACATTGAAATAATGAGGACGGTTATGGCACGTGGCATGCAAGGACCTTGTACTGGGCTGGGCGAACAAGAGCAAAAAGGGTTGGTGTGATTGCTTGAATGATTCAGGTGGACAAGACAGGCAGCAAGCAGCGCGGAAAAAGGAGGTGTGGAGTATAACTGGGATACAGGGTGTTAAGGCAAGTCAGCGATCGGGGTCAAACAACTAAGTCTACACTAGGCCAGCAGAGTCCTTCCACGAATGATTCTAGAAGAGCGCTAAAGCACAGTCCGGTGTCAATGGTATTACGATCGTCCCCCTTCCCATCCCCATCGGTTGGTCCTAATTCCTGTGACCCCTCTTCCATGCAGGGACACGATGGTCAGGTACGTAGTCTACTGTAAGCTGCAATGCATAAGCCATGCGGGACGGGGCAGGCAGACACAAAGACAGATAGACACATTGTCAGTCAGTGCCAACGATGTCAATACATAAGTTATGGAGCGCTTGGGCGCCCATGCCTCCTGATCACCCTGCGGTAGACTACTGGTCCTTCCCAAGGCCATGTTGGCCCGGGGGTTGTCTGCAAGTGCTCCCTGGGAAGCTATGCATGCAGTGCAGTGGTGTGCCTTCCAGGCAGTGGTGAACGACCATGGTCGCTGATTCGCTCGTGGGGAGCTGCAAGCTGGCCTTTAGTCTAGGGGCGTGGGGTGACTTTTCGGCGACTGCAGGAGATTGCAGGGAGCTCGGCCACTAGTATCACTGAGTACCAGTGCGAAGTAACTTAGAGGATAGCGCGCCTCTGAATTGAGAGATGCTATCCGGGGATTGGAGGGGGGCACAGGAGTATGCGACAATGGGTGTCAGTTGGGACAGGAAGAAAGGGAGAAATTGGTTCAAGTTCCAAGCACACTGGAGAGATGTTTCACAGGCCCCCCCCCGAGAGGGGTCGTTTCAAACGGGCTTCGATCTACATCAGCAATAAAGTTCTGGCAGAGAAAGGAAAAACTGTTGGTAAGGGAGGCGCCATCATCGCTGAAGGATGGCTGATTCAAGGGCGACAAAGTGTAAGAATCAAAAGGCGCCGGAGAATGAATGTGTTGTTGTACCACCGTTTGTCTTTTTTTTTTTTCTGAGAGGAGACCAATAGTGCGTGGAACTATTATGCAGGAGTATCCACTAGAAGGAAGGAAGGAAAGAAGGAGAAGAGAGGGATGAAGTGATAATTGGAATAATAATGATTGTTCTGTTCTGTTCTGTTCTGTTTTGTTTCTTGTTTCTTGTTTCAATCAAAGTGAAGCCGCGGATCCGACCCCTGAAAACCAAGAACCGTGCCTGAGGCCGTTGTCCAGCTCATCTCCACTTTTCGACCCGTTCTCGCCTTCTGGCTTCCTTCTCTTCCTCTTCTTCTGCTGCTTCGGCTGCTGTGACTGCCTTTCTCCTCTTTCTCTTCTCCTTCTCTCCTCCTCCTCCTTCTCCTTCTTTGCATTCTTCTTACACTCCTCAAACTATGGTTATTGGAAATAACCATCCCTGATTACTGGCCCAAATTCCTCAATGCTCTGTGTTGTTGTTGCTCACCACCATGGTTCTATCTCCTCCTCCCACCTCTGACCTGTCTCACTAGCTTTGACCCCCCCCACCACCAACCCGAACCAAACCACGTCTCCCTCCCGTTTGTTTTTTGTTGTTGGCCTCTGTTTATATCACGTCACACGCTCTGCCCTCCCTCCCCATCAGGAGCGCGTCTGAACTTCCTACCTGGTGGCATCGCTGCTTCCTCTCCGCCATCGATCGCCACTAAATAATATCTACGCCCTTGCCTACCTCCCTTTCCTCCCCTCAGTCAACTCCGCTCCTCTGTCGATCCCCAGGCATCCGGTCCGGGACGATCCGCACCCCAGCTCTCTCCTGACACTCTGCGCCCGCGCTCCTTTATTACCGACCAAAAGTTATCATGAATGACACCGGTGGTCATCCAGGTGTGCGGAGCCTGCTCGCTAAGTTCGAAACCAACCAAACCAGCGCTCCCTCACCACCCTCGCGAGGTCGATCCCCTGCCGGTTCTGACAACTCGGGCTCTGCTCGGCCTTTATCCAAAATCCGTGCGAGTTTCGTCGCTGTTGACGGGGCCACTCAGCCCAACCCTCTAGCAGGCTTGCGCAGTGTCAGTGTGCGCAGCGACAGCCCCGCCGGTCCAACTAGAGTGCGGAGCTTTCACTCGGATGACATGGAGAGTGGTTTGAAGAGTCCATTGTCACCCACGGGCAATGGCTTCCCATGGAGGACCTCTGCTCTATCAACGATGGAGCAAGAGGTGGTACCGAAGCCAACTATGGAGAAAGTCGCTACGCCCCTGGTGGAGGAGGCCAAGCCGTTGGAAGATAAGGAGAACACACCTGCCGAGAACACCACCGCGCCCACAGCAGCGGAATCAAACCCCCCTTCCCCCAAGAAAACTGCAGCCTCGCGCCCAGCTGCGATCCAGGTGGCGAAGAGGTCGCCTCCTGTGAAGCCTGCTACGAAGTCGCCCACTCACCCTCGTACACCAACGTCCCCAGCCAAGCCTGTTGATCACACAACCAAGACTACCAGGGCGTCTAGACCATCTACCACCGCGAAGCCCACTCCGCATGAGCCCGCAAAAGTTGCAGCACATAAACCGAGCCGCCCATCTCTGAATCCTGCGACCAAGCCTGCCACCAGAACTGTGCGTCCTTCTGCGTCGGCTCGGGATTTGACTAAACCGACAGCGTCGAGCGTTTCTCGCACCACTAGAACGGTGTCTACCTCTACTCGCCCTTCAGCAACCACATCGACCACATCTACAACGGCTAAGAAGGGACCTACCGCAGTACCCTCTGCTCCTCTGTCGCGCAAGCCATCTACATTGAAGAATGCAAGCGCCACAACCCAGCGCCGCGCCATCACCCCAACGGCTGCGAGCCTTCGCAAACAAGCCCCTCGTGCTTCCCCTCCCGAGAGGCCGCACTCACGGACAAGCAATACCAGCTCCAAGCCTGTGGATGAGGGTTTCCTGGCAAGAATGATGCGCCCGACGGCCAGCTCTGCCAGCAAGTCGCACGACAAGGTTGACATCAAGAGTCCGCCCCGCACCACCCGGACTACCCAAGCTCCACGCCGTGTTCCTTCGAAGCTCGAAAGTCGCCCACCCCGTCTGACTAAGCCTGATCATGGCAAGCAGCGCGGAGCTTCTGCAGAGCCTCAGAAGCCTCAGCCTAAGCCAGAGCAAGATGCTGCTCCAAAGGAAACCCTGGCATCGCATGTGGCCCTTCAGGAGAAGCTTGCAGAGCCTGAGCCCATCGTTCCCGAAGAGGCTCCTGTTGTTGAGGAGGAGCTCAAGGAGCCCAAGGAACCCGAGGAGCCTAAGGAGCCAGTGGTCGAAGAGGTAGTTGCTCCTATGACTGAAGCCCTTGCTGAGACTCCTGTCATCCCCGGTGGTGACGAGGCCAGCGAGGAGCCAGCCATTATCGACGAGCACGTTGCTGAGCCTCTTTCTTCCGTCCCTGAAGATCATACTGTCTCTTCCGCTGAGCCAGCTACCAATGAGGCCTCTGAGCCGGAAGATCTGGCTGATGAGGTTGTGCCCATCGAAACCCATGCGGACATTGCTACCGAGACTTCTGAGAAGACCCCCCTGGAGGCTTCGAACGAGGTCAACCTTGACATGGACAAGCTTGCCCTCAACTGAGGCAGGGCTATGATCCTGATCGTCGGAACCATGACCGGTAGCTGCACCCGGGGTTGAATAAAACAATCTACTCTTCTTTTCTTTTGACATATCTTTCTTATACCCTTGGTAATTGCGATGTGACTAGGCACATGTGCCTATTTCTACATGTGTCTTCTCAATAGTCCATCATCTTTTTTATTTTTTTTATTTTTTGATTTTCCCCTTCCCCATTCCTGATTTCTACATCTCTTCTTTCGGTTCCAGCGAGCCTCTTGTTTCTCTCCAAGGAGCAAGACCGACGATGGTTGCATGTCGGAGCATTGTCCGGTGGAGTTGTTTCGGGATTCGTTGATCTTGATAGTTAGCGCTGTGTACGGAGTACTGCGTCTTGCATATGTACTGGGGTTTTCCGATAGGTTTTCCGACAGGTTTTTGATCTTGCTTGTGCTTCGTATTCGGTTTGGTATTGGGTTGCAGGAAGCCTTACGCTACTTACTAGGTTGAATATTGGACTGAATAGCAAGCAACTGTGTTTTTAGCAAATGTTCCACCAAATTGACTTTGCACTGCCCACATGAAATTATCGTCGAATGCACTATGGAGTACGTAGTGTGGTAAATGGAATGTTCCATTCTGGGGTTCCTGCAAGATAAGATCGAGATAGGGCTTAGCGCCAAAATGCTCCGGAGCCAAAAACAAAAACACTTGACTTGTTCCTGCCTGCTCTCTCTCATCTTCTTCAAGAACTCGAGCATTCCACCTTCTATTAGTTATCTAACAACAATCAAAGCAGCACAGGCCGAGCTATTGGACTCACTTATTCACCGGTGTACTACCTGGATCGGCTAGCACAATGGCGGGAGGAAGTCTGATCCGAGAGCAAGGAATCATGGTTCTGGCTGGAGTAGATGGGCCCGGTGGGTCAATGGCAAGAAATTTGTTCACGCCATCGCCCATGAGTCTGAGGGCATTTCGCTTGGACTTAGAGAGTCCGCTATCGTGAACAGCGCTCATTCTCTCCAGGCGCTATCCGCCCTCGATTCGCTCGGTCGTTTTATGATCCGTGAGTCTGAGAGAGTGGATCAAGCGGTTTTTGACTCCACCAGTCCACCTCGCTTCCCCAGAGTCAAAATCTACTTACTCCACCTTTTGTGTGGAAAGAACCTGGGAGCAACCTGGTAGCAACCTGCAATTTACGCGCTGGCTGCGCCCACACCAAGATGGCAACCACCACCATCACCAAGACTCCTCCAGCACACTCGCTGCTGCTGGAAGGTAGCGATGTCCCGTCCTCTGAGAACGATAGTACACGCTCGCCCACCGCACGGAAGTTCCGCCTCCAACAGTCGGTGGTGATAGCCCAGCTGTCGGCCGTCACGCTTACCGCCAGTGTCATCAATGGGCTGGTCGTGGTCGGTCTGCCGACGATCACCAAGGACCTTCAGCTGCCGTCCTCGCTCTCCTTCTGGCCCTCGTCCGTGAGCAGCCTGGCCACCGCGTCCACCCTGTTACTGGCGGGATCCATCGCCGATGCTATCGGCCCGCGGTGGGTTGAGCTTGTAGGCTCGTTCGCCAGCGGCCTGCTGATGATCGGGCAAGGGCTGTCTCGCAATGGGGATGAGCTGGTCGTGCTGCGCGCTCTACAGGGTGTCGGGCTGGCGTTCCATCTCGCCTCGTCAATCTCCATCATCACGCAGCTCCTGCCTCCCGGCCAGGGCCGCAACCTCGCCTTCTCATGTCTGGGTCTCAGCCAGCCCCTTGGCTTTTCCTTAGGGTTGGTCGTCGGAGGCGTGCTCGTGGACACCATCGGCTGGCGCGCGGGCTGGTATCTGGCCGGTGGAATCACCCTATTCTTCGCGGTCGTCGGCCTGTGGGCTGTCCCGCAGAGTGAGACCCATCGACACGCGGACTTGATGCACAATGTCAAGACGCAGATCGACTGGGTTGGCGCCGGGCTCGCCTCGGCCTTCATGGCGTTGGTGTGCTATCTGTTGGCGTGAGTAACTCTACAGGCCGTGTGGCATCTACTATTACGTCCCAGCAAAATAGCTAATTACATGTTAAAACAAGCATCCTGAGCGCCGATCCATCTCGCATCCGCTCCGCCGAAGCAATCGTCATCCTATGCGTGGCAGCCGTCGCCCTCCCCGCGTTCGTCTACTGGATGCACCACCAGGTCAAGCGGAACAAACCAGCTCTCATCCCCAACTCTCTCTGGCGCAACAAGTCCTTCAGTAGCATCAGCGTCACGATCGCCGTTTCTAATGCCGTGATCAACTCCATGGAACTATTCGCCAGTTTATAGTACGTTCCTTTCCCTTGGCCCCTCCTCCCCAAGCAACCCTCAAGTCTACCCCCAACCCCCATCCCCAAATAACTCACTAAGGGAAAAAAAAAACCCAGCTTCCAAGAAATCCAATCCCTCTCGGCCCTGCAAGCCTCCATCCGCATCCTCCCCAGCCTGATCATCGGCATCCTCATGAACTTCGTGATCGGGGTCTTCGTCCACCGCGTCCCAGCCTTCTGGATTGTCACGGTAACCTCCATCCTCTGCGCCGGCTCCCCCCTCCTCATGGCCCTGATCCAGCCTGCCTGGCCCTACTGGGCCAACGCCTTCATCGCCCAGCTCCTGCAGCCCGTCAGCTTCGACGCCCTGTACACGGTCGGCCTGATTATTATTACGGACAGTTTCCCGGATACGACGCAGGCGCTGGCCGGCGCGGTGTTCAACACCTCGGCGCAGTTTGGTAGTGCGCTGGGCATGGCGGTGTTGCAGGTGATTTCGACGGTGGTGGCCGCGGAGAATGCCTCGAAACAAGAGAAGCAGGCGCTGATGGCTGGCTATCGGGCAAGCTTTTGGACGATGTTTGGGTTTATGCTTGTTTGTACGGTCGTCGGGTTTGTGGGGTTGAGGAAGACGGGGAGGGTTGGGTTGAAACGGGATTAGGGTTTTGTTTTTTTGGTGACGGGATTGGGGATTGGGGGGACGGGGATGGGGTTTGGTTTATCGGGGTGGGCTGGGTATGGATCGGTGATTCAGAGAGCAAAATGTATCCTTATGTGTAGGTTTTTCTGGGTGGCTTGGTGTTTGTTTGTATATCCACTGTATACTGTACCGTTGAGATGGATCGCGGTGGGTTGTGTGGGTTGTATTATATATGTGGGTCCGTACTTATGCATGTCTTCGCGCCGTTTCCAGCTTTCATCTACATATGAAAGGTGTTTCCAAGGTCATAACATCATTTACAGATTAGCTGAAATTACCGGACAACCTGATCATGAAAGGAGCAAAGGCCACACTGATCACCCAACCCAACACACACACCCGTGGACAGGCTCGTGCAGCAGCAGCAGCAGCTACAGCCTCTTCTCCAACTTCTTCAGAAACCGGTTCACGCTGTTCTCCACTCGGTACGCGCTCTTCACAAACGTCTGCGGCCGATCCCCGGGGTTCTTCATCGCCTCCTTCGCGTACTTCTGGTGGCGCGAGGTCGCCTCCGCCTCCGTGGGTCGGTACATCTGTCGGTGGATGTCGTACTCGGCCGGCGCGTTGCCGCCTGCCACGGTTCCCCGTTGCTCGTACGAGTAGTTCGAGTAGCCGGCTATCGCGACGGCGGGGTGGATGGGAGGAGGGGGGGTGGTCTGCGGGTGTTGGTACTGATATTGGTTTGTGTACGGGGGCTGGGTTTCGGTTTGTGAAGGGGGTGAGAGGGGCTCGGTGGGAGGAGGTGCGAAGGTCATGGCGGCAGCGGCAGCAGCAGCAGCAGCAGGGTTTGCATTCTGGGCTGTTGCGTCCGTGGGTGGTGGTGCAAATGTCATGGTGGTTGCTTGCGGCGGCCCGGGCGGTCCGGGAAGCGAGCCCGTGCTGCTGAGCGAGCTGCGGGGCTGGTGCTGCTGGTGCTGGAATTCCGGGCTTTCGCCGGAAAGGAAGGCTGTGGTGTACGACGGGATTCCAGGGGGGCCGGAGATAGATGCAGATCGTGTCACCGAGGGGGAAAAGCTCAATCCCGCGCTTGGCGGTGGAGAGGCGTAGGTTCCTGGCATGGTAGTGTGGGGTCCTGGCGAAGCAGGCGAAGAGATCAGGGAGGAAAGTCCTGGGGACACTGGTGCTGCGGAAGAGGGAAACGGAAATCCTTGGTCGGGTGCAGCGGCGGCAGCCGCGAGACCCGTGCCATTGGCGTAGTCTTCTGGAGGAGGGGTCTTTTCGCGGTGCTTGATCGGCTCCGGAGCGGCGGGCGCGGCGGGGTTGTAAGGAAGGGGAGCGGATTGAGGGGCAGGATCCTGATGTTGCTGTTCAGTCGAAGGAAAGTGAGATCCGGTGGGAGCAAGGGTGGACGACAATGGAGGCGGAGGAGGGAGGGTGCTTGATGGGGTAATGGCCTGGTAGTTTGATGCAGGGTTGGCGACCACTTCTGCCTGAGAGTTGCGCGTCTGTCCGTTCTGGTAGGCGGGGTCAGTGATGGCCACTGTCTCCAGCTGTTGGACTACCGAGCTGACGGTACTCTGAGGTGGAGGGGGATATGGGTGTCGGTCCGTTTCAATCTGCGCTGCAGGCAAATCCCGTTCGATGATATCGAGAAACTGATTCGCATCCTCCACGGTCCAGAAGTAGATGTCCAGCGCGTGCAAGCGCACCAGGCTCTGCAAATCATCGTCGACTAGCTCCCATTCAGCCGCGGTGCCTGGTGGGGGAGGAAATGCAGGCGCATTCTGCGCCGCAGTTTGTGACTGTCCGTCTACCGTTACTGTGCACAGGGTCGGGAACTGGGTTGAGTGTCGCACGTGGATCTTGTCCAGAGCTACCATGCGTCAGTAAATCTTAGCACGGTGTGGAACAGCCTTAGCTAACCTCCATTGAAAGCGTCTTGCTCCGGGGTACCCGGGTTATTTGCGACTTCGATTCTGATTCTGCGCTGGGTGGCGCTCTGGAAGAGATATAGATAGGAACCTTTGTCGAACCGATGGCGACGAGTTCTTGGACTTGGTTGCGCGAAATAGTAATGAATGTCCGCGAAGCTAAAGGCGCGTCAGCTCATTCAGACAGTTGCTGGTGGCAAAATTGGCGGGGTGAGAAGCATCGCAAGAACTCACACTGTCAGCACTCGCTCCTCACCCGGCAGTGGTGGCATGGTCAGTGGATGTTGTTGATGTTGCGAAGTTCAAGAGAAAGCGATATACCACGAGGTTGACTGTGGATGGAAAATAAGGGGAAAGATGGCCCATCGACCAAGTGCAAGGCAGTGAGCGACATTTTAAACATCGGGAAGCCCATAGGAGGGGAAGATCTAACTGGCTTGTGACAAGGTGAGGGGATGCAGCGTGCAGAAGCCCGGCGGCTACAGAAGTACTACAGACGATGTTTAATTGGTTGCCCCTTCGGCAGCTCGTGTATAGATGCCTGGAACACCAGGCATTACTCGGAAGCCGTGATTTTGTTTCTCCGAAAATTTCATCTGAGCTTCCCGCCGCATCCTCGGAGGTACTCTGGTTACCGCGACGCGATTGACGACCATACCTTTTGTTGACTGCAGCAGAGCCTGATTCTTTCATAATTTCTTCGGTCTTGACGCCGACTCTCGATTTTGCTTCTTGCAGGTACGAATTGTCCAGTTACACCTTTTGTGGTTGTGATGTGTCGCTCACATTTCTCTCCGCCAGCGGTCTATCTATCCTGCTTTCCCGCACCGTGTATCCTGTCTTGCATTGGGAATTGACCACCGATATCCGGTCTTACGATACAAGATGTCTCTCACCAACCTCTCCCACGTTATCTCCCACCTGAACAATGTCACCAAGGCTCGCCTCGGTCTCACCTCGATCCCCAACACCAAGCTACACCTGAAGCTCTGCCTTGCGCTGCAAAATGACGGATTCATCTCTACCGTTGTTCGTGGCGGTCCAACTCCCCCGGCTCCGCATCAGCTCCTTGGCCACCCCAGCTCCGAGGACATCGAACCTGTGACCCAAGCGAACATCGCCTCCAGACGCCTCTGGCTCGGATTGAAGTACTGGCGCAGCGAGCCGGTTCTGGGCAAGATGAAAATGATCAGCACGCCCAAACGGAGAGTTACCGCCAAGCTCGAAGTCCTCCGGCGCGTAGTCCAAGGCCACAACACCCCCTATATCGAGGGTCTGCGGTCGCCGGGTGAGAGCTTGTACATCTCGACGGATAAGGGCATCATGGAGGCGAGAGAGTGCGTTGAAAAGAAGAGTGGCGGTCTGGTCCTGTGCCGGATCAGGTAAGCTTGGGAGGATGAAAAAGAGAGCTTCCATGTTTGAGAGTCGCTTGGGCTTTGCATTTTTACCGGAGTTTGGCCAGTCGCAGTGTCTCCTCGCATGCCGTGTATGTTCATATTGTCTTATTATTTGCGACTGTTGGTTGGATACCTTGTATAGTAACATAACTCATTTTCCTTGATGCTTTATCTATATTGCTCCGTCGAACATCTCTTCGTGGCTCGCACCGTGACGACTGCAGGCGATCCAAGTCTGGACTGAGGTGCCTGCTGGTCAGCAGGCACTGGAAGGTGCTCGGTACTCGAGTCGGCCACCCTTCTGATTCCGGGAGTACATTAAAAGTCATGCGACTGGTGAGCTTCGGCCATCGCATGCCATGCACCTTGCGGCAGCTATGAGCTATGAGGGCGCTCGCTGAGTTGTTCTAGGTTGTCTCTGGACGATGTATTTACCGACTTTATTGACCGATAGCATCTAGCATTCCTGCCCACAAGGTCGGTTTTTTGTCTTCAACCACTTGCGATTGGCTAGTCTGCTGAGATATTTTCTAACATCATAGCTTGGGAGTTTGATATTGGTCTGCTTCAATGTGGACGATAGTTCTTTTCTTTTTCTGCTGCCGGGCTAATCTTGAACGTCGCGAGAGATCGCCTGATCGTAGCTTGCTTTGAAACTAGAGAATCTTTTTCTACGATCGCTTTCAGTCTTATGACTGGGTACATGACAGCGTCTGAACAGTTCATCGGATAGACCCGTCGGGACCGGCTATGTTGTTCTGGATTCTTCATTCTGGCTGTAGCATGCTGTTAATGCTGCAACGTCTGCATCAGCTAGTCTGCCTGTTATGCTCGGCTCGACGGAGATTCCTTGTCTTGCGAAGCAGCCTAGGAAGGTAGTGTCGTGTCGCTCGATATCCGCTCATATAGCAGCCAAGCCTATGGGAGTTTGTTGTCGGGAGGTGATGCTGGGGAGAATTCATGGAATGACAGCGTTAGGCCGCCACCGGACGCTCGTAGATGTGGTGCCAGTTGAATATTTGCCGTGTTCGCCGACAGTTCAAGGCGATAATTCTATTACGGAGCTCGCGTTGGGTCCCGTATTCGACCTGCGGTGGTTATTACCTCGGAACAAATGCGTATATACCGAGACTGGACGGACATGCTGCTGACTGACTCGAGCAATGGGAAATAGGTCGTTCCGCAAGGAACGAATTATCGAAGGCTGGCCATATGTAGGACAGTGAAACCGGGAGTCGTAAACGAAATGACATAAGACAGAGGCTCCAGTTGGCTTTGGCTTTAAGCATGGCAGAGGAGAAGTTCGTTGCCCGGGATTGGCACACCCACGAATCAGTTTCGCTCCCTTGTCGGGAAGTTACCTTAGCGACCTCTCGTTGGGTCGCAATAACGTACACCATGTTTGAAAACCCCGTACTCCGGCATTGTCTCACCATTGGTGTCTGGATCAATCGATCGGATCACCGGTCAATTTGAATAACGAGAGCTTATTCGTCCCCCTCTCGCGTTTTCCTTGATTACCGATCATCGTCATCATCATCATCATCTTCTTCTTCTTTCTCGGAGTGATGATCTCCTGCTAATGCCAACTTCACCCATACCGGGGTCGACAGGCAATGATGGTTCCGGTCAATACCCATCTTGTCAGGGATCCCAGGATTCCAATAGTATGCGATGCCTCCATTTCGTCTTTCAGGTTTGGAAATGCATGGTTTTATAGCCAATAACTCAGTGAAGCTATTGCTGCGTGTTGGTGGCCTAGACGAGCATTGCGGCCGCCAAATGATTGCCCGCGCCAATAGAGAGTTGGTCAACACGTCCGCTCTGGGCTTGGGCAACCAGACGTGCAGCAAAGTGTCTGCCCAACATCCTCGAGGGATCAATGGCATCAGGTTGAGAACTGCAAGCTCCCCACACTCAAACCTCGACTGTTGGGCCGCCACCCGTGTGGTATGGAGCAGCAGTTGATATCTGCTTCCGACCCACCCCTCATTGTATCTCTAGTGTGTTCATTATTATTGCTCTTTTTAAATGTAGAGTTGTCTGCGCGCGCCGTGGTCGTTTTCGAATGCTAAATAACAAGGCTTTCAAAGCTCTCTCCCAGCGAGGGTCCGCGGTGGTATTGGTGGAGTCAACGCTAGTGTTGACTATGGTTATCTATCATAGTGCTCAGGTTAGTGCCTGGATAGATTGAATAGATATCGGCGGATTGGCATTGAAGGATCTATAAATGGATAGATGGTCAGTGGGGACGGAGACCATAATGGGGAATCAAAATATCAGGCGATGGTGGGGATCGGGATTGAACCAGGTTCGCTGGCTGGTTTGCTTGCTTTAATTGCTTGCTTTGATTTAGTGACAATGACTGGGTACCTAAGTTAGTAGGTAGTATATGGAGTAGTTTGATATTGCTTCATGGCGAGGCAGGCAGGCAGGCAGGCAGTCAGAGGACTGAGGCATCCACTCTTCTGCCCTTTCCCGAACGGGATGATCAATCATCCTCCAACTGTCAACTATGGAGTACACACCGTGCTTCTCCCACCATCCCATCCCCTTTATTCTTCTTTGATGCAGTATTCAGCCATTACTCACTCTAGTCCTCTTCGATCAAGTGGAGACACTGGAGATGCTGGCGACAGGCAAGGCCGCAAGACAGAAGAGAAACCAAACGGGGTCATCCACTCTGCGCCCAGGAACTCTAAACCGAAGCAGTCTCCCGCGCCAACTGCCATTGAATACCTAGAACCTGCATTGGGTCAATTGCCTGGATATGTCGTCCTCCCTTCATTTGATGGATGCATCTTCCCTGCGCAATCCGGCCGGTCCTTTGCTGCCCAAAACCCTACGCAACGCATCACCGAATCCTTCAACTCCTCTTCTCTTACGTTTGGTTTTGATAACCGCGGTTGAGGACGAGATCAGCGCATGAGAGTTGGCGATAGCCTGCTGATGGATAGTTTGGCTGCCTCTTGCAGCCGGGTTCATCCATGGCCCTGTACCCCATTATGCCTGTGCAGTTCCCCACTCTCTCCGTTCTTATTGTCGTGAATGCCGCTTTGCTTTTTACCATGGCCTAATTATCGTGGACCTAGCCGTGCCGGGCGTCTCTGGCTTAATCGATCCTACTAGCTTGCCCTGTCAATCGAAAGGAGCACTGTGGGGTCGAACCTTGATTGGATATGGGTCCGAGATTGATCCTTTGTCGCCGTATATACAACTGACCTATATGACTACCGATGGGCACGCGGTTGCTCTTTGACAGGGACGGGTTGCCTTCCAGGCTGATCGAGTCTCCCAGTTGCCACTGCTGTGGAGCTCTTCATTCCTCTCCTTCTTCGTACCTCACGCGCTTCAGAGATAAAAAGCTTATCTGGCGCCTGCAACAAATCGTTCTTGTACATGCCATTCATTCAAGTCAGGTTGTTTTTATAAACGTCTTCCCTATTTGTTGTTAGATTCAGCCTTCGATGGTCTGGACTGACTCGCCGCCGTCTTTCACAATTCTATAACCTCTCAGCATCCAGTATTGTTCGTCACTATTTGATACCAGTCACTATAGCTCTTGACCTTCATGCCACCTGTTCTTTCGCCTCCATTGATCACCATGTCATCGGGCCTCAGTTACTTTTCGCGGGTAACAGGAAGCAGTGGCTCTTGTACGCAGTCCATTGGCAGCGATGATTCTTGGTCTCATCACAGGTTAGCATGAGCATCGAAATTCTCTGTGTCTCGGTTTTCTCGAGACATCTAAGTCATCTGGAGGGCTCACCTTCTGCAGTGGCATTGCGCCCCAACAGCCGCCGATGTTTGGGATTCCGAGCGAAGGTCCTATCATTTACCACCCAAGGTACCAATTCATCTTGTACTACTATTCGTCATTCTTTCCAGAAGAGTTGTTGACCGAGGGAGAACTTACTCATAAGCAGCTCTACAAGGATGTCACCACCCCACATTGAACGTGGACCCATGAACGTCTCGAGTGCTGCGGCGAGGGGCCCCAAACCTATTTCACCGGACTTTAACTTCTCCATGCCGTACAGCGGGCTGCCAGTGACTTCCCAGATCAATGCCAACATAGCTGCACCATCAGGAACTTCACTAGCACGCCATACCCCTCATTATCCGGAGTGGGACCATCCTGTTCGTTTGCCGGCGGAGTCTTTGAGACGGGAATATGACTTCGCTAGATCCTTCGAGACACCGGAATACATGGTTGAGAGAAACAGCCGACGGGCTGGTGACAAATTCAAGGGTACAACCCGATATCATTCACAGAGAAGACCATCAAACCGGGATGAGTTTGACGGCCCCCACCAATTACTTGAGCCTCCCTCTCCGCGTGTGATTGCGGCACAAGGAAGGGACTTGCCTCATCTACCTACTAATCTTGATGTCTCAGAACAAGATCGTATCCTGTCCTCGGTGAACGACCGACTATCGCAGTGCGCGTTTGACTTTGTGGCGAAGTACCAGTTTCCAATCCCACTGGAGCCTGACAAGAGACAGGTGAGAGTTCCCTCAGACCGTGAATGGACTGAGTGGGTATACCTCCTCAAAAGACTGGCCACCAAGCGGCGGATCCCCGCCAGGGTCCTGTATAATGGCCAGATCAAACAGTTAGTCACCATACTGGAGAACTCCTTGGAGATGCGCCATGCTGCCAAGCATCAATCTAGGCCCATCAAGGACGATCGCAACGTCCTTCAGCTTATCTCTGCCGGTACGCAGGTGGCCAAGATTCTGAAGGATGCCGCCGCGATGGAGTACCTTGACCATCTTTATGTTGACACGGAGAAGAGCATTCAGGACCGGCGCAGTCGCCGAGTGAAATTTGCCGGCCCTTGACCTCGGATATTTGACCCTCAGTGATGATATTAATGAGTTTTCCTTTTTGGTCTTGACCACGATTCTACCATGCTATAGACCCATCGACTGGAACAAGCCATTCTGCCATTTCCGTTAGGCGTTCCCCTTGTCCATTGGAGGGTAGCCCAAGGAAGTTACTCCCAGGAGCCACATGCTTTCGTCATCATGGACCATTTGAAACCTTATCCAGTGACTTTGCCGAAGTGGTGAACCTGAATTCGGATTATGCGAGCGAAGCCATGCCACCAGCGTCCGAAATCCAACCAAGGACTCCCATTCCAAGACAATCCTTGGTCTGGGGATTGACTTGGCCTGATGATAACGATGAAACCATGCTGTTACTTGATAAGTCTTTTACGCGATCAAGAGTATTTACAGCCCCTTGCAACCATTTATTAGGACTTTCTTCTAGCCTCCTCATGATTACGACTTGTGTGCGTTCTTTTCTCTATATTTCGGGCTTTCCGTTGTTTTTGTGAGAATGACATTTCGGTTTTGACTTTCCCCTCGGTGACTGCTACTGTCCCTTAGCCCGAGCTGCATGTTTCCGTTCACTATTTCCTGTACTACATCCTTCAGGCGGATTGTGGTGGCTTTCTCATTTGCCTGCCTTGCCGTTCTTGCCCGTCTGTGGGTTCAAGTTCAGATTGTTGATCTTGCTGGCCTCTACTCTACCAGCTTTTCTTTGAATATTGTAGGCTCGTGCTTGGGTCTATCAGTGTAAGACAGGCTGTGTCTCTCGTGCTGAGTGTAGGGAACTCCTCGTGTGCATCATCATAGTCCTGGGGTCACTGAGCCTTATGAGCCAGCTCTTCTTGAGTCGACCTACACAGAACATGGATGTATTTCTTTCTTTTTTCTATCTCTCTATTTGCCTCGAAGTATAGACAGACGCTCGATGTATTGACTGCTAATTGATAATGGTGCGCACAACAAGGGTACATGTGTCTGGAAAGTGAGAGACAGAGGGAAGAAGACAAAGCAATCTAGGTGTACATTCGTGACACAGAAGGACATATAGTAAGTGAGCAAGCAAGCCAAAAGGCAGGCGGCGGGGGTTGTGAACGAGGCTAGCTGTCTTCACCAGACTTCTAAGCACCTCAGAGTGTCCGAGTAATAGGCATCTGATTGTATGGCTGAAGTGAAAGACGAGATAGTACTGTGCTTCGAAAGGTACGTGGTGGTACTTACAGAAAATCGGCTTCATTGGGGTCCGTGAAAGCGTGAATTGGGGGTTGCTCATAGTTAGGCTTCTAGATCAGTATCTAAATGGGAAGAAAAGGAGAATAATGTTACAGATCACGCAGCCTTCAGCATCCCGCAGCAGAAATCATAGAGATTCGGGAAGGAACCAAGGCCGGGGGGAGGGGGGGGGGGGGGGTCTTAAATGAAAAATCAAAGCCACCCTCTCGCCTCGCGCCAGACATTCCGAAGGACCGCCCACAACGAGCGGGGAGCCGGCCGTCGCCGCCAGAACTGCAGACCCACCGCCACCGCCGACAGACTGGCGACCAGGGCTGCGGCGCCGAGCCCCCAGCCCAACAAGCGACCCTGTCTGCGCACAGCCTGCACCACCTCCGAGTATCGCTGGTTGCTGAAGCTGACGCGGGTGTACTGCGTCTGCCAGCCCAGGCCTGGCAGGTAGCGGTCCATGGTCTCCTCGACGGCCTTGCGCAGCCGGTACAGCGGAGACTTGACCCCCCAGCGCATCTCGAGGAAGTTCTGCTTGGAGAGGTCGTTGATGGCGTGCGTGTCGACCGCGCGCTGGTCCGTGTAGGCCTGCAGCGCGCGCCGGCGGGCCTCCTGGCGGCGCTCCGGGTCATCCTGCATCCCCGGGCTGAAGCTATTGCTGTAGACCCCGTGTCGATCCAGGATGTCGAACAGCGTCCGGATGTCCTCCAGCCCGGCGTTGAGGCCCTGGCCGTAAAACGGAAGGACGGCGTGCGCGGCGTCGCCGACGACGACGACGCTGGCGTCGTAGTGGTGGGGTTTGCACTTGAGGCTGATGAGGGGCAGGTGCTGGTTGGTCGTGAACTGTTCGTGCAGGGCCTGCGGGGCGATGAGGTTCGGGCACACCCCGGGGAAGTGGATGTCGAAGAACTCAACCAGTTGGTCAAGGGAGCTGGCCGAGAGGGCGTCGTAGTGGTCGGCGGGGGCGAAGAGCGTGCAGGTGAACGACCGGTCGGCCGACGGGATGGCGATGAACATGAACTCTTTGCCGGGCCAGATGTGCAGGTGGTTGGGGGAGATGAGGAAGTCGTTAGTCGTCGGGGACGGCGGAATCCGGAACTCGCACCACAGCGTGTCGATGTACTCTTGCTGGTAGTCAACGCGGGCGAACTTCATCATGTGGTAGCGCGCCGCCGAGTGGGCGCCGTCGGCGCCGATGAGGAGGTCGAAGGTCGCTTCGACCTCCGTGGCTTTGTCGTAGGGGCTGCTCCCGGGATCACGTCGTTCGAACCAGGCCCGGTTGGCGCGAAAGTCGGCCCCGACGAGTTTGTGGTTAAAGAAAAGTCGGACGTTAGGGGTCTGCTCCAGCTCATCCAGAAGGGCGTTGTTCAGGGTGCCGCGGTCGACCGCGTTGATTGCCTGATGGTGGGATGTTAGACGAGAGCTTTTGCTTGGATGCTGGATGAGGTTTTGGTTGAGGGGCATGAGAAGTATAGAGGGGGGCAACGTACTCGGCCATGAACGTCGTATGCTTGAGCAGCTTCCCAGAGCTTGCCATCTGTCCGGCCGTGGATCATGCGTCCATGCATAGGGATTGAGTCCGCGAGGACCCGGTTGATGAGTTCATCGCGGTGTGACTCCCTCATGGCGTTGATGCCTCGCTCCGACAGCGCCAAGTTGATCGACTTGGTGAAGTTTAACGGGATAGTCGCCGGGTCACGCAGATCTGTAAGCCATGTTATTGAGCCGAGTCGTTGAGGCTTATGAGAGCGCCGTTATAGATATCGAAGTGGGGTCGATAAGAAGTGGATCAGGATCGCGCGACATGGCAGAAACGGCGAACGCAGGTCGAGCTTGTGACAGGATAATGCATCAAATAGATATAACAGCGACTAAACTCACCTCCGCGTAGCTCATATACCTCAACATCGTCGCCTCGGGCTGCTGCATAGAGAGCTGCAAGGGACCCCACCGGGCCTGCGCCCACGATGACAACTTTTTGTTTGGCTGGTGTGGAATGTGCCATGGCGGGGGCGAAGGGACGATCAATGGAGAGTCTAAAAAGAATAAGTCTTACGACAGCTTTCAAAGTCAAAGACCACAGACCCTAGAAATATAGGTATACAACCTCAGGCAGTTCTGTGCTTTTGCAGCTCTTGGCTCAAAAAGTAAGAGTGGCGTGATACAAAAGATTACAAATAGATATGTTGACTGGCTGATGCGTCACAAACTCGGAAGATGAAAAGAAAAGACGGCGGGGCCCCACATGCCGTTTTCTGCCACTCCTCCCCTCCAATCAGCCGCAATTGTCCGATCAAGAGTTCCAGGGCACGTGATGTAGACGCGCGCCTCTGGATCAGCCACTAGTCTCTTTCTGGGTAGCGGTCCCGTGCCCTGCACTAGGCCGTCTCTGGAACGGTACATAGTTTTCTGCCTGGATTGGCGGAACGGCGATTGGCGCCGCTCAGCCGCGGGGGATTGTCCCATTTTTTCCCTCTTTGCGCTGCGGAACATTTCCATAGCCCTTCTGAAGCATCGCTATTTCTCTTTCTCTGCGTGCAATTTGAGACGGTCTCTTTTCTTCCATCTCTGCATTTGACACATTCTCAAGATGACTGCCGAAGTCGCTGCCCGGAAATGCATCGGTGTGGATTGCGATAAGAATGCCGGAACGCTACAGTGTCCGACTTGCCTTAAACAAGGGACGGATAGCTTCTTCTGCTCGCAGGACTGTTTCAAGAAGAGCTGGGTACGGATCTCCTTTTCTGTGCCTCTCTGCAGTGCTTGTCTCTTGACTATGGCTAACCCTCCCTTGCACAGAGCGAACACAAGACGATTCACAAGAAGAGTAATTTCCTGAGCAACCTCTTTACACCCAAAGTAGTTTCTGAACCAGATCCAGCCACGGGGCTCTACAACCCCTTCCCTTCCTACCCTTTTGCCGGCGACCTGAGGCCCGTCTACCCGCTGTCCCCCCGGAGAACTGTCCCCAAGTCCATCCCTCACCCCGACTACGCCAAGGATGGCATTCCCCGATCCGAGCAGAAGTTTGTTGGTCGCCACAACATCACTATCCTGAACAAAGAGGAGCAGGAGGGTATGCGCAAAGTGTGTCGCTTGGCTCGTGAGGTTCTGGACATTGCTGCGCGGGAGATCAAGCCCGGTGTCACAACCGACTACATTGATGAGGTGGTTCACAAGGCCTGCGTTGAGCGTGATGTAAGTGGTGTCGTTGTCTGCCCGCAGAGGATGCTACAGAGGGTATTTCGTGAATGATCTTCGCAACTTACGCGGCCTAGTCCTACCCCTCGCCGCTCAACTACGTCAATTTCCCCAAGTCGGTATGTACCTCGATCAACGAGATTATTTGTCACGGCATCCCCGATCAGCGCCCCTTGGAGGACGGCGACATTGTCAACATCGACGTGACCCTGTACCACAACGGCTTCCACGGCGATATCAACGAGACCTACTACGTCGGTGACAAGGCCAAGGCCAACCCGGACGCCGTGCGAGTCGTGGAGACCGCGCGAGAGTGCTTGGACCAGTCCATCGCGCTGGTCAAGCCCGGCATGCTGTTCCGAGACCCCGGTAATGTGATCGAGAAGCACGCCAAGTCCCGCGACTGCAGTGTGGTCAAGAGTTATTGTGGTCACGGTATCAACCAGCTCTTCCACTGCGCTCCCAACGTTCCCCACTACGCAAAGAACAAGGCGGTCGGCACGGCCAAGCCCGGCATGTGCTTCACCATCGAGCCGATGATCAACCTGGGCACTCACCGCGACCGCACGTGGCCGGATGACTGGACCAGCTCCACTGCCGATGGCAAGCTGTCGGCTCAGTTTGAGCACACGCTGCTGGTGACGGAGGATGGCGTGGAGGTTCTGACCGCTCGCCTGCCGGACTCGCCTGGTGGTCCCATTCCCATTCCCGTGGCTGAGGAACCCAAGACAGATGCATAAGATTTCTTGTTGCCAGAGAGACGAGATAGAGTAGAGCATTCATGAAGAGATTCCGTAACGTCCTTGTCAACGATTTGGTGTATTTTTTGTCCTTCGATTTTGGCGTCACTCCTTTGGAACTGTAATATTTAGAAGACATGCATAGCCACAACTATTATGATCGGGCTTTCCTCTATTCTTCCAGGGGAATCCACAATACCATGGATCCAGGATGTTTCTGCAGCATGGCTTCACTTCCAACCGGGCCGAACAACAACCTCGGCGATGGATGGGGCGGTAGATGGATAAGGAGCATAGCCAATCAATGATGATAGCAGATAATGGCAGGCGGATAACCTCCGACGGTCGGACCTGGATTAGGAATAGTAGTGCATCTTATCACGATTAGGGCCTCAGGCAAGGTGGGGATGGCAGCCTGATCCGACTGTGATTTGTCAGGAATGGGTGGGGAGGCTTATCAGCACGTGAGAAGCACTATGAAGCACCTCATAGTCCAAGCCTCCCTCGTCTCATCTTTTTTCCTTTCCTGTGCCTGCAATTCATGTGCATATTGACTCTCTAGTCTCTAGTCAGTGGAGACGGCGCTGGAGTCAATAATGCTCCCGGAAAGAACCCCGACAGAGACATCCCCGTTGCTGGGGTCTCCAAGTAACACTCAACCCACAGGGACTATCTCCAACGTCGGCGGCGATGTTGAGGCTGGCACCCAACAGCTCCCCGCGCGGGACGAGGAGGAGAATCAGACCAAATTTGCGTCGGAGGCACGCCCAAACCTGAAGTATATCCTTCCGGCGATCTCTATAGGGGTATGTATTCTTGCTTGTCCTTCCAATAGACAAAGTGCTAACTCTTTTGGCTAGATCTTCCTGTCTGCAGCCGATCAGACTATCATCATGGCTAGTTATGGTCAAATTGGTAGCGATCTCAAGGCACTGAACCTGACAAATTGGATCGCTACCTCGTACTTTTTGACTCTGACTTCCTTCCAGCCCCTGTATGGAAAATTGAGTGACATTTTTGGTCGCAAGACCTGCCTGTTGTTTGCCTATGCCATTTTCGGGATTGGCTGTCTGTTCTGTGGTCTTGCGCAGGATATCAACCAGCTCATCGCTGCACGGGTGAGTGATCCTGTTCCTCTGTACTTGATATGTGCTAATCAGGAACCCTACAACAGGTTTTCCAAGGTGTCGGAGGCGGCGGTATGACGACTGTAGTCAGCATCCTCATGAGCGACATCGTGCCTCTCCGCGAACGAGGTGTGTGGCAGGGGATCATCAACATGATCTACGCGACCGGTGCCGGAGTTGGCGCACCACTCGGTAAGACACTCGCGCTGCTACTCTCTGCTTCCCGCTGACCGGTCACTGCAGGTGGCATCTTGGCTGATTACATCGGCTGGCGATGGTGAGTCCACTCTACTGTATTGGACAAACAGAACAGACCTCTAACCCTAGGTCGCCAGGGCGTTCATCGCACAGGCACCCCTCTGCGCTCTTGCTTTCGTCGCCGTTACCTTGATGCTTCACCTGCCGACCGTGGAGGATAGTCACTGGCGGACAAAACTGGGGCGCATCGACTTTCCAGGGGCGATCGTTCTGGTGGGGGCGGTCTTCGGATTCCTGTTGGGGCTGGACCGCGGCAGCAACGTCTCGTGGACGATCCCGATCACCGTGATCTCGCTGAGCGTGTCGGTGGCGCTTTTCGCGCTCTTCGTGGTGGTGGAGTGTTTCTACGCCGCCGAGCCCTTCGCCCCGGGCCACATAATCTTCAACAAGACCTTCTTCGCCGCCTACGGCTGCAACTTCTTCAGCTTCGGCGGCTGGCTGGCCGCCCTCTTCTACATCCCGCTGTACTTCCAGGCCGTCGACGGCGTCTCAGCCACGATTGCCGGCCTGCGCCTGCTGCCCAGCATCCTCGCCGGCGTCAGCGGCTCGCTCTTCGCCGGCTTCGTGATGAAGTGGACGGGCAAGTTCTACTGGCTGACGGTCTTCGCGTACGCGCTGCTCACGCTGGGCCTGACAATCATCACCCTCGCCTCCGGCGGCGCCTTCAAGAACACCACCGTCATGGTCCTGGGCACGGTGTTCTGTGCCTTTGGCAACGGCACCGGCGTCACATCCACGCTTATCAGCCTGAGTACGCCGCCCCGCTTCCATTCCATATCCCTCAGCCCCTCCCCCTCCACCGCTAACTTTTCTGGCCAACAGTCTCAAACGCAACCCCCGAAGACCAAGCCGTCGTAACAGCCTGCTCGTACCTCTTCCGCTCCCTCGGCTCCGTCATCGGCCTCTCGCTCTCCTCGACCGTCGTGCAGCAGGTCCTTCGGGACCGGCTGCAGTGGGCCCTGCGCGACAGCGACGACATCGATTCGATCGTGGCCGGCGTCCGCCAGAGTTTGGACTTCATCAAGACGCTCGATCCCGCCGTGGCCAAGGTGGTGCGCAGCTGCTACGGCTGGGCGACCAATAAGAGCTTTGCCTTTGTGGTTGGGGTCGTGTTCTGCTCGCTTGTGTCGAGCTTTTTTATTCATGAGAAGAGGTTGAGTCGGTAAGACTTGACTTTCACATGGGATATGATTGTGTTGTGTTACCATAAGCTTTGGGCTCTGGGCTCTGCGCGGATGGAAAGGATATGGTTATGGGTTGATGTAGCGTGTTTTAGAATTCTTTGTATGTGTGCGTGTGTGTGTGTCAACAAATTCGGGTTTGTAGCCAGGGGTGAGGGGGTCTTGTTGGCTGCAGGTTTAGAGTTACTGCATGTTTTGATGGGTACATGAATATATGTCTGAATGATAGAGGGTGCGATGTCGTACGGTGCCTGCAAGTTAAAATAGTTACTGTAATTAGTGACTATAGGGAAAGTCAGAGATCAGCAATGTATCTAAAGATAGAATCACAAATCACGGTGCTCGAGAAACGGATAGCTAGCTTCAACCCAGGCAGACATCAAAACCCTGTAGGGTGATGACTGATCCCAGCCTACCGCATCAGACCTTCCACGCTCATCCTCTGGTGACATACTCAAACCCGAACCGACCAGAGCGTCTATATACTATACAGTCAGAGGGAAAGCAGAGCCACGTTCTTCAACATCCCCCCGCCCTATCCTGTTGAATAGAGAAGCAACTACCGAATCTCAGCCTTCATAGCCACCACCTCCCCCGGCCCCAGGATCCGGACCCGCCCCACCCCATCCCGCGCCTCCTCATCCAACACTACCCGATACTCCTCCTCGACATACAGCGGACTCGTCGCGCGGTAGCTGATGCTCTCCGGCAGCGGCAGCGGCAATCCCCGAGAAATCCGCGTATCGCGCCACAGATCCAGCATGGCAATCAGGTTCAACGGCCCGTGCACGACGATGTCGCGGTGGCCCTCGACCTCGCGCGCCCACGGCGTCGAGTAGTGGATCTTGTGCGGGTTGAAGGTCAAGGCCGAGAACCGGAAGAGCGTGACGGGGGTCTGCCGGAGGGTGCGCGTGTGGGTCTTGCCTGTCGTTGTCGTCGTCGTCGTCACGGTACTGGGAGTTAAGTTGCTGTTTTCAGTTGTCGTTGGTGGGGGTCGTGGGGTGGTTGATGGTGGGACGGGGGATGGTAGGGCTTTGCGGAAGATCCAGTTCCTGGTTTTCCCTTCTGGTTTAGTTTGCGTTGCATCGAGGGATGGGGCATGGGGAGATGGGGGGTTTGAGCGCCGTGCTGCAGATCTTGGGGGACTTTGGTGCAGGAGAACTATACTGAAATGAGGGGTTGCGGGGGAGGGGACCCGGACGAACGACGTACCTCCGATCTACAACCGCGACTCCATCCTCATTGCGAAACTCCTTCTCCACGCCGACCACGATCATCTCCTCGCCGGTCTTGCGGACGACCTTGGGCGAGGCGCTCAGCACCCGCGTCGTCTCGTGGACCTCCTGGCCCACTCGGAGGAAATTCGGTCGGCCGGTCGTGGCGTCCCGCGGCCATTGCACCTCCCCGCCGGCCCACATGCGGCGGGTGAAGGGGGCGGCTGGATTGTAAGAGGCGTCGGTGCCGTCGATGCCGAGTTCGGTTTCGAGGAATGCCGGGGTGAAGTAGACGAGGTGGTAGCCGGCGGGGAGCGGGGTGCCGGTGGGGAGCGGCGTCGAGGCGTTGGACAAGGATGGGGAGTTGGGGAAGAGAGAGGGCCGGTTGAGCGTGATCGACAGGAGCTGGAGTTGGTTGGCGTCGAGGATCTGCGTGCGAGTTTGTGGGCCGAGGGATTGGAAGCGCCAGAGGAAGGCTGTTGCAATGGCGGATGCGGAGGTGTCGGTGTTGGAGTTCGTGCGGAGAGAGTTATGGGTGGAGAATTGGCGGCTGGCTCTTGTTGCATTGAGGCAGTGTTTGAGCCGCATGCATCGTAGCGAGGGACAGCGTGCCATGGAGAAGGACATGGTGGGAAACTGGGTGATTCGTGGTGTTGAGTGCTGTCGATGTTGTGAAAGAAGATAGAGTCGGTGGAGAGATCTCCAACTGGCTGGCGCGGGGAGACGCAGTGGGCAATTTATACCTCGGTCGCGATGGGCCTTTCCGAGACCGGGGACTTTCCGAGTAACCGTTATGCTCGAGATCGGCATTGGACTGGGTACAGTAAAAAGACCAGATACGCAGTCAAGATAACGCGATCGCTCGAATGTGTTTCGAACTGAGTGAGTTGCAAGTTGCCTCTCATCTTGAACATCTGGCTCGGTGTACGTCTTCCTCGCGACTGTTTGCAGCATACAAAGTACCGCACAAGCGTACAAGTCCCCCCAAAGTCAGATAGCCTTGAGAAGCCAGCCATCTTCCGAGAGGACCCACTCAGTGGATCCCTTCGGCATCTCGACTAATTCATACTCAAGTAAGTTCCCGCTCAGCTCAGTAAGCCCACTGTTTGAACATTGTTTGAAATTATGCAGAAACTATAGACAGGGTATACCTTGGTATGTACTGTACTTTGGAAAATTCCCAGAATATATGTGCCCGACACATATCATATCCTGTCATCCACCTTCACAACTTTACCTTTCCAGCTTGCAATCGACTCCAGTCATCTCGCTCAAATGGAACATATTGGCTGCCCTGCAGCCAGTACAATTTATCGTCGGCAGCAACCAGTGACGGATCCACACCTTGCGACTGCAAAACATGCTTCTGTTGCTTGTTGTTCCCTGTCGTCTGCATAGCCCGCGTGATGCGCAGAAACTGCGGGGCGGCATAACGCGGCAAGTTCTTCAGAACATGTGCCGACAAACTGCTCAGTGTCTCCTGAGAAGGAGGAATCAAAGCAGTGGAATCCTCAGCGCGGGTCTGCTGTTGGAGAAGAAGAGTCGCACAGCCAGCCCGGCCATCGTGGTGGGGAAGCGCCACCCCGTACACATTCGCTTCGTGCACGTCTGCATGGCCACCTAGCACTTCGGCCACCTCGGCAGTAGACACATTCTCGCTCTTCCAGCGGTATGTATCGCCCAAACGGTCGTTGAAGTACCATCGGCCCTCTTTGTCCCATCGAACCAGGTCGCCAGTCCGGAAATAGGCGTCGCCCTTGCGCAGAACATCCCGAACAAGCTTGCCTTCCGAGGCCTTGGAGTTGTTGAAATACCCGGTGAAGGTCTCCTTAGGATCCGTGGGGTCCACCGCCCACAGCAATTCTCCAGGCTCACCTCGAGGCATCGCTTTGCAGAAGCCAGTCTTCGGGTCGCGCCAGAACTCCTGCGAGACTTCATCAATCTTGACAACCACTACACTGCGCCGGAGAATCCAACCGGTGAACCCTCCGTTCCGACCAATAGCTCCGGCGGTGAAATCATTGGAAGAAAGATTCCATGCCCCGGATGTACCCTCAGTAGATGCGTAGAACTCGGCGATGGTAGGGATATTGAAGCGCTGCTTCACTCGATTCCAGATGTCTGGACGGAGGCCGTTGCCCACTGCCAGGCGAAGGTTATGCTTCTTGTCCAGGTCCTCTCCAGTGACCGGGTCGAGAGCAGGAGGCACAGCAAGGAGGTATCTTAGAGTCTCCCCAACGTATTGGATGATTGTCGCATCACCTTCTCGTACCTCTTGCCAAAAGTTGCGCGCAGAGAATCTGCGGCCAACAAGGGCCGTGCAGCCAGCCCAGAGGCACGGCATGACAGCTAGCAGAGAGGCCGATGAGTGGTATAGTGGCATGGACTGCCTCAAGTCAGCAATCACTCTCAAGGCGAATGGAATTACCTACTGTATAATATCGGTCCGTGCTCCGAAGACCGAGCCAGTTTGTGATCATGATACCTGAGCTCCAAGCTTTTCTCCAGCCGATAATAGCAGGCTTGGGAAGACCCGTAGTCCCACTTGTATAGATAAGCAGAGCTGTATCCCGCATCCTGATGCCATCGCGGACTTTGTCGTCCTCTCGAGTGGGCTTCATTTGTAGGATCTGCGATTCCACTTCAGGTGTGAAGAAAACCACATCCACAGATCCTTTGCCTTCTCGAAACCCTGGGGAGGCGAAATCCTCAAGATGCTCAGGAGGGATCTGGGCGCGCAGCTCCTCGTCTACCAGCAGCAACCTCGCGGATGAGGTCAAGATGGAATGCGTCAGAGGCTTCCCCGTGAGATTATAATTGATAAAAGCGGGGATGGCGCCGATGCTCCAGAGACCAAACCAGATGAAGATGAAAGTTGACGAGTTCATAAAGTCCATGGCCACAACCTCCCTGGCTTTGACGCCATGCACACTCTTGAGCCAGGCACCATACTGCAATGCTATAGTGTAAGTCTCTTGGAAAGTCCATGTGCAGCTGTTGTAGACAAGAAACGGCCGGTCCTTCGTTTTAGGATTCAAGGCCTGGTCTTCGAGCTTGTAGAATAAGTTGACTTTATCGCGACGCTCGCCCGACCGGAGATTAAAGGCAATCTTGAGAAGAACCTTGATCAATATGCGATCATAGAAGAGCGAGTACTTCGCATTCAAATAAGCGAGGGTAGTGGCCAGCGCCGGCCCGGCCAGAGACAGAGGGACATCTAGCTAAGTCAGTGATATGAAACCATATACTTTTTAATGTTCTAGCATATTCACCAGGAATCTCAAGCATGCTGCCTAGCCACTAGGCAAGTGACAAGGGCTCCGGGGAGTTGGGAAGGTCAAAGGGGAAGGGATGGGGGGCAAGAGGACCTCAAATCTCGCGCGACACTCCAACAGCACAGAAGCCAAAAGAAAGTGCAAGGATAGGGGTGCAATGAATGTATTAAAGAAGGAAAAGAGGGGTGGTGGGTGAGTATCCATTCTTTAGAAGACTCATGACTTAAACGGGGCAGAACAATGAACGTCAGACATCATACCGGTTCATACCTCGGCAGGAGGACTATGCAGAGTTATGCAGTGGATGAACTTCTCCGGCATGGATGTATGAATGGGGGATAAAGTTGGGAAGGCCCCACCAACTTACCCACCTCGCCTAACATCACCGATCCCATCGATTGATCGCCTCCCCTGGATCTCATACTCCCTCGACATGATGATAGGAACCAGGCAAGGGTACCGTGCACCTCACCTTGCTGCTTTTTTTTTTTTTTTTTTTGGAATATCGATCACTTTTGTCGTCGGGCAAATATGACAAGAGTAGTTATTACAGTGACGGTGTGTCCACTTTTTCAGCCTAGGTTTCACATGGCCAAGCGATTTAGGCGTTCTGAACGTTACTCGAGGGTACTGTGCATGGATGCTAACCAATCTTCTCAGGGCTAACAATAACCCTCGTTCGTAGGTGACCCTGTCACTAAAGGCATATCGAACAACAAGGTAGCGTTAGCATGGCAGCCTTGAATAGCTTTGTGGACCCTCGGGACCCTCCAGTTGTATTTCCAATCCACCGACTGTGGGTCTCTGAAGCTTGGAGTCGCTTAGCATGACAGCAACAATAGTCATATTACTATTGGGATTCATTGGACCTCGGGATAATGATGAGGGCACTGTTCGCCATTGAAGTAGCTTTTCGCCACCACCCTGATGCGAAGTCAAGCCAAGGCGACCATTCTGTAGGCGGCGAGTGATAGGTGGACTAAGCTGGTCCTCCGACAGATCGTTGGGGTAAGTCATAGACTAGAGGGTGCGACATAGATCAGCCACGTCGGAGGTGATACTGGGCTTCAGATGATTGACCATTAGACCCTCGTAGTCGCGGTATGAGCAGCGTGCCTAATGCGGGGGCGTGTGTCAGCGCTCGGAACTAGGCGTGTCTCTGGTCCCCGATGTACAGTTTTCCGGGGGAGGAGCGCGCACGTGCGATTGGACTGAATCACAATCCCTCGAAGATCGCTTTTCTTGTTGTGGAAACATGGCATAGTAGTTTTCAGAACCACTTTTCAATGCTTCTGAGGTTATTTGACGGATGATGATTGCGCAAGCAGCAAAGTGGGTGCGGAATAAGTATATTTTCAGAGCACAGGTACAAAGGAGGGGAAGATTAGACAGGAAATTGGTCAACTTTGAGTTCACAATTGAAGCAAGTATTGCGATACTAATCTCAACGAAATCAACAAGAATGTGTTGATGGAGAAGGGAATAATCCAGACAAGAGGGTTCCTGGTACCTGTGTGCCTGCTGGCAGTGGGTACGCAGTAGCTTCCCGAGAACTCATTGGTGCCCCAGGCTGTCAGGCCGTGGCTGGTTTAGCGCATCTCCGCCCTCGTCATCGCCCCAACCCCAACCGGTTTCCCTTCCAACCTCCGCCCTCCTCATCTCTCGCCATCATCAACTTACCGCCTCTTTGCTTGTTTTTGTCGCGCGTCTCATTTCCATCCACACAAGCAATTTCCGGCCCTTCTTCCTGGTACTCTTCTTTCTTGCCCAGCCCTGTTGGTAGCCTTCTTCTGATAGGGAAGCCCGATGCACCACTTGGCTTCTTGATTACTTCGGCGTTGCTCGTCATTTACTCCGCATTGGGCGTCTCTCCGGTGCGCACCTCGATCGATATTCGCCAGCAACCTTCTTGTCTCTCCGGGTACATTGTCGCTGACAACTATACTTTCTTTCTAGCTCAGGATGAGGCTTCCATCAATACTACACCTTTCGCTGGCCTTCGGGCTCTCGTTATCTGCATCTGCTGTTGCAGCGCGGAGCAACTACTCCGAAGCCGAGCTAATACCTCCGCTCTTCTCCACCTTCAGCGATCGGCCAGACGGGTGCCCTCCGTGCTTCAACTGTCAACTAGACGCCTTCCAATGCGCCCAGTATGCATCATGCGATAGGTTCACAGGAAAATGTGTCTGTCCGCCCGGCTTCGGAGGCGATGATTGTGCACAGCCGTTGTGTGGATCGTTGGCCGATGGGCACCAGAGGTCGCCGCCGAAGGATGGGCAGTGCGCATGTAAGGATGGCTGGGAGGGTCTCAATTGTAACGTCTGTCAAACGGACGATGCTTGTAATGCCATGATGCCAGAAGGAGAGGGCGGCGTTTGCTACAAGCAAGGTGTTACTGTCAAGGAGAATTTCCAGATGTGTGATGTGACCAACCGCAAGATCCTGGACCAATTGAAGGATCGCAAGCCTCAGGTTACATTCTCATGCGAGGCAGAGGATAACACCTGCAATTTTCAGTTCTGGGTAGGCAAGGTAGAGTCCTTCTACTGCGGCCTGGATACGTGTCAGTGGGGACTGGAGACGACTCACAACCAAAACAAGACTCACTACACGTGCGAAAACATCCACTGCGAGTGTATTCCTGGACGCATGCTGTGTGGCGAGGAGGGATCCATTGACATTGGCGACTTCCTCCGAGAATCGATCGCGGGTCCGGCATCGTTTTCGTCCGTCTCGACCGAAGGAGGTAGTCCCGACGATGGAAGCAAGTTCCAGGAGCCGGCGATGGATGATTTAATCAAGGCAGTCTTTGGTGATAAAAGTATCACGCTGAACTGCAATGCAGGAGAGTGTTTGTATAGAACAGACGTCCCCGGATATACTCGCCCTGTCAAACAGATCAATACCCCTCTCATTGCTGGCGTCATTGCAGGATGTGCTCTCTTCGTCGTGGCTGTGATCTTAGCAGTATGGTACTTGTCGCGCAGGTCTTATGGTCGCATACAATTGCCCCTCTCCGACGACTCTGACGATGAGGCGGCCAAACTCCTAGCCGAACACAAGCCAGCAGCCCTGTACTGGGACAATGTCTCATACTATCTTAACGGGAGGGAAATCCTCAGTGGCATCCAGGGTGCATCCCAACCCGGTCAAATTACGGCTATCATGGGTGCTTCAGGAGCAGGCAAGACCACCTTCCTTGACATCCTTGCTAGGAAGAACAAGAGAGGCACGGTTCGTGGTGAATTTTATATCAATGGAGAGAAAATCAGCGACCATGATTTTAAATCTATGATTGGTTTTGTCGACCAAGAGGACACTATGCTTCCCACTTTGACCGTGCATGAGACTATCCTGACCAGTGCGTTGCTGCGGCTTCCTCGGGACATGAGCCGAGCTGCCAAGGAACAACGAGTATTCGAAGTCGAGAAGCAGCTTGGAATCTTACACATCAAAGATCAATTGATCGGATCCGAGGAAGGTAAAGGCCGAGGCATATCTGGCGGTGAAAAGCGACGAGTGGGAATCGCTTGCGAGCTTGTCACGAGCCCCAGTATACTTTTCTTGGATGAACCCACTAGTGGCTTGGTGAGTTTTGAAGTTCTGGTGCATGCAGCATTCGCTCACAAGTTCAATTAGGACGCGTTTAATGCCTTCAATGTTGTGGAGTGCCTGGTCACTTTGGCAAAGACATACAACCGGACTGTCATTTTCACCATTCATCAGCCGAGATCCAACATCGTGGCTCTATTCGATCGACTTATTCTTCTTGCTAAAGGAAAAACTGTCTACTCTGGCCCATTCTCGACATGTCAACAATACTTCGATCAGGCGGGATACTCTTGCCCTCCGGGCTTTAATATCGCTGATTACCTGGTTGATCTTACGATGCATGCCAGTGTTACTCGCTCTTACAGCGACGAAGTCGGATCTCCTTTGTCGAGTGCGCGTATGGATCCCCCCAAGACAGCTTCAAGCAGTTTGAGAGCGGTCAAATCCGTCGCAAGCGCATCAAACGTAAGCTTGGAGGATAATTCCAGCAGTACCTTGGAAGCGAACCGACGGCCCAAGAGTCAGCGGCGAGTCTCGCTCAAACAACGGCAGGACAGGCAACTATACTCACGGAAAAAGGACCCCGAGGCACCGTCTACACCCAAGACTGATGAAGAGGATGTGCAATTGGATGATGTGGCGGACGACACTCAGCAATGGCTGCGTCTATCCCGTCAACCTGCTATTATACCGCACCAGACTCCCGAAGAACCCGATCATTTACCACCTGTCGCTCCAGGCCAGACAGATCTTGATATCCTGGTCTCCAATTACATCTCGTCGGATATTGCCCGCTCTGTGCATGACGAAATTGTGGCCGCCATCCAGAATGCTCGGGCGGCCAACGGATTCGCCAACCCGGAAGCTCTCTCTGCTCCCCATGTTGTAACATCCAAGGGTTATGCTCGAATTGGCCTCTTCCGCCAATTCTTGATTCTCTCGCAGCGGACCTGGAGGAACCTGTACCGCAATCCGATGTTGATGCTTACCCATTTTGCGATCTCCATTCTGCTTGCTGTCCTGTGTGGTTACCTCTTCTATGGACTGACTGACGACATTAAGGGCTTCCAGAACCGACTGGGTCTCTTCTTTTTCATCCTAGCATTATTTGGCTTCAGTACCCTGACTAGTCTGACCGTCTTCTCATCGGAGCGACTTCTTTTCGTACGTGAGAGAGCAAATGGCTACTACCATCCGATTACCTATTTTGCGGCTAAAGTGGTGTTTGATATCGTACCTCTTCGACTTCTGCCACCAATCATTATGGGGATGATTGTGTATCCAATGACGGGACTGATTCCAGCCTGGGGCGAGTTTTTCCGATTCATTCTGGTGCTGGTGCTCTTTAATCTTGCCGCCGCCAACATTTGTCTTTTCATTGGTATTATCTTCCGTGACGGAGGAGTGGCCAACTTGATCGGAAGTCTTGTGATGTTGTTCAGTCTCCTGTTTGCCGGTCTTCTGCTCAACCACGACGCAATTCCCAAGTCTGCTTTGTGGCTACAAACGGTAAGTTTGTCACCAATACATTCAGTCCTTACTCATTGTACCCTGCTGACCGCTCGTCTAGCTATCTATTTTCCACTACGGCTTTGAGGCATTGATTGTCAATGAAGTGACGTATTTGACCTTGATCGATCACAAGTATGGATTGGATATAGAAGTTCCAGGCGCCTCGATTCTGAGTGCTTTTGGGTTTGATACCCTTGCCTTGTGGAAGGATGTTATCGGGCTGGCCGTCATCTCCGGCGCCTTCATTGTGATTGCATATGGCGCGATGCATATCCTGCTTGTTGAGAAGCGGTGACGGCTGTATATCTCACCTGAGCGAAACCCTAGGTGTGGCCTTTCGGTCGCATCTTATCTGGAGGGTTTGTTTCTAGGATTTTCTTACGTTATGTACTTTGTATGATGGAACACGTTGATGAGACCTTTTCTATGCGACCTTTCTTCCCTTTTCGTCTGTTCTCAATTTTGTTTCTGAAGCCATGATTTCCAAGCTGTCAATGACCAGTTACATTGTATATAGACGAATGGTCATCCATTTGATCCTCACTGGGCGCAGTAGCAAGTTATCCCTTTGCGGAACGAAGCACGTGTTCCCCCACGTCATTGGTAGTCAGCATCATGGCTGGCTAGTTTTGGCACGTGAATCTTGAAATGGGATCGGACCCAACAGGTGGGGTAGACGTGGAAGGTCTGACTGAGAAAAGGGTCACTTGGATGACAGAAGGACACAATCTCCTCTCATCAATAGATTGAACTACAGTCCTCTGGCCTCCAGGCTTGCAGTCGTAATATAACCACTGGCACGTCAGAGTCAGGACGCCATAAGCGGTGACTGTATTCCCCAGACCGGTTCACCGCCTTGGCCAGCTTCCCGAATCCCCTTCGCGGCTTTTCCCTATCGGGGCGAATCCACAACCGACTCACTTATGAACTTCACCACCTGCTTGCATCCTCCACCTTCCCCTACTACTCTCTTCTCCTCTCTTCCTTTGGTCTTCCTCTCGTAGCGCTTACTGTCGACCTCTGTTGCTTTCCAGCTCGTCTCCTACTCTATTCTTTTGAGTCTTTTTTCTTGCGGTACTCAATAACTTTCTCCCAGCCCCATATTTTTGCCCACCATGTCCGGTGAAGCCTGGCTCTATCTGTTGGCGGTGTTGATCAACGCCGTCAACTTGTTCCTTCAAGTCTTCTTCACGATTATGTATAGCGATTTGGAATGGTAAGGACTGAATACCCTGCACATTTTGACTGACAACAACCCGAGCTGGGCGTGTGATCTGATTGCTTCGGCGAATGCATCGCGACGGAACCTATTCGAAGATCTACAGCTAACTTGAGTCTTCTACAGCGACTACATCAACCCGATCGATCTCTGCAACCGTCTCAACGCTTACATTATTCCCGAAGCTGCTGTCCATGCATTCCTTACCATCCTCTTCGTCATCAATGGCTACTGGGTCGCTATTGTGCTCAACTTGCCTCTGTTGGCGTTCAATGCCAAGAAGTGCGTTACTCTCGCAACCACCGCCCTCGCAAGCGCAACGGGTCTTTCGATATGTTCGCTAACCACATTTTCCCCGCTACAGGATCTACGAGAACCAGCATTTGTTGGATGCGACCGAGATCTTCCGCAAGCTCAACGTGCACAAGAAGGTTCGCCCATCGGCTTTACGTCACACATTCTTGGCGAAGTGCCCGCTAACCACCATACTACCATAGGAATCCTTCATCAAGCTGGGCTTCCACCTGATCATGTTCTTCTTCTACCTCTACAGCATGATCGTTGCTCTTATCCGCGACGAGTCTCACTGAATTCGCAACACGGCGGAGCACGCGATGCGCAACGGCCGTCCGGGCTAATGTATCGCGGGGCGTCAAGCCTTGTCCTTTCGTTGAAACGGCCTGGATGAAGCATGGCTCTGCAAGTATCAACCTCGCTGCTGCATCCCGATTGGGTTGGATTCGCCGTACGGCACATATCTGCTGGGATGCATTCGATGCGACCGGGCGCCTGCAGCAGGAGAACTTGTAAATGACGTGACTATGAAAGATTATCATTGACGACAACGACAATGTGAAGGTGAATTTGAGCTGTTGCGGTTTTGGCTTTCTTAATTCCAAATTCGAGGAGTGGACGATGAAGGAGCTCCCTCCTATCGTGCGTTAGGGCCTTGGTCCTTGAGGCTATGTGTATGTGTGTCTAATTTCGATTTGCTTTATTTTTGCCTTGGTTCTCTGATATTGTTATATTCCTTGTTGATGTCTTCAATAATGCTGTATATACTTTCAGCGGTGTGACAATGAAGAGCGTACGATACCCTAGGTGTCTTCCAATATCATCTCCAGGTGGCTCGGATGGAGTAGTTTGACATGATATGTAGACCTCTAGGATGTCAAGTGTGGCATCGAGTAGCCGGGAGCATCGATAGGCTCTGTTAAGAATGATGGTTCTATAGATAATTGTGGATTAAGCATTCGCTTTTACACTATATAGTGTACTACAGATATACTGGGAAGCTACCTCGAGCTCGGCGGGCAATCCGTACCGCAAAGGCGGTCATGGCCGCGGCTTCCGCCCGCCCAAAGTCGCCGGAGAACCTCGACAAGCCCGCATCATCCAATCTGTCTACCTTTTGTCACGTCGTGACCAATTCTGTTCACCTGACCCCTTACCTTGCAGACTCACGTATACGAAGCAGTCTGATATCGACAGAAATGCTTCTATCCGCCTAAGACTCCGCTCTTTTCCTTGGCCGCCATGTCGGACGCCCGCCCTCGGTTGGCTTTGTCACGGTACCGTCCGATTCTCTACCTCCTCTCCGGTGTCGCAGCAGCCTACGCAATCGTCTACATACGGCAACACCTCCTTCACCCCGGGGACACTGGCGCTAATACTTCTCCTGGTGGCTCACGTCTACATCGCCGCCGCGCTGTGCGCCGCCAGCGACGCAACAACAGCAGTAACAACGAACTCCCCGATGAGTCCTTCGCCGCCGCGGCGGACACTCCCTCATCGCGGGCCATCGCGCACCTCGAACAACTCGAGCGCCACAATGGTGTCTATGGAACCTTCCGCATCGAGACCGAAGATGGCCGCCGCGTGGAAAGCGGCCTCCTCCCATCTCTCCTAGCGACGCGAGACCAGCTCATGGAGCAGGTCGGGGTGCCCCAGGACCACGCCGAGCGGATGCGGGAGATGATGGAAGATACCTTCTTGGAGTCTTTCCTCGCGCTGGATTTCCCCTCCAGTCACCGTCTGGACGAAGGCAGTCCCGAGCGGGAGTATCTGATCGAGCAACTCCAGCGGCGGGGGATCTCGCGCGCGGGCATCGAGCGGGCCCTGGTTCGGTTCAACGCGGACGATAACTACGGAGCGGATCTGCGACGACGGCGGCAGAATGGCGAGCGAGTCACGCTTTCGACGTCAAGCTTCCCGTACGAGACTGAGGAAGGCCAGTCGCCCATGACCGGGGTGCACAATGCTCCGCTGGCGGACGGCGGGGATGAGACGGTCGTGGATGACCAGAGCGTGTTCTCGTGGCGCGACGGCGCGGAACACAACAATGAAGCGGCGCCGATGCGCGATGGCCAGAACCTGCTGAATCTGCTGTATCACATCGCGGAGGACCAGGCGAGGAGGGATGGGTATATTCACCGCGGGGTGACGTGTAATAGCTGCGGTGCGATGCCGATCCAGGGCATCCGGTATCGATGTGCGAACTGTATCGATTATGACCTGTGTGAGACGTGTGAAGCCATGCAAGTCCATATCAAGACGCACATGTTCTACAAGGTGCGCATCCCCGCGCCATTCCTTGGCAGTCCACGTCAGTCGCAGCCGGTGTGGTATCCAGGGAAGCCCACGATGATGCCGCGCAGCTTGCCGAGATCGTTGTTCAAGCGGCTGATGAAGGAAACTGGGTTCGAGAACACCGAGTTGGACGCGCTATGGGATCAGTTCCGGTGCCTGGCAAATCACGAATGGGAGGACGATCCGAACAAGGTGTATATGGCAATCGACCGGAAGACTTTTGATCGGTGCTTCGTGCCGAACACTTCTCTCAGGCCACCGCCCCCGAGCTTGATTTATGATCGCATGTTCGCGTTCTACGACACTAACAATGACGGGCTAATTGGCCTGGAGGAATTCCTGAAGGGCATCGCGAGTCTGAACAATAAGAGCAATGACGAACGGCTTCGCCGTGTCTTCCGGGGCTATGATATTGATGGTGATGGCTTCGTTGAGAGGAAGGATTTCTTGCGGATTTTCCGAGCTTACTACGCCCTCAGCAGGGAGTTGACTAGGGATATGGTTGCCGGCTTGGAGGATGATTTCCTGGAAGGCAGCGCTCGGGATGTTGTTCTTGGAAGCCAACCGATCAGCTCAGCATTTCCTGGTAGCATTCCAAATGGGGAATCTTCACGGACGGGTGAGGGGAAGCGAGTCAATCATGACGGAGATCTCGAGATTGTCGACAATGAGGGCGTGCTTCGTCTCGATGGGGCGGATACTGGCGACCGCTACTCGGTGATTGGTGATGCTGCCGTTCGAAGCTATTATGGCGTCACGCGGCCGGTGTTGCCGACGACGCGCCACTCTGTTCCCGGTTCTGCCCAAGCTTCTGGAAGCCAACCGAGAAGAGAGACAAATGTAGAAGAAGCCGGGGCTGCAGCTGATGATGCGTCCAGTTCGTCTGGAGCCAGCGACCGCTGGCCTCCTCCGGAGCACATCCGCAATGAGGACATTGTCAGTGCTCTCGGAGCGTATGTTCCAGTCCATGAGATCACAGATCCTGTTGATCGGGCTCGCATCGGCACGGCCGTGTATAACAGGATGTATGCTACAGACCAAGTTCGTCTCCACGTCACCCGCCGAATGGGAGTTCATGATCGATGGAGACGGCGAGGATTCTACACAGACGAAGAGGATGGCGCCACCGCCCCTGTTGGCTATCAAAGCGATATGGACGCGGCTAGCTCAGATGAAGAGGAAGATAACGAGGGTGATGAATCACACGCAGCCGCCTCGGAGTCACACCCGCCGTCACCTCGTTCTCGGTCCTCGTCCAAAGTGCGATTCCAGGATGACCTGACGGACGACTACGACGTGAGATCAAACCCATCGACCTCATCGCGAAGCATTCTCGTGAGTGAGCGATGGGGCGGCTTCGAAGTTCCTGAAGTGGAAAGAGACGTCGGAAAGGAGATCTTGTATCAAGTCACACAACAAGGGTTCAACGAGTTGCTTGACATCCTTTTCAAGCAGAAGGAGGATCTACTAATGGAGGTTTACGAGACTCGTGCCGAGCGTAAAATATGGGCCCGTGAGATTGAACTTACAGAACAGATGGAGCATGGTAAACAGGCAGCTCAAGACCTTCCCATCGTGCAGCCGGAATCTGAAGCCGATGAGGACGCCGAGGAGGAGGAGGAGGAGGAGGAGGAGGGAGCAGAGGCAGCCATGCAGAGCATGCTCCGTGACAGTTCGCTCGACGACCTCCTCCAACGGGCCGGGTACGCCGTTGAGGGACTAGATAACGTGCAGGCTTTGGCGCCTCCGACGCCAGACTTGCATATCCCTGATGACCCGGTGGAGTCACTTATCGACCCTACCGAGACAAGACCTATTGCAGCTGCAGCGGCATTAGCGTCACCATTGAATATGCCCGTGGGATCTCGGGACAACGAGGACTGGATACCGCCTCACGCAATCTCTCCCTCCTCGCCCTCCCTCTCTGCCTCCTCTGTTGCCTCCGAAGCAGCAGCAGCAGCAGCAGAGAGTAGGCCTTCGTCCGCCGCGGCATCATACTACGATCCCACACTTCCCCACCACCGTCCCAACGAGGAAGACCTCCTCGCGACCACAACCACAAGTACCTTCCACCAAACCACCAGCCGCGGCCCATCCCCATCACCGGCTCTCCTCTCCCGCCACCGCACCGACCTCCCCACCGAGCTGCGTCTCGACCCCACCGGCTCAACCTCCTTTCCAGCGCCCACCTCGCACCTATCCGCCTCCCCCGACGCCGAGGCCACCGCCCCCAAACTCTCCCCGTCGCCCATCCAACCCCTGCCCCCACCGTCCGCCACCCTCCCGAAACGACCCAGTCCGACCCTGCCCCCGTCGCCGGTCACGCTGTCGCGCTGGGCGTACTTGAACAAGATCGAGCGCGAGGCCAAGGAGCGCGGCGGCAGCGGCGCGAAGCTTAACTTCGAGGAGTTTGCGCAGCGCATGGCGATGGATCGCGGCCGCACCTTGGCGTTCGTTGCGAGTTGGATTGAGATGGCGAGTTTTTAGTGTCTGCAGTTCGAGTCGAGTCAGTTGTCAGGGTGGGTCTGATAAATTTATGTGTATATGCACAGTACAGTACCGTTACTTATTCTAGCCTATAGCGGCGGGTGAGAATGGGTTGGGGAGTCAATCAGCATTCACGAGGATAGGGCCAGTGGCTAGGGCCGTCACTGTGTATACACCTTATTTTACCCTAACGCTCCTCTGTGATAAGCCATCCAGCAACTTGAGGAAGAAAGTCCGTGGATGTTAGGCGTTGTAAAGTGTAAAGTACATAAGTTAGTGCGGTGCCTATACGTGACATTGGGAAAAAGAAAAAAAAAGGCCTTGATATGAAAGCAACATCATACCATAAACACCATTGTATGTATCCCTTTTGAAAAGCAGAAGATGAAAAAGATAAACCTAAAGAAACAAAGAAAAGGGAACTTAATCCCAATAGCGAATAATCCCATCCAACCCGCCGGTAACAACCTTGCTGGTCTCCTGGGGATGCCAGTCGAGACAGGTGGTGGCGCCGCCCTCCTTGCCGCCGGCGAGGATCTTGTGGTACATCTTGCCGGTCTTCCAGTCCCAGAAGCAGACGTAGCCGGCGCTGTCGCCGGAGGCGAGGAACTGGCCGTCCGGGGAGCAGCGGATGTCGATGCCGTAGCCGGCGTTGTTGTGGCCGCGGAAGCTCTTCTTGCGGTTCTGGCGGAACTTGTCGGTGGCGCCGTAGACGACGATCTGGTTGTCGCCGGACTGGAAGGCGACGTACTTGCCGTTGGGGTGCGGGGCGGCGCGCGTGAGGGCGAACATGTACGGCTCGGCGATGAACTTGATGGGCACGGGGATGCCGTACTCCCAGGCGCGCAGCGACTTGTCGTCCGACGTGGAGATGAAGCGCCGGTTGTCGTCCACGAAGGTGATCGTGTTGATTGCCGCCAGGTGGTGGTCGTACTCCTGGACCAGCTCCCCGGACCGCGTGTCGAACTGCACGATCTTCTTGTCGGACATGCCCGCCAGGAACTCGTGCGAGAGCTCGGGGGACGGGTTGAACCGGATGACGTGCGGCGTCTTGCCCGTCGAGAACCGCCCCACGCACTTGCCGTACTCGGTGTCCCAGAGCTTGATCTGCCGGTCGTACGAGGCCGTGAGGAAGGTCGTCCCCGTCGGGTGGAAGTCCGTGTCCGTGATCGCCTTGCTGTGGCCCGAGAAGGTCCGCAGCAGCTCGCGCGAGTGGTACGCGTCCCAGATCTTGGCCTGGCCGTCCGCGGCCGCCGACAGGAGCAGGTGGCCCGACCGCGGGAAGAAGCGCAGCGAGGTGATCGGCTTGGTGTGCGATTTCCACGTGTGGATGAGTTTCTTGGGGATGAAGTTCTTTGTGCTGCCGGGCTCCCGACGGAGGTCGATGTCCAGGTCCTGCGGGATGTGCATGTACGTCCGGCCCTGGTAGTCGAACTGCTCGCTGCCGTGGAACTCGGTCGTCTCCGCGGTGGTCGAGTCGTCCTGGTAGTCGGTCGCCAGCTTGTCCATGGGCAGGGGGATGTGCGAGAGCGGTGCCTGGGCGGCGTCCACCTCGTCCTCGTACACGTATTCCTCGTCGCTGGCCAGCTCGCGGTCCCCCTCCGCCTCGTCGCCGTCCACGGCCCGCTCGTCGTAGTAGTGGTCGTCGGACTGGTATTTCGCCCACGGGCCCAGGTAGGCGCCCTCCCCTTCGACGATGCTCGAGTCTCCCTTCCGCTGCCGCTTGGCGCGCAGCGCCGCGGAGACGGCCTTGGACGGTTTCATCTGGATCACGTCGCGGCCGCCGAACTGGGCGGCGTGGGCGAGGTTGCCGACGAACTGCTCGGGCTGTGTCGGGTTGCGCGTGTAGCCGAGACTCTGGAAGGTGCGGTGCTGCGCCGTGAAGGTCGCTTCGCTGATGGCGGCCTCTTCGGCGTATCCGGTGGGGACATTCTTGCGCTTGAGGCCGTGGGCCCCTCCGGTGGCTTTGAACGGGTTGACCGGGCCTTGGGATGGTCGGGAAAGGTCATCGTATGTGGCGTTGTAGGTCAGGGCGGTCGAGGAGGTGTTAGCTAGCATCATCTGCATGTGTCCTTGATCCTGTAGGACTGTTAGCTATGCGGGGCTTTTGGAGGTGTTGTATGGCGAGGAGAGTTCGCATTCTCCAAGGGCCATCCAGCGGAGAGAGGAATCTCAAGGGACCAAACCTCTGTGTTCACTTCGGGCGCGGCGACAATCTTGGCCGCAGACGGCACCGGGGCCTGGGTTTGCGGGGCGGAGGGCGTGCTGTCATCGTCGCTAGACTCATAGCCAGCTCCAAGTAAGGACGACATGACGACTAATGGGGTTGCGATCCGAAAAAAGAAACTGGATCGTTGTTTATCGGAAAGATGGAATGAAGCTATCGGAGGCTGCTCTGCAACCCATCACTTTCCACGGAGCCGGAGCCACAATATTCCGCCCTATCTAATAATCACTACTAAGTCATTCCCTCCGTACATCACTTCAATTGATGTGGCCTTTGAACATGACAACATAATTTGGCAATATGTTTCGTACGAGGTAGGACTGAGAAAATGAAGAAAATGGAGCAAATGCACTTTGCTAATTGAAAATCATAGACGGAGAAATAAATAATCTGTCAATACAGTACAAACCGTACAGCTCTCCGATGCAACTCATCTCATCTCATCAGTATCCGGAGCACTCAGAACCAATTCTCCCGATCTCCATTGTGGCTGAGGAACAAGCCACTATCCTCGATATCCAGATGCTCAACCACTTGAAGCACCTTTCGAACACTCTCCTCCGGGAGAATCTTTCCCTCGAGGTCAGGTTTTGCCGCCTGAAACTGCTTCAGCAAGAAGTTATCCGCTTCCACTACCTGAGCGGGTTTCTCTCCTGCGACGATGTAATCAGTTATCTCGCTTGTCTGCGATAAAGGCAGAGCTACTTACCCTCCCACGTATCCACCCAGCCGGGGCTCACAGCCACCACCTTGATGCCCTTCGGCGCCAGCTCTACTGCGTACTTGGCGACTTGAACATTCACAGCGGCCTTGGCGATAGAGTACGCGACCGCCACGCTGACCGCAGCCTTCTTGATGAACGCCGTGTCGGCCATCCCGGTGGAGATGTGCACGATCTTCTTCTGGGTGCCCTTCTCGATCAGGGGCAGGAAGGCGTTGGTCGTCCAGAGACCGCCGTAGACATTCGTACTGAGCGACGGCTCGAAGCTGGCCCGCATGGCCTGCGGATCAAAGGGCATCTGGGTCGGGGTGTAGGACATGGAGGCCACATCCACGGCATTAGAGTTGTGGATTAGCACATCGAGCGACCCGCCGGTGACGGCGGCTGCCGCCGCGGCCGCCTCGAGGATCGACTGGGGGTCCGTAACGTCGCCTTTGATGGCGTGCACGTTGGGGTGCTTGGAGGTCAGCTCGGCGATCTCGGGCGATTCGGGGTTTCGCACGATGGCCAGGACTGTGTTGTTTGGATCGGCTGCGAGTTGGCGCACAAACTCGCGGCCAATGCCCTTGGAGGCTCCGGTGATAGCGTAGGAAGACATAATTCTTCGATTGGGATGAAGATGATCTGGTCAGATGACTTGCTCAGATGAGTGTGGATTGCTGTGTGATGTGTTGTTGATATCATTGTAAGATAGCGTTCGATTTCACTTCCTTATATATTCTTCAAGTTCTCGTATACTATGATGCTTATAGATTGGGCGGGATCCAACCCGCTCCGACCGGACGATCCGTTTGCCCCGGTCCAATTGATTAGCAAGCTGGGACGGGCGGGCATCGGCCGATCCGACTTGACCGGCCGCTCCGTTCCCTGTGCCAGTCCCAGCTCCCCCGCCCCCGACTTACGTGACACAATGAATGCCACCATACCTGCAGTCAAGAGGAGGGCATGCGTAACATGCACCGCAGCCAAGGCGAAATGCACGCCGCAGACTGTCAACATGTGCCAGCGATGCGCTCGTCTGGGCAAATCATGCACCTACCTAGACCTTCCGCAGACGAAACGCAGGCATAAGGCTGCACCGACTGCCCCGAGGTAGGTCTCCACACATACATTACTATAGCACTCGCGAGTATTGATCAGGATGCAGCCGTGTGGAGGTGCTAGAGAGGAAGGTCGAACAGCTGATGTCGCAGCTGGTTGCCTTGACCCAACCGAACGGACACACATCGACTCCGCTCACCACCCACGACGGGGCCTCATCTCGGGATGCAGATGCAGATTTGGGTTCGCCAGACATTGCGGCGATGCTCGACGCTGCTAAGGACTCCTCGCACGGGCTCGATCCGCCGATCGGCTCCGCTCTGGCCGGCCAGCCGTCCATCGTCGAGCGAGGGCTCCTGAGTGCAGCCGAGGCGGAGCGATTGGTCACGACCTTCCAGCGCGACTTCGTGCTCACCTTCCCCTTTGTCGTGCTCGCGCACGGCGAGACAGCCGCTCGTCTGCGGGCTCGCGAGCCGTTTCTGTTCCTGTGCGTCGTGGCCGCGACCATCGGCAGTGCGCATCCGCTGCGCAAGACCGTCGCCGAGGAGATCATGAAGCACATTACGTGCCGAGTCGTGGAACGCTCCGAGCGGAATCTCGAGTTGCTCCGCGGTCTGTTGGTGCACTGCGCATGGTACTCGTACCCTGCGGAGAAGAATCACCCGCGACTACTGTTATTGATCCAGTTTGGTGTTTCGATGGTGCATGATCTGGGACTGCACAGGAAGCCTGCCCTAAGTTCTGATGAGCAGCGGGCGCTGCTCGGTACGTTCTGGGTATCGGTTGGGTGAGCTTGTCTGCGCCGGCTCAATGCACTCCTTCGGCTAACTCTAGATGTTACATCAGTGTCTGTGGCACGCTCGACCGACCGATTACCATGAAGCATGATGGTCGAACCGAGGAGTGCCTCGCGGGGATAGCAGATGCCAAACATCCGTCGGATCGGTGGATTGCGCCGTTCATCCGTCTAGAGTCTTTCTTGGTAACAATGGAGGAACTTTATGCGTCGGTACAAGCAAGCGGGGGAAGAATGCTCGTCCAGGTTACGCGGGGCGCTCTACAGCGGCAATTCGATAGCCTGAGGGCGGGTATAGAAAAAGATCTCCCAAGCTACCCTTCATCGACAGGTGCGTCTCGTACCTCCTCGGAGTCTTTTTGATGGAAATTGACACAGACCCACACAGCGAACGCAATCCGCATCGAGATCAAACATGCAGAGCTACGGCTCGAGGAACTATCTCTCCGAGAGGACCTGTGGACCGCAGAGCCCGCCTGCGCAGTCCGGACGACGATGCTGATGGGCCTCATCCAGCGAAGCCAAGAGCTCATCCGCACGGTCAGCCACTTGCCCGTGTCGGAGATCGCCCAGATCTCGATAACAACCACTGCCCATGTATGCGCCGCCGTGGGCTTTGTGCCCACCGCCGTCTTTGCCCTTCTCCGGCTCATCACTGCCACTACCACTCCCATTATCTCGGGTATCCCCACCAGCAAGGACTCCGCTCTGGAAGCCCAGGTGCAGGCCGTAGTCGACGCAGCGGACTATCCCAATCTCATCACTGAGCTCGCCAACGCGCTGGACACGCAGTTCGATGGCATGTCGACTTTAGACAAAGAGGCAGACATTATGGGTAGCCTTTGCTTGAAAATGCGGCTGCTTGCCCGGTGCTATCCCTATCAGATCAGGGCTGTTGTGGGCAATGCAACTGCGCCCGCCCAACCTGCAGCCTCAAGGCAGGATACGTCGATGATGGCCGTTGACGTCGCCAATGAGGCTACCATGCCACCACCCCAGGTCTGGCCGTCCGTCTACGGCGATCTGGATGATATCTTTCCTGTTGATGACATCCAGTGGGAGTCTCTGTTGAGCAATTTCACAGGGTTCAGCTAGCACAAGCTGGTAGATAGCATTTGAATGATCTATGATCTTAGCAGATAGTAGTTACGTGACAGAATGGGTCAGGATGTGGAATTTAAGCATAGGGACTTCTACATTTGTGGCAGAATACCAATTCCGTGAACCAGAGTCTCACCTGCGACTTACAGACCGACGCCCTTGTCCGACATACTGACCGACCTTGTGGCTAAGCGGTGAGCCATGGTCGATCAGGGACATCATGATGTGATGTTCCCATGATCTTTCCATGATCTTTCCTCAAGATGCTAACACACACATCCACAGTGGCTGTTGAAAGATCGATCACTATTAAAGAATACAGATTCAGGTCGATGCAGCAACATGAAAGACGAAGCCATCCTACCTAGCACCACCTCGATCAGGGCCTCTCCAGCTAATGTTTTATCACCCCTGAGCCTCCCTGAGTGATCAGAGCTGGGGTCTAGCGAGGATATCCTTCCCATTTCTGATGGTCTATAAACTGCTAATCACCACCTCCTCCTTCTCCTCACTCGAGCAGCCCAGCCAGAAGGTTGACTCTATCCGTCTTGGAAGACATGATTTGATTAACCTGTTCTGTTTGTGCGGTGATCCTAACTAAGTTTGAACCATGTCAAGCTTGTCTGAGACGGGGGGGGGGGGGGCAGCCACCGGGGTGTATTAAATAGTACCTCCCCCTCTCCGCTAGGCACGGGGTTGATACCCTTTGCTGTCCGCAGTGACTTACTCTGACCCTTAGCCAGGATAATGCAACATGGACCCCAGTACTACTTACGGACTTACAGTGCTGTACCAGCCTTCTGCCCTGGTGACATTACATATGAGTAAGAATGCGGTATATACCGCCTGCACGCTGTTACTGATATGATTGTAGTCTCGTCGCGGTTCATGGGCACAATGGAAATGCATTGAAGACCTGGACTCACAAACAGAGCGGCGTGATGTGGTTGCGTGATCTCTTGCCCCAGGAGTTACCGACTGTTCGCATCATAACATACAGCTATAACGTCCGGTTCAACAACTTCACCGGACATCAGGATCGGAGGAACATCTCAATAAAACTTCTATCTGAGCTAGTCGATTTGAAGAAGACGGATAAGATAGGTACAACACTCTTACAATCCTATAGCTAGTTAATCCAAGTAGGAAATCCAGAGGCCTCTGATCTTTATCTGCCACAGTCTTGGTGGCGTCGTTGTCAAAAAGGTGACGTCTTACTGACTCCTTAGGCAATGAAGCTTCTAATTTGCTATAGGCCCTTCTCATTCGGTGCCCGGAAGAGCAGTCACGAGTACAAGATGCAGCCTACGGAGTGATCTTTTTAGGTGTATACACTAGAATGACCCTTGCGAGTTCTGAAAGACATACTAATAACGTAGCAACCCCTCATAATGGAAGTGCTGTTGCCAATGCTGGTAAAGTTATATCGAATATCATCCAAGCTTGTTCCCCTTTTCGACCGGCTCGCGGCTTGCTAGGCTCACTCAGAAAAGATCCAAAGTCTTGTTTGAAATCACAGAAGACTTCGTGGAGAAGGCTGGGAAGCTACAGATAATATCTTTCTTCGAGATGGAGATGACGAGTTTCAAGATCTTCAAACGCCTTGTATGTGTAAATCGCCATGAAGGCTCACACGTCGAGGGCTGACCGGTTTCATCTAGGTCGTTAAGCAGCGCTCGGCGATTCTCAATATCCCAAATGAGATTCCAATCGGACAATTCGCAGATCATCGAAGTATCGCACGATTCTCGTCTGTGGAGGACCGCAATTACACGCCAGTGTTAGCGCGCCTCCTCAAATTCAAACAAGATATTGCAAGGATCCTTGCCGGGCCTCCTAGCTGTTTGCAAGAAGAGGGTGAGTCCCGTGTCTTTGTTAAACGTCTCATCTCAGTGACCGGTTTAACAGGACCAAGGCCTGATCTGAACACAGGGTTTATATTCGACGTACCATTTGACAGATTTACCTTATTTTGTGGAAGACAGCAACTCCTGCATTTGATGGAAAGATACTTCAGTCAATCTAGCTCGGTCCGGCCGCTAGTGTACGCTCTAACAGGACTCGGTAATACTGCTCCATTGACAGTTTTACGGTTTTACATTGCTGATGGAGACAGGTGGGTCTGGTAAAATACATAGCGCTTTGCAATATGCGCTCCGCAATCGGTTTAGATATTATGATGGCGTGGTCTACTTCAACGCCAGCTCAACCACTACGTTGATGGCTGATTTCCATTGTATTTATGATCTCCTGAACTTGGGCAACGCTCCCAACAAAATAGAGGTTTTAAGACAGTGGTTCGCAAGACCAGGCACTTAAATTGGCTAATGATATTTGATGGCGCCGATGGTCTACACTTAGTCCCACTTTTGAAATATTTTTCTGTCTGTCCTAGGGGCCATATTATTATCATGAGTCGCGATCCAATTGCTATCGGTGTGCTCGCCCCCGCAGGGCAGACTCTGGAGCCTTTTAAAAAACATACTACTGTTGAGTTGCTGCTTGAAAAGGCTGCAATCAGTAATGCTATGCGGGATAACCTGGAGCAAGCCGGGGCTATCACAAAAGGCTTGGGATACCTTCCTTTGGCGGTGAACCAAGCAGGTGCCTTTATTCAGAGACGCCAGAAGTCACTGAAAAACTACCATCATCTCTTTCAGAAAAAAAAGTATAAAATCCTCAAAATCAGCCCTGGGATCAGCGGCTACGACAATACCGTTGCAGCGGTTTTATACGACTTGCGGTATTGCTGGAGGATCGAATCGATATAAGCGCAGGTGGTCCCTTTGCCTTTTGTGCCAGCAACATGAACGATGTTGAGTCGGTCCAGATCGCTGATCTTTGAGATTGAGCATTGCATCGCATCATATTAGACAATGCTTTCAGAAGCATGGAGTCAGAGCAGCCTACCGAGTAGCCCAGGCATTCGATCCATGTCCGCATTCAATCCAAAACCATGCTATTCGAAGAACTCCATCGCGGTCGTCGTTTCCGTAGGTTTGAAACCTGTCTGCGTCGAGTTTAACTTTTGACTCGCTTCCTGGTTCGATTGTTAGTTAGAATTTGTCAAAAGGCCATTTGTTCCTAGAATTAGACGCACAATGTAATTCGGTGCTGTTTCTGCCATCTTTGTACATCTATTGCGTTTTAGCAGCCATACATGTTTACCCCATGCACGGGAGGCACGGGCCATTTATGCCGGCACAAGCCCAACAATGGAAGTCCCAGTTCCCGTGAGCTGGATATGGTGTCAAACCTTATTCTCTTTCATCAGCTGGTTATTGAGAAAAAGTCAATAATCTGGGAAAACAATGAATCCTACAGGGTAGAGAGTCGCCATAGAGATTACGAACAAGGTAGCAAACGATTGCCGCCGAAAAGCACTGTAGCAGGATCGGGCGAAACAGTGCGAGCTTTTCGAGACAACTTGTTTGTCATTCAGAAATAGCAGTGTGCATTCGTAGTGCAATCGTCCTCTGTGAAAGTGTAGGATGTTTCAGAGCGCTGGATTGGTCTCGTATTCAGTGAGGACAACTTTTGTTGCCGGGCTCACTGGCCCAATAGATCGAGCGGCAGCACATGAGGAAGCTCAGGGACTGAATGTCTCACCACGTACTAGAGGATGTTGGAATCTGCCTCTGCGCCGGCACACGATCTTGCGCCGAAGTCATGTCTAGTTCGATTTCATTGGATTACAAGGATATCAGAGCCGAGTCATAGAGCTGTCGTTGACAGTTCGATGGACTGGTTGTCCTTCGGGCTTTAGTAAATTGAGTCATGCATTGTTGAGTTGTAGCTGTCTTCTCACAACAAAAGTTACGTCTCAAGTTATCCGAGGGGTCAAAATCAGGCTTATAGCTACACCTTGGCAGTGGTATGTAGCTGGCTAATTATCTTGAAGCATACCGTTGAACTCCGGTTGGGTCCATGTATTACCTGGATTCGGTATCTCAACGCCCTGGATCTGTAGATCCCACAGGCGCTACGTCAATTAGTACCATAGACCGATCACTCTCCAAAAGAATGAACTCACCCAATCCATGTTCGTAGGCGTGTCCAGCATATCCCCGATGACGTCCAGGGAAGCATAGTCCGGAGTTACGCCGTCCATCGGCTGGAAGTCCAGCGCATCTAGCGAGTTTGCACCCTCCAATTGCCAGCTTCCATATGCCGGAGGATAAGCTATATTATTCTGTCAGAGCAATTGCCAGAGTTCAGGAACTCCTGGCGTACTCACCTGGGCTGCTTGGCTGCTGCTGCTGCTGCTGCTGCAGATCCTCCTGCCCCGAATGCTGCTGCTTCACCCAACGAAGCATGATTGTCATTGCGGCATACCCCAGCTGCGCATCTGCTGACCTTCGACGCATCTTATCGAATATCTTATGCGACATCTCCAATGCCGACAACAGCTCCTCCTGACCCCGGACCACCATTGCGAGATCATCATTCGAACCTCCACCGAGCGGGGGCGTCCCCGTGCGCTGATGTGATAATTCCAAACAGATGATCATGGCTGCAAGCAGATAGTCTGCATATTGCAGCGCGTTGGGGAACAGTCTATCCCGGTATAACAGCCCCCCTGGCTGTGTCTCATGGTGAATATCTGCTTGGTGGCGAAGAATGTCCTTCGAGGAGCTCATGCACACCCACCGCGAATAGGCATAGCGAAGGTTGTTGTGGTCTTCGCCCAGATACCTTCGGTGCAACACACATCGCGCCTTCAAGTACAGTAGCTCCACAGTGTATCGCCGGAAGATGACTTCGGAGGGATCCGCAAGGCATTGATTGACAGGACGCATCTTGAAAGTGGAAGGCACCTGATCGTGCGCTTCGTCAAGTTGACGGTCGAGAGCCTGGGTCACCTCGTAGGTAACGGGCTCGCGCGAATATGCCAGATCTGAGATTTGGCCGAATATAGTCATGATGCGTGCCTTGGCTCGGGTGTAGGACATCAACGTGAATATTTCGTCAGGGCAGGAAGGGGGTAGTTCCTCGGTGCTTTCATCGAAGTCCTCGTCGGATATGTTGCGGGGTAATTCCACGTCATGTTGCCAGTCTTGGATTGTTCTGGGGACGCCAACCTGGAAACTAATCAAAGTGTCCAGTTGTCGCAGAGTGGTCCAGACGCGTCGACGCATCTCGCCGTCAAATGCCGACATGTCGGGAAAATGCTTGGGATCTCGATGGTAGCCTGCTCGGATGGCCAGGCGGATTGTGATACCGAGGAGAAAGGAAACCCCGACTTGTGCGTCGTCACTCCGGAGAAACTCGCTCATAGTGTAGAGAAACAGCGCTTCGACTTTGTACCTTGCAGGCGCGGTATAGTTCGACTGAACAAGACATTGTGCCGTGAGCTTGCGGAACGAATTTTGAGCCTCAGCGGGGTCCTGGAGTGATAGCGGCGTCGGGTTTCCGCTTCGCTGATTGAAGGCAAGCGCCATTGCGATGCAGGCAGATAATAGAGCTAGCCAAGGCAAGGAGACTTCATGCGGGCTGTCCCAAAACTTATTGTACTGCTGCTGTCAGTTGCGATAGTAAGCACAAACTTGCATCCCGGGTAATTACCTCTTTTTGAAATGTTGGAATATGCGTGATGTCTGCGAACCAAGTATCAGCATGGCTCCTCATTACTCTGGATATAGTAAAAGAACAAAGAACCCACTGATCACAGGCTCTTTGCTATTGAGCCACTGCGCCACCAGGCGATCAGTCACCGGCCGCGGCGGTATTTTTGCCAACAGCTCCTCCTTTCTGAGGGGCTTGTGCAGTCCTAACAGCAAGGTTGGCGCAGTCACGCTCTTTGTATCGTGCTGAGCAAGCTCATCGTCTGAGTGCACATCTTGCTCGCGCAAGTACTCCCTCACTTCGCTGATCTACCCAACAATTAGCTGCGTCTTTCTTAAAAGGGCAGAGAAAAGACAATAGACTATCGGTAGAAAAAACAGATAACATACCTCCTCCAGTACAGCTCTCCAGTGAGCCCCATCAACGTATCTCGTTCCAGCTTCTTGGGCCACAAGCTTCCCCGGAGGGTCAGACGGCGATTCCTCCGGTGTTAGAGGGTGGGGCCTGGACGCCAGTCCCAACGGTGATATGCGCTGACTCTCATCAGTCCCAGTATGTCCACTGTGAGTTTGGGCCGTGTTGGCAAAGGGTGCATCTCCTGCGTTAGTCGATTCCAGACCAGCAAAGTTCACTTCTCCTCGGCCGGCTCCCGCGCCATCGTCATTTGGCTCTGTGGGCTGCTCCATCATCTTCTGCTGCGTTAATGATAAGATCAGGTTCTCCAGGTGTTGCAACCGATCTTGGACATGTGTGGGACTCGCGCGCCCTTGCGAGGTCTTGCCTCGCGGTCCGCGGCCGACAAAGGTGCAGGAGCTGGCCTCGCCGCGCTTCCTGCAGTTGGTGCAGGGGTGGACGCGGCAGCATTTTAATCTGTGGTGGTATTAGCAACCTCTCATGAGCTTACGGAGTCTCAAGAACAGATGTGGAAGCTTTCGTTGGGGCACTTGCTTGCGTGCTCTACATGCTGTACAGGATAGTTGAACGCGGGTGCGTTTGATTTCTCGGACGGGGAGAGCGTCATGTGGATCTGTCATTTTGAAAGAGGGTGCTTTTGCAGGCAGTGCTTATAAGAGTTCTAAGAAAAGTATGTTCTTTGAAATAAGGCGTTCTGTGCGACATGTACACATCTTCCGGTAGGATGATGATGAGGTGAGCTTGTGAAGGCGAAGTGGGTGGCTTGCGCTATCACCGTCGATAACCAGTCCGCGGTTTATCTCCGCAAAGTCCGACATACTTTGTACTCGTATACTCGTTCTATACATTATTTGCCTACGCCACCAAAGCTTCGGTGAAATAGTTTGACTGATCGCTACGGTAAATACCTCCGTTGTAGCTTTATACGTGGTATACTTGAGAAAGTCAAGGGTTGAGAGAACCTCTCTTATTAATTCTGCCTGCAGGCTACTACCACACTTTGAATAAAAGGTCTCTTGATAAATATTGTTCTTGAGATAGTGGTAATGATCCTCACTAAGGGCTTGAAGCCTGTAGATAACTAGGTAAATACTATTCTTACTTGAATCTCCTTGGAAAGATACGGAGACACTGTTAATAAATTACCACAATAGACATTGAGCAGAAGTCAGAGCAAAATATACATTGCATGTCAAATGACGCTACCATATAAGAGTTGGGCGAGATCAACAATGGTGAAACAGATATTTAGCCCGTCTAGCATGAAAAGAGACAGAGGAAATGAAAGTGAGTCTGATCAAGCACAATTCATGTATATGTACTGTATACAGTATCTGATTTACTATATACTGCAGTACCAACTATACACCGCGGAACAAAATCCGCCTCGGAAGCGGACCAAACGGGCAAATTGTACAGCACCCCCCAAAAAAAGCACCGAGGCGCGATCCATCCTTAACTTTCTTGTCCATCGCGCCACAGCCCATAATCAATCAATTCCACCAACCCTCAGAACAACAAGATGCGCATATCACTCCCTACCGCCACGCGGCACCTCAAGCCCACCCCTCGCCAGCTACTGTCCCGGGGCACTCAACAACTACTATCAACACTGCCCACACATTCTCTCCGTACGACGACGACGACGACGATGACTACACAACCCAGCAGCTGCACCACCATCACCCTCACAACCCAGCCCCGATCCCCAAAACCCACAAACCAACAACAACGTCGAACCTTTCTTTCCTCCTTTCTCCCGGGGAGCGGCTCCAATGGCTCCGACAACGATTCCTCCTCCCGCACCCGCCGCCTAACCGCCACCCGCGCACTCCCCTACTCCCCCGCTCCTCTCTTCGAAGTCATCTCCGACGTCCAATCCTACTCCTCTTTCCTTCCCTTCCTCACCGCTAGCACCGTGACCCACCGCGACCCGGCGACACGGTACCCGACGCGCGCCTTCCTGACGGTGGGCTACGGCCCGCTCAGCGAGACCTTCACCTCGAAGGTGGATTGCGACCCCCAGCGGCTGACGGTCACGGCACAGAGTGGGGCGCGCTTTGGCGTGGCGAAGAAGGATGGGCAGGATGTGAGTCCCAGTGGAGGTGGGTTTGGGTTCCCCGGGGCGGAGGAAGGCATCTTCGAGTATTTGAGTACCAAGTGGGAACTGGCGGATGTCACTGCGGAGATGGGTGGGGGGAAGAGCATGACCCGGGTGCATTTGGAGATTGGGTTCGAGTTCAAGAATCAGTGGCATGCGACCATGATGAGTGCGGTTGAGGGCCAGATGGCTGGGGTCATGATCGAGGCGTTTGAGAAGAGGATGGGGGAGGTAGTTGGGCGGTGATACTGGTTGATATCAGGATATCGTGACGGGTGGACACATATGATAGAAGATGTTCATGCTCTTTTGTTGGCAAGATACAATAAGGTATAATCAAGGGAGACTCTCTTTTTGTCTATATTCCAAGGGAAAATGCTTGTACTTGATTAGACCATAAATGCCAGGGAAGAAAAATAAAAAAGAGAACCCATGTGTATAATACAATTTATCAGACCATCATCCGGATGGAGGGGAAAAGAAGAAACTACGACATCATGCCCAGACTGCGCGACCAGGCGGTGTTAGTGTTGCGCACCCCCCGGTTGACGCTGATCTTGTCGTAGTTGTCCGCCACCACCTCCCAGTTGATCCGATCCCACCACCGCTCCAGGTACTCCTCCTTGCCGGCAATACCGTAGTCCATCATCCACACGTGCTCCCAGGTGTTGACACACAAGATGGGCTGTATATCGATGGCTCCAGGAGCCATGATCTTCTGGTTGGGCGCGTGGGCGCCCATCGCGCCGGCGTACTGGTTGCCCAGCGGGTCATCGGGCGTGTGGGTGGCCATGTCGACTGCTTGGCGGCGCGAGTGGGCGGCCGGGTAAGGGGAGCCGGCGTTGTACGTGCAGAAAACGTGCAGCATGCCCTCGCGCTCCAGGTTCTTGGCCAGCCAGACGAAACCGGGACCGAACATCGCGTTGGCCGTGGCCAGGAAATCGAGCTTCAGTGACTCGACCGACGAGCACGTTTCTGTGATAACTTTCTCGAGCTTGTCGGGCATCTCGGTTTTGCGTGGGGACTGTTTATTTCTGCGATTAGGCTTTGTGCTTGCGGTCTAAGGACGGATTCGCTCAGGATCTGAGTCGTACCAGGCAGTTGAAGAAAAAGTGGTTGTTGTGAGCCATTGAGGCGTAGTTGAAGACGGAGGCCATTTCCGGACGCCGGGAGTACTTGACCAGCAGTTCTCCGGGCTTCGCGTCGGCATCGATGGTGTCTATTGATCCAGATATCATTAGAGTCCGAGCGTGTTTCATAGGCCGAGCAAGGTCCGCGGAGCTGGCACTCACCCTGCGTCAACAGGTTCAGCTTATCGACAAGAAGGGCTTGGTATTGCGTCCAGGAAAAGTCGAACGCCTCTGGTGACATGAATTCCGCGATACCGTTGGACTTGTAGTTGTTCTCATAGGCGAGTTGAGGCACACGGTGGATTGCACGGCTCTGGATGCGTGGGAGCGCGGAGACGGGCTTCTGTCCGCACTGTTAGTTGAGGCGCCCAATCAGCCAAAAAGACAGAAAAGAGCTCACCGCAGTGAGGGAGGAGGCTGCACGCAGCGCAGACTGCGGCCGGAGGAGTCGGTTCAGCATGATGATCTGGGGGGGTGGAGGTATATGGTCAGGGAGGTCGTGCTTGACAAGCAGCAATTGAGTCCAAACCGCAGAATTTCCTCCGCTCCAGATTGAGAGATTCCCTTATTGGGATTAGCGTAAATGATGTAAGCAGGCGCCAACATTGGCCAATCAGCAGACCGCGATTTACTTCTGCATCAAACCGCCCAGCTTGAAACAACAACATTCAAATAGAAAGTACTACCTTACACACTACTACTACCTACGCGCCGGACTATCTGGTAATCTGCAACAGTCAATCAGCCTTCCCATCCAGTTCGAGCCCAAAGGCCCCGTACTGGCGCCTAGACATCTCTTCATCATTAGCCCGTCGGCCATAAGCCCCATTCTTCGTCGCTATTCTGGGACTCAGCGCCTGCTACCTACCGTCCTAGATCCTTGGATCCTGATAGTATGATGCGTGCAGAAAAACATTGGGCAGCATGTTGCGAGCAGCGGGAGGAAGATCTTCTTCAGGACTTGCTTCTTCTGCAAGACACTCTGAAGCGCTTTTTGTCTGGTACTGGCTCGTCTCGTCGTTTCTTCCATTCTCAAACCCATTGTCTTAGACACTCTCTTTCATTGAAGCACGACACTCTTTGCCTCTCCATCCGGCCATTGTCCAGCCGATATACCAGCAATAATCCTCGTACCCTCCTTTCTTTTCTCTTCCCTGATTTCAACCTATTGCAAGAAGTTCTACCAGGTCCTCTCTCGTGCCAACCATGACGATGATCACGCACAAGGGCAACTCGTCCAAACTACTACTATTATTCGGGGTGCTCGCTTCAACGATATCGCCAACGCAGGCCGTTGGCATCCTGCTCCCACGAAGCAGCGACACCTGTCCCAGCGACTACACACACTGCTCGAGCAGCGGCCTTCCGAGCACCTTCTGCTGCCCCAGCAGCTCCACGTGCATCAGTCTCGACGACGCCAGCTCCGCCATCTGCTGCCCAGCCGGGCAGAGCTGCGACTACATCGAACCCATCACCTGCGACGTGCAGCTCCAAAACGCGACCGCCCACCCTAAGAACAGCGTCCACACCACCCGTCTCAACGATAGCCTGGCCAAATGCGGCTCGAAATGCTGTCCCTTCGGCTATACCTGCACGGGGGACTCTCTGTGCAGCATGGACACATCGACCGCATCGACGGCAACCGCATCCAGCTCCAGCACCGCATCCACCTCCTCAATTACCGCCACTACCTCCTCCTCTTCCTCCCTCGCAACCGCCATCTCCGCCACAGACCCTCGCGTCTCCAAATCCTCCGCCGCAGACAACACCAATACCACCACCAACGCCACCAGCGCAACAGCAACACATCTGAGTAAATGCCCGCAGTACCCAACAGCCGCCGTTCTGGCCGGCTTCTTCCCCGGCGCCCTCCTCGGCGTAAGCGCCACCCTCCTCTCCCTGCTGCTGTACCGCCACCACCGCCGCAAGAACCTGCCCCCGTCCGCCAAGATCGCCCAGTTCACCCACCGCTCCTCCAAGGGCACCCTCATTGGGATCTCCTCGCCCATGCTCTCAGAGGAAACCGCCTACCGCACCGACTTCCTCCTCCGGCGGACGCAATCGCGGGCCTCGAAGGCCACCACCACCAGCGGCTCCCGGTCGCGGTCCCGGTCGCGGTCCCGCTCGATGATCCAGAAGACCGGCGGCAGGGTCCGGAGTTTGTTCAACCCCCACAATCCCGTGTACCAGCGGGAGGGCACAACCGTTAGGGGGGTTGCGGGTGGCGAGATGGCGCTGGTTCCCGAGAAAGGCGGAGGAGGCAGCGGTGGTCGAATTCCCGTGCCCGTCCCGCCGTTGCCGCTCAACATCAACGGAAACCTCGTGGTGAAGCAGCCGCAGCAGCAGGAGGGGAAGGGCGGCGTGGTGACCTACAGCTCGGCGCCGGTGATCCCGGCGTTGCCCAGGACGGAGAGTATTCGGGTGTATACGCCGCCGGGCGTGTTTGCGACCACGGGGGTCCTGAAGCCGGACGCGTACCCGACGAATCCCAGGGCGATGGAGGCGTTTTCGGAAGACCCGGAGGGTGGATCGGGTGGTGGGCTGAGTAGAGGGAATTCGAGGTTGGGGTCGCAGCGGAGGTAGATGATTTCATGGTTGTATGTTTGAGTGAGTGTATGTATGTATACTGTTGATTCTGTGGTGGTGTTTTGAGTATAGCGTTGTTCTTCTTTGATTTTTGGCCCTGGCCTATCTTTGAACAGGTTGTTGCATGGCTTAATCGTAATAATTCTGGTTATATGTTTTAGCGAGGCATTGCTTCTATGTTGGTATGCTTTGCTCAAAAAGAAAGAAAAAAACATGAATGAATAAAACTATATACTGTACAAATTCGAGTTATTCAGTTAGCCTTCCTGGCCTTCCGCAAGGCGATAGCCTTCTTGACCTCCTTTAGCAAGCCGACAATGAGGGGAACGCCAATGGGGCCCAACAGGGGCAGATACACGGCCACCTTGTGCTCATCCGGGAAGTACATCTGTCCCACCATGCTCTTCTCGAAGAAGCTGCGCTCCGCTTCCGTCTCGGCGATCCGAGCATCCGCCAGCGCGGCCTGGAACCGCCCCCGTCGGAGATGCTCACAGGCCGAGGTCAGATGCGAGAGGGTCGTCGCCACGGAAGCAGCGACGGTAGCAGGGATGGGGATGGAGGGAAGTGACTCGGTGAGGCGGGCGAGGGAGCCCATGGTAGAGGATGCAGAGAGGAGCAGACTGGCGGCCCGAATGCGGGTGAGTGTCTGTAGTCGGAAAGGCAGCGCAGCCGGGGTGGAAGGTGCACCGAGAAGGGTGAGGAGCTGGTGGGAAAACGTTAGGAAAGGGGCCTGAAGCGAATCACGCGATAAATGCTGAAGCTGGGTGCCGTTGGAGGGGTTGAGAAGAACAACGCCGCCCCATTGAGGTACGACCCAGCTCGTAGCCAGACTGTCCTTGACCACCAAGGGGGATTGCGCTGCATCAGGCACATAGAGAATAAAGTTGATGGTTGGGCCCGGGCCAATGCTGGGGCTGAGAGGCCATTCGGCCGCGTTGATGAACGCGCTGAGGTCTTCGGGCTTCAGGGTCCAAGCCGCGTGGCCTTCGTCGTATTCGGGCGCCGGAGCCGTGGGTGCAAACGTCGCGTATAACTGAACTTGAGTGTCAACAGTAAAGTTGCTGATGGGAGAGAAGGCCTGCAGCAGTGGGGTGATATAGTCGTGGACAGCGGCCTGAATGTCCCACGAAGAGGGCTCTGTGCCGGGAGTGAATAAGGAAAAGGCGAGGTGATAGGTATCGGCGTATTTCATCGAGCGTCGGAGGCGCTTGGCAATGCTGTCCGCGAGCTGAGGGGAAACAGAGGAAAGCATAGCCGAGGGCGGCTGACTGGCGGCTGTCGCACTTGCTGCATGGCTGTTCGACAGGATTTGCGCGATAATGGCCTTCTCTTCCGTGAACAGCTGCTGAAGTTCACCCGCGATGTAAGCGGACAACGGTGGGTTGGATGATGACAGGGGCGGTATTTGGCTTGGCGAGTAAAAGACGTCGAGCTGGGTGGTATCGTGCTGGAGTTCGGACTTGGGGTTGATTAGATCGTCTTGTGGTAAGAGGCGCACTGTCAAGGCCGTGTCTGCCGGTTCATCCAGCTGCTCGTCAGTATTATCGTTCGATAGCTTCAGCCGCAGATGATGTGCGGAGAATTCATTCAAGTCGTCGAGGGTATGTTGTGTCGTCCGGAGCAAGTGCTGGGCCTCTGCGTCAGGTAGGTGAGGTGTCTCGACTCGAATTTCAAGTGGGAAAACAGGACGACAGGTCTAGATTTGAAGAGACACCAGTCAGCCAGATTACGCATCTTTAACGGCCAAACATTACATACCTTCCCATCGGCCCAATCAATCATTTCCGGGATAGGCAAGGAAGCTCGATAGATCGATGTGGTCTTCCACCAGATCGGGAATCCCAGGAAAATGATTACAGCCCAGAAGGCTGCAATGACCTTGAATCGCGTCCGGATAGCCTCTGGCTTCTCCGGAGGCGGCGGACGCGGCGAGGGGGTGCTGACATTCATGGTATAATCGGGGTGGGTATCGACGATCTGTGATGATGACAGGTCTTCATTCTTGGCGATCATGACCAGGACATGCTTTGAGGAGGGCGATGTAACCTGGTACAGGACCAGATGGGGAAGAGTGGGAGGGGAGTTGGAGTTGTTGGAGTTGATGCAAGCTGGAGTTGCGGAGAGGCGGGCGGAAGGCGGAGAGGGGGGGGGGGGCCACCAGTTGGCGGCCGGTCACAATGACTACGGGGTAACACGCCCACCACTACTAGGGAATCTTGTTTAATTCAAATCAAATCATATTGGGTATCTATCCAATGCGCCAATCCATGCAAGAAGTTACAAGACAATAATCCCACCACTAATACTCCTTTTCGAAGATCTTCTGGATGGGCTTGGCGGCCTGCCAGGGGTTAGCAACATCGCCCGAAACTTACCAGGACAAAGACTTACGTCTATAAAGTGCTCCAAGTCCTGGTCCAGACTGGCCAAATCCTCCTTGCGTTTGTTGTTTTCCGCAATTAAAGCCTGTTTCCGCTTCAGAAGCTCTTGCCGCGCCTGCTCCAGCTTCTCCCGTTCGACATGTTCGTGGTTGATACGAGCGATCATGAGATCGTGTTCGTCCGATTCACGATGCTCGGGGTGCAACGCCAGGAATTCTTCGAGCGGGATCAGGGGAAGGGCAAGGTACTTGTGACTGCGACAGTGAGGTCAACATCCGGTCAGTTCTTTTGGTGGCTACGCCAATACATACTCATAAGACTCGCACGCAGCTATTTCCCCCGTCAGGTGCCGTTGTTCGTAGTAGAGATTCTGAAGTTGCAGGTGTAAGCGGTCGATTTCCTGGCGGGCCTCTGCGGTCGCCTGCTTCGTGTCTCGGACGCGTAGAATAGCATCGCGGTTGAGCCCGCGCAGACGGGCCAGAAGAGCGAACAGCTGCTTCTGTTCCTTGGACGCAGCTAGGGCGCGTTCTTCGGAGTCAGAGTAGGAGTCAGCCGAGGGGTCGAGCACGGCAAGCAATTGCATGCATTGCTCGCGGGTTTCGGCGCTCAAATTGAGCACCGGCAGCAGGGACGGGTTGACGACAATGTCCCGAATAGCCATGGTGAGGGAATTGCTGTGCGTCAGGTGAAAGGAACAGCTGGCTGCCACTGCAAAAAGCGAAGTACGGTGGGTGGTTCGTTGAAGGGTGGCTGGTGGCGAGAGCGATAAGAATGACCCAACGTGGAGGCAAGCCGGGCGCTGATGGGCTGAAGTGAAGACTGACAGCAGGAAGGCGGCGAATAGAAGAACCAATCCTTGGATGGACAGGGATACGGAGTAGTTCTTAGCAGTTCAGCCTTACTCAGGAAAAAGTGGACATTTGCCAAGTACGAGTACTCAGTAGTAGTAATTGAAGGGTTGGCGGGGAGGGGAAAAAGAGCGATTATTGATGGGATTAATATTGTTCGGTTCCCCTCTTCTACTCCGTACTTTCTTCTTCTTCCTCCCCTTCTCCTCCTCTCCTCTCCTCTTCTCTTTCTCTCCTCTGATCGTTCCCCTAATACCCAATTCCCTCTCCTCCTAAGAGGTGTCTCTCCTTTTCTTTTAGGGTCATTATCATTACGGTTCTCTTTCCCTTTTCTTCCTCTCCACTCGACTCACCTAGGCGCTTGTCCCTTGCAGCCCCTCCCCCGAATTTCTCTAGTTTGTCCAACTTGCAGCTGTATGTTCTGCTTCGGTCGTTCCGCCGATTCCCGATCGTCCCGATCTCCACCCCCAACCTTGGTCTTTTCCCCCACTAACTTTTCCCCTTGTTTTTCTCTCTGTTCCAGGATATGCGATTCGATCTTCTCAACTAGCTACGGGTTCAATTGACGGTCGAAACGGTATACGGACCACTATGGCCTGCTCTGCGCAATCGATGACCATCGAGTCGTATCCCGAGGCAAACACATCCGCCTACACAACAACCCCCTCTGAGGAGACCAGCTTACTCCGCGACCGTCGGCGGCGCCACTCGTTCCACACGGCTCGGAAGCTGTCTTTAGATTACGACGCAGATGCGGTGTTTCTGAGAGTATGCACTCGCCGAATCCCCTTCTGATGCACGGGATTATATCTGACGGGGTCTAGGTCGAACTTTTCCTGACGGAGCTGGAGCGACGAATGCTGTGGATCGAGCAATATGGCAAATCTCACATGGACCAGATCGATGCCAGCCTTCGTCGCGGCTACGCCACCCTGGAGGCTGTGCGGGACTCGTGCTCTCACGCTTCCGGAGAGCTCATGGGCAGCGGCAAGAAGCGCGCCAAGATCCTGGTAGACACCTTGGAGGACCGCTACAAGGATGCTCTCGCCACGAAGGAAACATTAGAACAGAAGGCTCAAGCCGGTGTCCGCCTCATGGAATCTTTTCTCGTCGAGCTGGAGTCTCGTGCTCACGCCGGGTGGGACCGCGGGCTGGACGGCGCGTTGGATGGGGCGTGGAAGGCGATGGACTCGAGCTTGGTGCATGCCCGGGAGGTGGTCGACGAGGGCATGGAGCGAGCGCGTCGGGCCAAGGAGGCAATGAAGGAGAACATCGACCGGGCGATCCTGCTGGCCCAGGAGAAGCGGTTGATCGGCTATGCGGACCTCCCGCAGCCGTGGCGGGTGAACCCCCACATTCTCGAGGGATACCGGTTCACGCACTCGAAGGTGGAGTGCTTGGCCTCCATGTTCACCTTTTCCAACGAGCTGGTCAACATCTGGTCGCATCTGATCGGGTTGTTCATCGTGCTCTCTGTGGCTTTCTACTTCTACCCGCTGAACCCGAACTTTCACCTGAGCACCAAGACGGATGTGTTGGTGGCAGCCGTCTTCTTTTTCGCGGCGTGCAAGTGTCTGGTCTGCAGCACCTTGTGGCACACGATGAACAGCATTGCCAGCCAGACACTGATGGAGCGGTTCGCGTGCGTGGACTACACGGGGATCTCGATGCTGGTCGCCGCCTCGATTGTGACGACCGAGTACACCGCCTTCTACTGCGAGCCCGTGTCGCGGTGGATCTACATCCTGCTGACGATGTCTCTGGGTATCGGCGGAGTGATCCTGCCGTGGCACCCGACCTTCAACCGGGCGGACATGGCGTGGGCACGGGTGGCGTTCTATGTGTCGCTGGCTCTGACCGGGTTCGCCCCGCTGGCGCAGCTGACCTACACGCGGGGCTTCTTCTGGTGCCTGTACTTCTATGCGCCGGTGGTGAAGAGTGTCCTGGTGTATTTCGTGGGCGCGTGTGTGTATGCATCGCAGGTGCCCGAGCGGTGGCGGCCCGGACTGTTCGACTATGTGGGCGGCAGCCATAACATCTGGCACCTTGCGGTGCTGGGCGGGATTCTGTTCCATTACCTCGCGATGCAGGATCTGTTCGCGGGAGCGTTCAAGCGGGCTCAGGGGGAGTGCCCGAACATGGTGAATTAGAGGCCGATAGAGGAGTATAGACTTGCAGGTTAGTTTCTTGACTTCTTGTACATATTGGAGTTGGTTGTGGATATACAAAAACTCTAGCCGGCTTAGGTTGTTGAAACTCTGGTGTTATTTTTAAACTATTTCAATATATGATTAGCGTGGATGGAAAAGTGAGCAACTCAGCACTTGATGTATTGTACTGTCGACTAGGCAATTGCGGAAAGGTACCGAGACAGCGTCGAGGGCGATGGACGATCATTATTATCCGGAGATTGACGCTGGCCGCGAAAACACGCTCGAGTCGACACCCCTCAATCTATCTGTTGGAAATGTCTCGGCGGTGGATTTCCTGATTGGGATGTTGAAATATGCTTAAGTCTGGGTGCCTCGACTAACCCTTTTAGGCCACTATGTGTCTAGACTGGCTTTGCCTTTGCCATGGTGAGCAACGTTAATATCAGGAGGCAAATGAACCTGAAGACAATGAGAAAATCTTGTCCCGAGACTCTCCTGAGCCTCCAAGTTTATAGTCATGACAGGTTCAGTCACTATTACTCATGAAGTGGACTGCCTATCACCTACCCATACTATAGTCAGTTCAGAGTACAACGCACACCACCATCACCACCACCAACCCTCACCACCTTCTCAACCCTCCAACCCATAACCCCTATCCTCCACCCCTTCAACCCAAAAAAAACCCCACTCGCTCCTCGTCCCCGAAATGAAGGTGATCGAGGGTCAAACGCCCGACGGGGCAGCGCTACTCCACCCGGGGCCACTAACGGGTTTCATCCGGAGTCTGGCCGCAATCAATCCCAAACCGAGCCCTAACTGAGTGAAGCATATAACATGTCAGGGTCTGCACCACCCGCCCCAGCGCCATGTTTCTGGTCCTCATCAACCAAGATCTGTGATCTGCGGTGCTCTGCTATACTTTCCTTAGAGCTGTGCTCGTTCCGTTCTCTCTCTCGACGACTCGAACTTGTATCGAATACATTCTTTCAACTTCCTTTATTACTTTCATGACTTCCGTTTGGATAATACCTGCAGTATCACCATGAAGCTCACCACCTCTCTGGCAGTCAGCGCTCTTCTGGCCGCTGGCACCGCTCTGGCCGCGCCGCACGAGGCCCGGCAGCAACGCCGACAATTCGGCAGCGAGAGCGGTGGCTTTCCCGGCGCTGGCGGCGTGGGCTTCACCAGCGGCGGCAAGAACCAGGGCCCGGGCCAGCCGTCGTTCAACTGGGGGGCCGCCGCCGTCCCCAGCGGCAGCGGCAGCGGCAGCAACAGCCACCAGCAACAACCGACCCAAACCGCGGCCCCGACCAGCTACTCCCCCAACACGGCAGCGCCCACCACCACCACCACCACCACCACCAGCGCCAGCGTGAACCACCGCACCAGCGCCAACAACGCGGCCAACTACCAGATCAACGAGAACTGGGCGGGCGCGGTCTTGGAGTCTGCCCCGGCCGCCAGCGCGACCTACACCTACGTGGCGGCGACCTTCACGCTGCCCAGCGTAACGCCCACGGCGGCGTCCAGCAGCGCGGACACGCAGGCCGTCTCGTTCTGGGTGGGGATCGACGGCGCGACCGGGGGGAACTCGATCTGGCAGACGGGGGTGGACATCTACGTGGACAGCCAGAACGAGACCTCGTTCGCGGCGTGGTACGAGTGGTACCCGCTCAACTCGGTGGACGTGGAGATGGACTTCGCGATCGGGGATGTTGTGTTCGCGTCCGTCGAGGCGACGAGCAGCACGGCCGGCACCGCCGTCATCGAGAATCTGACCACGGGCAAGAAGGTGACGATGCATGCGACGGCGCCCAGTGAGAGTGCGAAGCTGGAGGGGCAGAATGCTGAGTGGATTGTGGAGGATCTCGCGGTCGATGGGGATGGGTTGACGCTGCTGGGCTTTGAGGATGCGGTGTTCACCGGCTGTGTCGCGAAGACCGCGGATGGGAAGACCTATAACCTTGATGATGGGGCGGCGCTGTATGCCGTCCAGGATACGTATAGCTCGAGCGTGCAGGCCGTGCCGGAGATTTTGGGCAGTGAGAAGTTGCAGGTTACTTATCAGTAGGCTGACGAAGGTGGTGGTGGGGGGGAAGGGGAGGGGATGCAGGGGTGCAGGAGTGTATAGGCATATAGGTGTGTTGTAGAGCGGTGACGGTGTATACTGCAGTAATTGCAGTAATTGTTGAGAGTGTCCTGAATATAGTTATCATATTATACTGAAGCTATACCGCACGCACTCCATCATTAGTAGCTTGACCTAAGATTAATCAGTCATATATCAAAGAGGCATGCTTGGCTTGCCGGATATACAAACGCATCCCTCACACCCCACCTCAACCGCACCCATGCGTTCCAAAATCAACCCAACCAACACCAAACACCATCCCAGTCCCTTCCCCAGTCCCTTCCCCAGTCCCCTAAACCCCCAATTACTCCCAATCAATCATATAAATCCCCCCACCCCCCAACCCTGCCTCTTTCTCCCCTACCCGAATCCCAAATCACCACCGCCCTCGGCGCCGCAATCTGCACCATCTCCTCGGTAAACCGCCTCCCCAACCCAGCCCCAGCTCCAGCACCACCGGCAACACTCCCACTACTCCCACTACTACTACTCCTCCCGGAATCCGACATCAACGACGGAACAGGCGACATCGTTCTCTCCGACGACATGCCCAGACTCCGTGGCGAGTACGGCGGCGGCGGCGTCTCGCGCGTCGCGGTGGAGGTGTTCCCGTAGCTGCTGGTGCTGGGGAAGGAGAGCGTCGACGAGGTGTCGCTGTCGGTTTCCGAGGGGGTCGGGTCGAAGAGTCCCGTGGCCGTGTGGTAGTATGGGGGGTAGAGGGGCACTGCTGCTGCTGAGACAACCGGTTCGGGTGTGGCTGTTGCTGCGGGGGATGATGTGGTTGCAGTTGCTGCACCGGATTTCTCGTTCCAGATTGACGTCGATGATGATGATGATGATGATGATGATGAGGCCGAGGATGGGCGAGGGTGCAGGGCGAGGGTCTTTTCGGTTGCGCTGTGTGGATGGGGGGTGTAGGCGGGGAGGGGTGGGGTGGGCGGGAGGTAGCCTTGGTTGGTTGCGCGGGAATAGTTCGGTAGTGAAGGTGCGGCTGACGGTAAGGCTGAAGGTAAAGGTGGGCGTGGAGGACTGGGATCGGGGCTTGGGATGCAGCAGAGCCAGCTGGTGATGGCGCTGAGGGGGGACATTGATGGTGATTCCAGGTGGTGGTGGTGGTGGTGGTAGTCCAGGTGGGCTATCGTTATCGGTGGGTAAGATGATAAGTGCTAACTTATCGATAGAGAGGGAGAGGAGGATAGTGACAGTATATGGGGATTCCGTGGGTGAGATTGAGTAGTTGTGTACGGGATATAATCATCCGAGTTGAACAGATCACAACAAGTAAACACAAACAATGGAGGTATGGATGTAGTTCACCGTGTCACACCTCGACTGGTTAAGGTTGATGGAAGACAGACAGACCGACCGACAGTCAAATCAAGAAGTCGACCCAGAAAAAGAAAGGCTGACACAGCCTCAGTCAGCCGCAACCTCAATTCCCAGGCATCCAGATTCCCCGCACTGCTGATTGGTCCGTGTCCCGCACTCCCGCCCCACTTCCAGCCTTGCCAGTTGGCGGCGCTAACTGAACCCTACTCACGGCTACCGTGGATCCCCGAGTCATCCCCCTCATACGCATCCACTCGATACTTCCCAAACTGCCACGTCGGCACTTCTCTGGCAAACATGACGTCCAACTCCTCATAAGTCCGCCCCTTGGTCTCCGGCAGCCGGAAATAACTCCACAGGAACGTCAAGAAAGCCGTCCCAAACCAGAAGAACCCCGTGTATCCCCGCCAATTCCACGCCGTGGGGTTCACCATCGACGGCTCCAGCCCATTGGCGACCACGCACGCAATGTAATAAGAGTTCCGGGCCAGGACCACCGTCTTCGACCGCAGGCGCGTGGACGAGACCTCCGGCGGAATCACCCACGCGATCGGTCCCACCGTCATCGAGAAGGTGAAAATCCAGATGATGCAGATGACGGACTGGGTCCAGAGCGCCGCCGCCCCGGCCGGGTGACTGGAACGCGCCGTCGTCACCGGCGTCAGGCATCCGATCACCAGCAGATAGACGCTCATCAGCCCCATGCCGCCCACGTACATCATGCGCCGGCCGAGATAGTGCATGGCGAGGCCCGACACCGTCGTGCCCACGAAGGCGAGCCCCGCGCCGCCGAGGCCGAGCTTGTACGCATCGTCATCGCTCATGCCCGCCTGCTCGAAGAAGTAGGTCGGCGAGTACGCAAACACAAGCCCGGTGAACACCTGTCCGGCCAGCGCCATGCAGGCGATCTCCGTGCGCCGGGCGTTGGGCCCGCGGAAGCAGTCCAGGTAGGACCCTTCCTTGATCTCTCGCTCCAGGTTGTTGGTGTACACCATCATCGCCACGGTCTGGTGCGCGGTCTCGATGTTGGGGTCGGCCAGGAGCCGGTTGACGATCTGCGCGGCGGCATCGGGCTGGCCCCGCCGGACGTGCCACCACGGGGATTCGGGCATGAAGCAGCCGCAGACGAACAACGGGACGGGCCATACCCACTGCAGGGCGAAGGGGATGCGATACGACCACTGACTGTCAAAATCAATCAGTCCCTGCAGCACGCCGGCACTGATCAGCTGGCCGATGACGAAGGACACATTCACAAACGCCGTCAGGTACGGCCGCAGCACCATCGGACAGAGCTCCGAACTATACGCCGGCCCCAGGGTCGCAAAGATGCCCCACGGGAGTCTACGTCTGAATGTCAGCTCGGCCGAACCACATAACCCCATTGCTTTCAAGTAAAGAAAAATCACCTACCCACAAAGAATCTGCCCCGCAACTTGCAGCCCGGCGGTGTTGCCGAAAAACGGGATGAAGATGAAAGCCCCCATCAGCAGCTGGGCCAGCAGAAAGACCCGCTTGAAGCCCCACCGCTCGATCAGATACCCATTGATCAGGGCGCCGATCATACACCCCAGGTTGCCTGCGGCTCCGAGTGCCGACTGCCAGGAGCCGGCGACCTGATATCCCTGGCCGGGGCGTTCCTCGCCGAACTGCGTCCGGAAGGCCGGATACCCGAAAAAGCTGGTGATGAGGATGGTGTCGTACCCCTCCATGACGATGGCGATGGAGGGGACGAGCGACCACACGACGGCCCAGGGAAAGAGCTTCAGCGCCTGCGGGACGGACATCTCGTGCTCCCTGGCGTTGGCCGCCTTGGCAGCCTCCACTGAGCATTCCCACGGCTTGTCATTTCCGTGGTCCTCGCGGGGGTATGTCACGTCGGTGGTGACTGTGCTCTCCGAGTGGGAGAGGCCCAGTTGGGGTTTGGGATTGGGCATTTCTGGTGTGTGGTGGGAGTAAGACCGGGGGAGGGGAGGGGAGGGGAGGGGAGGGGGGGCAGCATCAAATATCATAAAGTTCGAGGGGATCTGGATGCAGATGGAAGCGGTAGGGTCCAGCTCTCCCCCCTGCAGGAGAATAATGCCTCAATGATTTACCCGCCACGCAGATAACAAGGGCTAAGACATATCACGCTTGTCTTTTGTGGTAATACTCCGTTGACAAGGGTCCAAAACGGTGGGAGTAATCGGTCTGACGCTGATGATCTATTCAGTGCCCCCGCATTCTTGCGCTGGGTGAAGCAACCCCTTCAGCATTCCTGTAGATAAACCTCAAAAGTTGTGTGGAGGTCGTCGACTGGGCCCAGACACCATCGGCGGTTCCTATGCCTTTGTGTAGAGTGTTCTAGACAAACCCTGAAGTCAATCGCCCCTCCGAGTCTCGCCCTTGCCGGACCGATTTGGGAGGATGAAGATATGGTGACTGCACAGTGTATGTAGCCTGTGCAACAAGCAGATATGCCCCAAATTCACACAGCACGTCCTCTCCCTCTCCCTCTCCCTCCCCCTCCCCCTTGCCAACATCGCATACTTAATTGCATGAATCCACCCACCACAACGCCCTCACCCATCCACCCCATCTCCATCTCCCTCAATCCCTTCCAAAAACCAATTAATAGCCTGCACCTCCGACCTAACCCGCACTCCAATCCACCACAAATCCACACTCCCCAGCAACACCAACCACCCCTTCAGCACCACCAACGCCGCAACCTCCTTACGTACCAACCGCTCAAAAAACGCTGGCTCCAACCGGCCCATCCAGCCGGCATACGCCCCGAAGCTCCGAATGCCCCCGGGCAGGCGCATCAACCCACTCAAAATGCGCACCGGCTCGTAGTACACATTATTGGCGGGGGTACTCCCCGCATGGATGCCGCACAGCTCCGCCAACGCGGGGTCGAACCCCCACCCCTCCGTCCCAGCCAACTTACGTCCAGTAGGGTCCTCCTCGACGTCAAAAACACCCCGATACTGCGCCGCGGACGCCATGAAAACGTCCCACCACATACTGCCCCGCTGCCAGGGGACGGTCGCCGCCAGCAGTCGCCGCAGCCCGACCTGCAGAGTCAGCCAGGTCAGCGCGGTGGCGGTTTGTTGCTGAGACGAAGCGAAGACGAAGGAGGTGCGCGGGTCGTAGCGGTCGAGCTCGAAGGAGCACACCGTCAGCAGCAGGCAGGCCCCGAAGAGCCCGTCCATGTTGTGCGGGCCGATGGTGCGCAGTTCGCGGGCGTACTGCGTGATGGCTTCTTGCCAGTGGTGGGTTTCGGTGACCGCGTAGGTGCGGTGTTTGCCGGGCGTGGTGTAGCGGAGGTGGGAGCTGGCGAAGGCGATGATCGCGTGCATTAGGTAGGGGGACTATCAGATCGGATGTAAGAGTCAACATTGGGAGTTGGTTAGTTGGGCGCGCTTTTTTGGGGGGTTTTGGGGTCGGGGGAGAGGGAGCAGGGGATAGGTATGGGTGGGTTCATACCTCGAATCCCAGCTGGATCACCCGTCGTTGGTACTCGGCTTGCGGTGCCTGCGGCCCTAGGGCCGGGTCGGAGAAGCCGTAGAAGTGATGCAGGGCCTCGACGCGGAGAGACGGTGAGGCGCTCTGCGGGAGCTGCAGCAGGTCGTGGAGCTGAGCCCCTACCGCGTCCTGCGCCAGGTTGTATGCTCTGGAGTCCGGCGAGCTGGTCAGGAACCGGGTCATTGTTTTCTCGGGGTCCGTGCTGCTGCTGCTGCTGCTGCTGCTGTTGGGCTCATAGCTACAGTCCAGATTGAGTTTCTGGCAGCGGAGGCAGTGGGGTTTCGACTCGTCACACTGCGATGTTTAGAATGGGGACTGGCACTGGGCAAAGAAAGTGTTCAGTACCTTGACTCGACGTTGTTTACACTTGGAGCATCCATGGCGGGATTTCCGATGCGCACGGCGGGCATGATAGATGCGTTCCGGTGGAAAGGAGGGAAGTTGGAATTGGAGGATTCCCTGGCCTTCGGGGAGAGACATGGTGAATGATCATGACTAATAATACCTGAGCTTGATCGACCTGCTGGTTCGATTCCAGAAACCATGCATGTAGATAGATAGGAATGAGGGGAAGAAGCCCATCGACAACAGTAAGGCTGACACGCTAGTCCCGAAGAAGCACCCTCGTATTCAATCAATCACCATCAATCTTATGCCTCCATTATCAACAACTCCATTGAACCACAGTACGGCATACAGCATAAGAATCAAACATCAGCAAAGCATGCCATTCATTACTTCATACATACACACCACTCAGCCCCTTACTCCAAACTCAACCAATCTGCGCCTTCGAGAAATCCATCTCTGCAACCCCAAGAGATTAGCACATTGGACTTTCCTCCAAAAAGGGAAAAAAAAAAAAAAAAAAAAAAAAAAAAACTAACCAGGATGTTCCGCCTGAAACTGCTTCAAGATCTCCATCTTCTTCTGCTCGTCGCTGGTCATCCCGCCCATCTCCTTCTGCCGCTGGTCGTACATCATCTTCTCGACCATGGCACGCGTCTCGCCGTCCAGGTCGCTCAGCGAGGACGACTCGGGCGTGATCTTGCTGACGTCGATCTTGGGCGCCCCCGTCACCACGTGCGGCCACCACTCCACCTTGTTGACCTTGTCCAGGTGCACGGCCACCTCCTTGCCCGGCGGATGCGCCGTCGTCTCCAGCGTCCACGAGCTTTCGTCGACGATGACCGGGTGGGGGAAGGTGCCCTGCATGTTGCCAGAAGAAATCAACATTAGCACACCCCATCCTGATCCAGTCTGGTAGAGTCTTCCACAATCCCATTCGGAGCCGGTATTGTAGACCACCACCTCCACCCCCCACCCGGTAGAACTAGATAAGTGAAGAAGACAAGGACATACCTCAATAACAGCCTCCTCCCCCTTCACCGCCACCTTGATCTTAGTCTTGGTGAGCACGACGTCCAGATCGCGGCCGCGCAGGTGGCCCGGCACGGGGATCGTGACCTCGACGTCGCGGATGGTCTGCGTCCATTTGTAGGGGAGCCGGGCCTGCTCAGCCTCCTCGGCGGCCTTGCGGGCGCGTTCTTCGGCGTCGCGCGCGGCGAGGTCCGCGGGGGTGGGTTCTGTTTCCGACATTTCTGTTCGGGCGTGGGGGTGGATGTTAGTCTTGCTTTGATTCTCTTTGGGTTTTCGTTAGTGATGAGGGGAGGTCCGTACCGGATGCGATAAGGTGCTGGGGATTGGGGGTGGTCGGGGGAAGGATGTTGGAGAAAAAGAAGAGCGTCTGCGGGGGAATATCGGCGGCGATTTCGATGGTGGAGCGGAGCTACACTACTAACGGTAATCGCTGCGGCGGTTCGAGTAGCTTCCGTCCGCTGCGGGGCTTTGGGTCGGGTCGAGCTTCCTTGGGTTTTGGTTACTGTTGGGCTGGGCTGGGCTGGTCTAGTACTGTAGGCTAACAATCCGATTGATATGCACCCAAAAGAGGCCCCATACTCCCTCGAAAGGACTCAGAAAAGGCACGCTAACTATTGAAGATGTGACAGATGTCACAAAGATCATTATGCCGTATATGCCCTGCGTATGTTCCAGATGCCCCACCATAACCTACCCTCCCTACCCTACCCATGGCAAACAGTCTTTTCCCTTCCCCCCCCCTCCCCGGACTAAACAGCCGCTATGCTTCCTGCGCATCATGACTGCATTCATTCCACAAGCAAACACCATCAACACAACAGGATTACCATTTTCCTCCCTCTCATCCCACCCAAGAATGTAAGATTTTGGTTTCGCACAAATGCTAAGGAAACTAAGAAAGCTCAAAATGCTCCCACATGTCCCATTAAACGCCATTAAAATGAACCCCCTTACCCCACCACCAGCTCCGATAATCATCATCATTCCGTACTATCCGTGAGAATCTCCTCTCCGAAAAGATCGACTTCATGGAGGCCGTGCAGGTCGCTCGGGTCCGGATGCGGCGCATCGGATTCTTCCCCCGCCCCCGGGCTGCTGCTGCTCACTTCCCCGCCCTCCAGAAATCCGAAGAACTGGCCCGCATACTCGGCGGTCGCGTTCGCGAGCTTCGCCTCCAGGATCCCCTCGAGCATGCGCATGTCTTCCTTCCACTTCTGCTCGCGGCGTGCCTTCTCCTCTGCCGACCGGCGGCAGGTCCCCTCGCGCTCGCGTACCTTGACGCAGTTGGGGCAGATGTAGTTGACCTCACAGAAGGAGCATTTGCAGGGCGGGTAGGCCTTCACGCAGTCCTGGCACACGTAGACGGCGCAGCTCGTGCATTCGCGGAGCACGCTGGCGCAGCGCTGGCGCTGGTCGCCGACGGCCCGGTACTGCGGGCAGAAGAAGGACTGACAACCTTGCCAGCGCAGCTGCTCGGACGGCGAGTCACAGTAGATGGATGAGGGGGAGGACGAGCGGGATCGGTTGGAGTTGGACAGGGACAGACTTCGCGAGCGGCGATGGATTAGCAACGCGGGTCCCGGGGGTTCGGGCAGAGCGCGGCTGCGCACGTCCCCCGCCCCGTCACCGTGGTCCTCAGTGAAGCTGCTCGTCGTGGAGTCGATCATCCGCTGGGTCCGGAACGGTAACTCGAACTCAGGCACGGAGTGAGGATACGCCATGTGCGGGGCAAGGTAGCCGCGAGAGCTTGATGCAGCGTGGTTTTGGATCGCCATCTTCTCCAGCGTCAAGTCCCGGTAGCCGCAGATTCGCAATCGTAGACCGCGGAGATCATGCTCAATGCACAACGGCTTCGAGCAGCTCTTGCAATGTACCTTCCACTGCGGCGTGTCGTAGCAATCCTGGCACAAGTTGCGGGGACAAGCCGTGGGCTGGCGGTTGGGCGGACCCAGCAGCCACTTCATCATGGCGATGTGTCCCGTCTCAAGTGTGTAATCCGGCTTGCGGGGATCTCCGTAAGCGTCGCGGGGGAACGTCTTGCTCCATTCCTGGGCCGAGATTTCGAGGTCCTCCCAGCCTTGTCCCCTGGGTAGCGGCACCGCGCGCACTTGATCTACATCCCGGTTGGAAGTGCCGATACTGATACCGCCTCCCCCGGAGAAAATGGGCTCCGTGCAGCACCAGTGCAGCTTCAGGGCAGGATAAGCGGCAGGAGCGGTGGGGTTGGTGGTAAGTACCTCGTGGTCCGTGAGTTCCAGCGGGTCTTGCATCGAACACGGCGAAACTGTTGCGCCAGGGGCCCACCAGAACGGATTCGACTCCTTGGTCGAGGCGGGCTCCAAATGACCAGCAATGTAAGGCCGATCGTACGCACAGCTAGCACAGAGAGTCTTTCGACATCCGACGCAGTGCATCAGGATGCTGCATTGCTCGCACCGCTCCGGGATCACTTCGCAGCAGTTGTCGCAGCGGATGTTCTGGACAAATTGCGCGTGACTTTGACGCAGATGCGCCGGTTTCATCTTGCCGTCACCGAGATCACCGATTTCGCCCGTCCCCAGCGGTTCGCCGCAATAGCCCGTCTCATTGTGCTCCCACAGCTTGCCGTCCCGCTGAGCTGGCCGGTGACCCGAGTCGATCGGTCCGATCCAGTTCTTCGACCTCCACAGCCGATCGAAGACGACCCAGACCTCGGCCGAACCCTGGGGAACCCGCATCGACACGTACCCTCGTCTGCGGAAGCACCGCCCGGCCGGGGTCGAGCACCATGCCGTATCCGTCCAGATGCCCAGCCTGTGACAGAGGTTGACCAGCTCATGTGTGGGCTCGGAGTCCGAATCCTTTCGCGACAGCGATGACGTGAGGTAGGGGCGACGGCGGTGATGGCGACATCGGTAGGTGTATAGACTTTTGAGGGCGAGATGTTTGGTGGCAGGGGAGCTACCGATATTCCGTTCCATGTTCACATCGTACTGGAGGCCGAACATGGTCAAGTAAGGAATAATGTGATACTTGAGTGAGACGTTCTTGCACCCCCGAACAGAGAGATGCTCCAGTGTCTCCCGTCGAGCATGTAGGACTGTAGAGATAAGGATCTGACCCGAGACCGCCGTGTTATCCAACTCCAGGCTGCGCAAACACGGGCTGAACGGAAGCACCACATTCATCAACAACTGATCGAGAGCGTACGGTCGCGACTGGCGGGGCACCACTGCCTCCGAGGAACCGGTGAGGACCACGCGAATCGGCGGAGGGGTGCCTGAGGGATAAAGGAGCCGGAACGAAAGGTACTTCCATGCTGTTGGGTATGAGCGGAGAAAGGAGCGGAGGTAGCGGGAAGTGTGGTAGAGCGAGAGAATAGAATCGGTGGGGGTCTGTAGAAGGAGGGATTCGAGGATAGGCGCGTGAGTGGTGAGGACTCTTTCAAATGTCGATAAAGAGTGTTGGGCGTGGAGGTCCGACTGCTCCAGCGCGGATTCCACCAGCACTTGCTGGCTCAGGCCGGCGGTGTTGTCCTTCTCCCCGTTCATCATTATTGTCGATAGTGATAGTGATAGTGATAGTGGGTGATACGGAGGGCGCTATCGGAGTATGTCGGTCGGTCACGACGGCGCTGAGGCCGAAATCCCTGCTTGATCTTTTTCTATGTCTTGAGTGTCTTGGTTAATGGGATTGAGTGTGGGACGGAGTCGGAGGGTAGAGTGTCGCGGGATCGCGAGCACGGCGGAAAATGCAGGTAAAACCGCCCATCATAAGGGGAAACAAGAGGGCGACCAATGCGCAAGGAGGACGGGTTTACATCCCAAGGCTGAACATCATATGAAGTCTACCAAGGGAGAAAAGACCAAGCAGGCAGAGAAGAGAGAAGCCGAGGAAGAAGACCACAACAGGGTTTTTGAAAGTGGGGAAGGGGGGGAATGGAAATTGGAGAAAGAGAAGATGGAAAACGAAAGTGAGATGAGGTGATGGGGGTGAGTGAGTGAGTGAGTGAGTGAATGTGGGTATGAGTGTGAGTGTGTGAGTGTGAGTGTGTGTGTGTGGCTTTGCCAACTCACCTCAGATTGGGGATTGGGACCAAATCCAACGACGGGTGCCGGGATCTGCCCGGCCCAGCATCATGTGATAGGTCGCTTCGACCATCACGAGCCTGAATTGGAAAGGGCATCGACTGGCATGATGATGATGAAGATGATGATGATGATGATGATGATGATGATGATCAGGGAGAAAAATAATAATCCTGAGGAGGGGGGAAATAAAAGGAGGGTGAGAAGAAAACCTAAAAAGGGATAGGGAGCGACTATTCCCTCAGCATACTTCTTTCTAGTGATTGACTCTCCCGCCTTTATTGAATCTTCATCAACTAGTCAACCTCACCCAACATCTCTTTTTGGGCCGATAGGAGCAATAAGGCATGAAAGTACGCTTGACCAGTCACATCCGGATTGTCTACCGGCCCAGCGCAACAGCCAGTCAACAAGAAAAAAACTTGATTTGAGTGCACCGCCCAGGGCACAAGAAGTCTAACTATCTATCCTAGTGTCGATCACCATCCTCGCCCACCGTATATCCCCTTGCGATTCCCTTGCGCCCTTCCACCACCAGCGTGCTGTCCGGCGCATCTTCCTCCTCGTATTGGATGTCGAAATCACTTCCCAGACCCTTCCACGTCCGCTGGGATTGCAAGAACTCCGCCCCTGGCGAGAACGTCCCGCCGATCATGGCAATATCGCCCTTGGCTCGCCTCGCTAAGGCGCGCGCGGCCGACGGCCCACTAGCGGCCGATACGGCCTCCTCTGCTGCTGATGAAGCGGAAACGCGGGGTGCAGCAGCATTCCGCATGGGCCGGGAGTGCGAGACATACCGACCGGTGCGCAGGTCGAATTCCGGGGGGGCGGACTCGGGCTCCGACATCTCTCCGGCCTCGTCCGCCGCGGGGTCCGCATTCTCCGCCTCTTCCTGGGATTGATCGAGGACGCTCTGGAAGTCACTCCGCCAGGCGCCAGTCCACACCCGCTCGGTATCGCCCTGGAGCGTGAGCTCCAGCTCCGAGGGAGTGATCACCGGCTTCCAGAAATCCTTGCTGTCGACTAGAGAGCTTTCCCAGCATCCGATCACCACCCATCCGCCGATCTCGCTGAAGTTGGCCACCTTGGCCGCGTTGAGCTTGCCCACCACAAACAGGTAGCTCTTCTTTCCGGCGGCCGCGATCCGATCCCGCACATGCTCCACGATGTGCAGGTAGTTCTTCACACTCAGCGTGTTGACGAGGATGCCGAAGATGGGCACGGTGTTGAGAGAGGTCAGAATGGCATACCGGCGACGCAGTGCAGCCGCCGTGGACGCAGGTAGCGGCTTCACATTCTCCTTGGTCACGTCCTCGGTGGGATAGATATGTATGGCGGCGACGCGAGACGCAAGGGTCAGGAGTAGGGCCGTGGGTGGGTCGGAAATGTGGAAGAGTTGCCAGTCAGAAAGGGACTCCGGGGTCTCTTGGACGGATTCCGGGACGGTGCGGTTGGGAATAGCAGAGGAAGGGTTGTGGACGATATCCGTGGCGAACAGGTTGGTATAGCCCTCCGCGACGAGACGCGCGTAGACGGTCGGGACATGGTTCGAGTAGGTCACATCAGCCGCCAAAATGACCTTGGTTTCAGGGTCAGGGTAGGTCTCCTTAAATGCGCGAACCACGGGCTCGAGAGGCAGAGGCTTCTGTGTGAAAACGTAGATGACCGGCAGTCGGGCTGTGGGGGACAGACATGACCGGCCGTAGTGCACGACAACGTCCGCATCCACATGCTCCGCGGCCACCTCGTCCACGCAGCATGTACCGTAGGAGGTATCCGCCAAAATATATAGTTTCGGGGCAGGTGCGGGCATCGCATCGGCCTTGAGCTGCCTGACCGAGTCCGCTAGCTGTTCGGCACCGTCGGTGCTGCTCTGCCCGCTGCTGTGTGGTTGCGGGGCATCGGTGACGTCCAGGCCGCGGCTGAGGAGCTGGAACACCCGGGGAGCATCGGGGAGCATGTCATCTGGGAATTGGAGCGCAATGCGCTTATACCGTGCCTGGCGGATCTCTTGCAGCGTGCGTTCGATGTCATAGGTAATCGAGAGCTCCTCGTCGGAGAGCGTGCGGCTCGGTGCCTGAGACGTAACCGGGTCGGTGGATTCCAGGATGCGATCATCGGGGGTGGAGAGGACGGGGGCTGCCTCCATTTCGTTAGCCATGGTGAGGGATATGGTAGAGCAAAGTTTGGTAGGATCGTGAGCAGCCCAGGGCCGGCAATTGAGAATGGTGTTGGTGAAAGTGGTGGGAGGGGAAATCGGGCGCAATTTTTGACTGCGAGGAAAATCCCACGGGTTTCCACCCCACTTTCACCCCGCCATCCGCAGGGGAGCCAATGGCACTCATGAGAATTACTTGTGGTGCCATACGTAGAATCGAAGCAACAAACCATCAATCATAATCGCGTTGATACTCTCTGGATTCAATGGCCGTCTACTGCTTGTCGTAATTTCTTCATTTTAAGTATATACAGAAAGATACCTTATCCATCTACAAATCCGCGCGGGCCGGCTCGCCAGCCCACACACGCCGGATCAGCTCCCGAATCGGCTCGCGCTCAATCTCGCGCGGGTTCCAGTACGGGTTGCTGACCGCGATGTCGGCGGCCTTGTCGATATCCTCCTCCTTCATCCCGAAATCCTTGAGGCCACGCTTGACCTTGAGCTTAGACAGCAATACATTTAAGCCGTGGATGGCGTCCCCATTGCTCTCCGGAAGGGCCTCGGCCAGCTTCCTCATGGCCTCGGGAATCTTGGGCGCATTGTAGGAGATGGCGTGCGGTAGGACCGCGGTGTGGGTTTCCGCATGGGGCAGGTTGAAGCTCCCGCCCAGGGTGTGGCAGAGCTTGTGATGGATGGACATGCCCACACTGCCCAGGCACGTGCCGCACAGCCAGGCGCCGTAGAGGGCGGACGAGCGCGCCGAGGGGGAGCTGGGGTTCTCCACGATCTCCGGCAGGGCGGAGGCCAGCGCCCGCGTGCCCTCCAGGGCCATCAGGTTGATGACGGGGTTGGTGTTCCGCGCGTAGAGCGCCTCCACTGTTTGCCGTCTAAATCAGCATCCGGATTGGCAATCAATCAGGGACAAGGGGGAGAACCCACCAGCGTGCGCAATCGCATTCACACCACTCGTGGCACTCATGGCGGCAGGCAGCGTCATGGTCAGGTCGACATCGTAGATGACCGTGCCCGGCAGGATCTTGGGATCGGAGCGCGTCTTTTTCAGCCCGTCGGCGGTTTCGCCCAGGATCGGAGTCATCTCACTGCCCGCGTAGGTCGTCGGAATGCAGATGTGCGGCAGTCCGGTGCGGATGCTGATGGCCTTGCCGAGGCCGATGGTGCTACCGCCGCCCACGGAGATGACCGCATCCGCGCCCTGCGCGCTCGCGTATTCCAGTGCCTTGTCGGTGATGTGAGTCGGGGTGTGCATGGTGGCCTCGGTGAAGATGCCAGCGACCTGGTCATTGAGGACGGCCTTGACGCTCTCGGCCTGGCTGACTTGGTGGGGGGTCGAAAGCACCAACGGGGCCTTCACGTTCAGACGGGTAACCTCATCAGGGAGCTTCTGGAGCGTGCCGCTGCCGAAAATGACACGGCCGGGGTTGGAATTGTATTCAAAAGCATCCATGGTGAGTGGTGGGGTAGGAGTTTGGTGCGCAGGTTATCGGGATTGCAGAATAGCGGGGAAGAGATTGGAGAGCGTTCGGGGTATCCCTGATCGGTATAAATAGTCTAGCATGTGCCTAGATCCGAGTCTCAGGGAGACATCCGAAGCTTGATCATCATGAATAATACAAGGATTTTCCCCACACCCCACCACTTCCGTCGTTCAACGTCATGAAGCCATTATTTATTGGGCCGGCTAAGGCAAAGGCTTTTACCGTGGGGTCGCGGCCGCGCCAAAGGTGGAGGGCTTCGGCAATTCTGCCGCGATCGACTCCGACTACATACATATGTACAATCTCTCGAGAGGAATGATATCTGTGTTGGCTACTACACCAATAAGAATTGCAAGTGTCAACCCTGCAACTGTCGTACCCTCGTCTAATAACCAAGCCCATGCTTATACACGAGAGGAAAGGGATGGGCATGACAACGATGGATTGCCGATATCGGCAAGGAATTATCCCGTCAACGGGTGGCAGGCCGCGCCAGACAGGCAGCGCACCCCAGACACCTATCCTTAATCTATACACATCCCAGAGAAGACAACGATTCTACCCTCGATTCACTGAATTGATAAAGCAGTATCGCTGCCGCCCACTGCAAAGTCTTCTCTCACGTGAAGAATGTCGATTCAGCACATACATGCCCATCACCACCGGCAGGCATACTTGGAGACTCCCAAGGACTCATCGTCTTTGACACTATTGAACCAGAAGAAGGACAAGGGTTGCTGAAGGGTGTTCTGCTTTTCTTTGATCCCGGGCGTAAGTATCGGGAACACGCTAAGCGTAGCGCTTATGAAGCTAAACCACTAGGCCTGATCTTAGCCGAATCAACTGATAAGAAGCGTAGACCCTTGGAAAGATAGCTTGATTCATATTAGAGCATTGTATACTTGGTTTCTCTGTTATAACATCCTCGCGGCCTACTTGGGGTCATTGAGAGAGTATCGCTTTATTTTATTTCCCACTCGATGTCACCGTACAGTACCATCTCCTTGGTGGGGGGTATCACTTAGTCCATATCGGCAAAGGCCATGATCTGCTGTCCTCCCTTGGCTCCCTTGCCCTTCTTGCGCTTCTTCTGCTGCACCGCCCGGGGTCTCTCTTCCTCGCTCTCATCGCCGGATTCCGCCTCACTGTCAATGTCATCATCGCTATCGTCGCTGTCGCCGTACATGCGCTTGTCTCCTAGGTGGGATCCATTGGCGCCGCTGGAACCGACCGCCTCATGCCAGACCTTGACCACCTGCCCGCCACCACTGACCATGCGCCCTTCGACGTCGAAGCCCAGCCCGATCACGCCTTCCGTCTCGTCGTGTACCACCTCCGACATGACCTTGTTGTTACCGATCCGGACGAACTTGACCGCGCCGCCACCCATACCCACGGCGACCATCTTCCCCTTGCCCAGCTCCTCCGGCACGACCGTCAGCGTCTCCAGCGAGTCGGCGCCACCGGTGCGGGGCTGCACATAAATGCGCTCGTCCTGATCGTCCCAGGCCCCCTTCTCCCACAGCGTTAGCACGCCGTTGGAGCCTCCCACCACCACCTTCTCGCCGCGGCTCGTCCCGCTCGTGGCCAGCCCGCCGATGTACACCGAGCTGATCAGCTCTTCCTCCTGGTCCTCGCTGCGCACAAGCACGCCCCGACGGAGATCCGTGACGGCCAGCGTGGTGCCACCCGTCGTCACCCATTGCTTGCTAAACCCCGAGGTACTGGTATCGGACGCGGGGAGCGGCGTCAGCGAGGAAACGTAGTCGTCGTGAGGGTGGTGCGTTTGTTGCGGCTTGGCGGAGACCTTGGAGAACGGGGTGCGGAGGTCGTAGACATGGAGGGCACTGGAGTCGGTGGCAAGGAGGAGGGTTTGAGGGGAAAGGGCGTGTACAATGGTGGGGGCGTCGACGGATCTGAAAGTTTAAACCCCAAAGCCTTGCGTTAGCAATTGCGCGGACAATTGAGCATCAATTGACATCGATTGGCTTCATGAGACACGGATTGTGCCCCCTCAGCATGCAACAGAAATCACATACCCATCCTTTAACGTGGGGATCGCGATCTTGTTCGTCACCACCCCGGTCTCCGCCTTCGCGGCCTTGACCAACCCATCCGTTCCAGCGGAGTACAACGTCTCGCCGTCCAGCGCGAAAGTCAAGCACCGGCAGCTACCCTTGTGTCGTCTCGTGCTCCACATGGTATCGATGTGACCCTTGCCGTTGCGGGACGAAGATGTCGAGGCCCCGTCATCATCGCTGTCCGCCTCCACGGAGGGCAGTCGGTAAGTCTGGACATGGCCCGTTGCGAGACCGACGGAGACGATGGGTTCATTGGGGTGGATGGCCTGCGAGAACAGATCCGCCGACAGCGGCAAGGTACAGACCGTGTCGAACATCGTGTGGACGGGCAGTGTCAATTGAGGGAAGGGACCTGATTTTCCACTCGTCTAGGACTTTTGTATGACTTTCAAGAGCTACCTCACGTAGATTTGTCTCTGGTGCGGCCGCAAGCTCCGACTTTTGAGGGGGCGGGCCGACCGATCTTCCGGTCAATCTTCCGGTGCTTGACAGCTGATAAGCCGCTTATCGGGGGCAACCGCCGCCTTTCTTTTGAAGCAGGCGCATTGGCTGTTGGCCCGACTATGCAATGGCAGCCACTCAGCGGGTTCTTGCTTTTAAGATCCTCACCTCTAGTCCAGCCTGGATAAATACATCCACTTAAGGACCTGACAGTTTGAATTGGCACTCACAGTCTCCAGGGACTCGCGGTTCAGGCGCCAATTGGTAACGAGCTCTATTGTGAAGTACAAATCTAATTGCTTCTGATGGTGCTGACCTGACCAATTGATCTACGCCATTGTCTCGAGTGTGATCCAGCCCCAAACAGTATAGACAATCTTGCAAATTAGTGTCAAAGAGAGAAACTGTCTTGACAAAGCCTACCTGGATACGGTCCTGATTCTAGTTGCCGAATATGATGATCTTCTGAGCAGAATTTCTACCCGAAAACCTCCTGCTAGACGCGTTACTTCGCCTTAGCTTTAATCTTATGCCCGGGATAATTCTTTTTTCCATTTATGTATATACAATTGCAAGAAAAGATCAGATTCAGAGAAGTCACGAAAGAAGATTGAGCAGAAACGAACGAAGAAACGGAAAGAAAAATGTAAAAAGAGCCATGTATAGGGGCCCAATCTCGTTGACCAGAGCGGGACCCGTTTTCCTCACGTCAGGAGCCTGCCCTGATGTGTTCGCTGCTGAGCTCACCCGATACTCACTCGCCTCTGCCATCTAAGCGCTGAAGGTCGAGTTGATCGGGCCGAACTTGATATTGGAGAAGGTGACGGAAGCGTCGGGGTGCGCTGCCTCAACTGTCTTGGGGTTACCCTCGCCGGTCTCGCAAGTGCCGCGGGCAACACCGGGGTCGGTCACAGTGGCGTTGGTGGGATAGTGGCTATCCAGCCACTCCATGCTGGAGTAGGAGTCATCCCACAGACTCATGATGAGGACCATGGACGAGAGGGCGTCGCCCATCTTGGTGAGTCCCTGGTGGTCTCCGAAGATGTCTTCGTCCCCAAAGGCCTTCTTCTGAGCCGTGCAGAAGTCGGAGGTGATCGAGTTACCAGAGACGCCACTGATCTCGGACGCGGCGTTGGCAATCACGTTGCCGTTCTGCACGTAGTAGCGGCGGATCTCGGACAGGGAGCCCGAGCTGCCCTTGATGAACTGGGTGACGACCGTCATCTTCGAGTTGGAGTCGACAGTCTTGCTGGGGCCGAAGAACGAATCGTTGCCCATGCGGTAGGTGTTGAAGTCGCAGCCGTCGGGGTCGCAGGTGCCCGCGTAGCGGCTGGAGGAGTAGGTTCCGCCGCAGGCGTCGCCCTCGCACATTACCTGGGTGGTTGAGTCGCAGGGGTGCGGAGTGAACGCGGTCGAAATCTTGTTCGCTTCCCAGATGTCCATCTCCGGGCAGCAGGAGCCGTGGTTGCCGACGCCGGAGTTGGAGTTGCTGGTCGACGGGGTCCAACCTTCCACGTTCGCCTGGTTTATCTCACGTCAGCTGGTATGAAGTGGTAGTCCAGTGGGTCAATGATACTGACCTGTCCGTCAATGAATTTCAGATCCCGCGGGCACTGGGAATCGCAGTATCCTGTTCCATATTTGGCGCCGGCCTTGTTGGCCGGGAATCGGGACACTCCGCCGTCGGCGTCCATGGCGGTGAAGTACAAGGCACCGTTCAGTCCACAAGGGAGGTTGGACACGTCGACATCGAAGGTAAACTCGGCGTCCAAGAGGTCGAATGTCTGGTATTCCTCATCGCTGGTGTCCATGAGGTAGAGACGCGAGCCGACATTGGACCCGGTGACGAATTTGAGTGTCAACGCGTCACCGCTGGTGGTGACACCGTAGGTGCCTTCATAGTCGGCGCCATCCAGTGCACAGTTTGAAGCACAGGTCTCATCATCAGGGCACAAAGTGGCATCCCACTAGGGAACGTGTCAGTCAATCGCTGCAATAGAGCTGGCGCTTTCACACGACTTACAGTGTTCCCAGTGTAGCAGTTTGTGTAGCCTTCTACGGAGTGAACCCAGCGCCAGTTGGAATCAATGACCACGGAAGCACTCTGCTCTGTGCAGCTGCCAGCAGCAGTACACTTCTGCCAGGTCAGAGCAGGATGAGTTTCCGCAGTCGAGGTTCCGGCCTGTTGAGCGCGAGCTGCGCTCCAGAGCGCAGAGAAGAGCAGGGCGCGTTGATACATTGTCTCGGATAGTTCGCTGAGTCGATTGTTGTTTGTGCTTGATTGTCTGTCCTGCAGAGATGTTCAACGGACTTGACTAGGGAACTTCTTGCCTTTTATATCTCTTTTGTTCGTTGGAAACCATCGTTCTTGAATGGTGCTGAAGCTCAAATCTGTCTCGCAACGGTACAACGGACCGCTATACCGTTGATAGAATGTTTCGGAATATAGTTGCTTTCCTATTCTGTGCAGCAAGGACTACCTCCGTCCCATAGAAAGGCAGTGAGCGCCTCGCTATTCCCGGAAAGTGGATCCAAGGCGGCAATTACCGTGTGTTGTTGAATTCGATTGACTTAGACCTGCGCTTCATAATCCACTGGGTTTCAAGATTGCCATGCCGGAGATTACTCCGAGCTATTTCAGTCATCTGCATTGTCCTGACTCTGCGAGTTCGATCCTGTTATACCACTGTTCATTGCCGCATCGGATGCGGAAAGTTAGGCCAAAAGGATTGATACCATAATTCTTCGTCTCTGGAGCGGGTTTAGTCTCAGGTTAGTTTCACTTTAAAAAGCAGCAATCCACTGAAAGAAGCGGTCGTTTGTGTTCCTTGTGAAACACAAATAGAAAGCTTCAGTCCAAGGTTTGTTGTAATGGCTTCAAAGCTAAGCTACGAATCGAAGTAACGTCTCAATTGTATTCTAGGTGTCATCAAAAGGATTCGACTGATGTTCGATTAATCACTATGCGAATGGCGATGTGGCAGATGTGGCGTTGGTTGGGCGTCGACCGATCCCTCCCCAATCGGTGACCCTAATCAATTAATTCGTTATATTCAGGGTTCACTTTGACCTTGTCGATCGTCGGGGTGCGGGGAACGAGATTCCATCAATGATTTCGACTTCTGGCTTGAACATAGCATCCGTCTTGCAGGTGGCTTAACGGGGGGCGCCCTTGGCTCCGATAAAAGCCGATAGGACCTCGTCTCACTTAATTCGCATCAAAGTTTCCCCACAGTGGACTAGAGGGCGACTGCGGGTTGGCATCTCAGACACCTTGATGTTTCATGGCTGTGCGATACATCGCCCGATGTCGGGAGTTCCAGCAGACAACTTTTGTTTCTGTAGCCGCTTTCATCCCTTCATTTCCCGATCTTAATGAAGCTCATCTTGACAGCGGCTAATGTGGGGGAAGGTTTGAGGTATGAGACATATTTTCTCGGTATATCGAGCCAAATGGTAAGCGTGCTACTGAGTACAGGACATCGTCTGATGAAGCCGGCATAAGCCATGGCGCTGTACCTTGCAGATCGCTTCCCGGTTATGGCTAGGTGCCGTCCAACGGCTGTCCAGTTCAAGTGGGTAGTAATCTCCATTTAGCCGGAAATGCCCTTTTCAGGAGTTCACGGAGGTAATCTCCGCGACTTTGTCGAGACGGGGGGGGCTGAGGTTGCTGCTGACTGGTCTTATTCTCTATGAAGAGCGCTTCATCGGCAATGTGTTGTTGCCTGTTGCAGTGCGTGTTGCCAAGCTGGTATTTATCCTCATGCACAGAGCCCTCAGATCTCATGACTTTTGTACCTTGGCGAGTTGGTTCTACCCATGCGCATGGACAGGAAGAGGGCCTTGGCGAATGGTGATACCTCACAGGTTGATTAGGGTGGTGTAGCCTCGTGGTGTTGTGCATGGGTATCCTCGGAACTGGGGTGATGAAACCATATTGTCGGCCCTGGTATCCTCCAAATGTTTTTCCTTCATGCTGACTATGACTGCCTGGAGTGATTCGGCAGTATATCGGCATTTAGCTATCCCTGTCGTTCCATTCAGCCTCAATGCGTTCCGTGGCAAGAATACCTATGCCATAGTGCTTGGCATGAGTATATGTATTGTCGATCGAGTGTGGGTCGACAGGTGGAACTATGAGATGACATCTCACCCAATGTCTTTCAGAGATAACGCACTGCGTGTCTTCCTTAACGTAAAATGATTGAGCATTTCGTATAGACTTGTCAGCTCTGATGAGGACTGCGAAGAGACACTGACTGCTGCTGGATGCCAGTCGAAGGAGCCTCGGCTGTGGAAGGCACATGACTTGGCTTATCTCTTATCGGAGTTCCGGTGACAATCCTTCGGCCCGAAGAGGAATAGTCAGCCCAAGGCCAACAAGTGGTTAACATCCACCACATATCTGCCCGCTGCCAACTTCTTGTTGTTGCTCGATTTTTATTCTATTCGGCCTGCATTTCGTTTTTCACTTTAGCCACCCCTTGCATTCTTCTTTCTTGTAGTTTTGGATTACATCATAGACATCAATTATAGACGAGAGACATGGCTTGGTACAATCAAACCGTCGACTCACTCTCCGAGTTCTTGGCAAGCCACCGCAGTCAACTTCCCCTCCTGGCTGCAACAGGGGCCTCGTTGACTGTGGCTTATGTCCTGCGCTCGCTTCTATCGGACTCCCAGCCGGAGGGGAATGTCTATCGCTCCCCTCTTGCCAGGGTCAAGGCCTTGTCGGATGCGGAAAACTGCGAGCTTCCTCTGCCTATCGACGTTCTTCCTGGGGCCCGGGATGTGCCCACCAGTTTTGGTGGCTCAATGCGTGTATATGAGTGGGGCCCGGATGATGGCCCCAGGGTCCTCTTGATCCACGGCATTACGACCCCTTGTATTGCATTAGGCGGGTTAGCCCATGCCCTGGTCGATCGAGGGTGCCGTGTAATGCTCTTCGACCTGTAGGTGAACTGCCGAACGGCGCCACAACGAGGACTGCTAACAGGTACCTCTAGTTTCGGAAGAGGGTACTCCGATTGTCCCTCGGATCTGCCACAAGATGGCACGTTGTGGAATCGACAGATCTGGTCTGCCATCAACTCGTCTCCTATCTTCAAGAGGCCGGGGGATCTCTGCCTGGTCGGCTACTCATTAGGCGGCGGTATCGCGGCGAATTTCGCGGCTTTCCATCCTCAGGCTATTTCCTCGTTGGTTCTTCTTGCGCCTGCTGGTTTGATTCGTGATTCTCGGATCAGCTTCCAATCTCAGCTTCTCTACTCGCACGACTGGATACCAGAGAAACTACTGAAGTTCTTCGTCCGTCGTCGCCTACGCGCGGGTCCGTTGACATCCAAACCTGCGAACAAGAAGCTCAGTGCAGAAGATGCGTTGGTTGAAGAACTTCCCAATCAAGGTGCGACGGAGGTACAGCGACTGTCTCGGGCTTACACACATGTGAATGTCCCCAACGCAGTCAAGTGGCAGGTGGATGAGCATCCCGGTTTTGTGCATGCTTTCATGTCCAGCATGCGGTATGGGCCCATCCTGCAGCAGCGCCAACTGAAAGTATGGAAGCAGCTGGGAGACTGGCTCGCCACGGGGAAGAAGGCCGGCTCGGATGCGATCCCCGGTCTTCCCCATGACAAGGTTCTCATTATGTATGGCGAGCACGACGCGGTCATTGTGAAAGACGATCTCGTGCCCGATGCCACTGCAGCACTACAAGGCCTCGCGAGCTTTAAGTCCTACGATGCGGGCCATGAGTTCCCAAGCACAAAGTACGATGATGTGGCTCAATACATGATGGAATTTCTGAAGCTCAATGCGTCGACAAATGAAACTATCTGAAAGGAATGGCCCTATTATGATGACCCCGACATATCTCTTTCATCTTCCCGATATATGCTGCTCGGCAGCGCCCTGCGATGAACAAGATCTCTAATAGACTCTGTACATAGACAAATCTTCCTGCTATTTATACCTTCCCACGTTTGAAATATTCGCATTATGCTGTGACCTGACATCAATTATCTTTACCGTTTTCCGAGAACCTTTTCTGTCGCTTCAAGTTGGCTTGAGAGCCGCGACGCGTGCTCTGAGCGATCATGCATTCGTGCTCGCGCAAAGTATGGCTCATCCGCTGCTGGGGACTGCGTGAAGCGCTCCACCATACCTCCGCTGGTGCCATCCGGAAGGCGGCTCAGATTTTCAGCGCTAAGACTGTTGCTGACTCCGTTGCCAGTTCTATTGCCAGCTGTCAGCATTGGAAGAGCGGCAAGAGTGAAGTGAATTACTAACTTTTGTGTTCGCTTGTTTTCAGAAGACATTGCTGATTGTTCGATATAGGGTTGATTTCGGTAGTAACAGATGTGAGATATTGAGGACCGCAGCCGGAGGATATTTTGGAATAGATTGCAAGTATTCAAGGCAATGCTAATCGTTCGGCCAATGGAAACGTGATGTGTGGATATAAGTGCTGTGATAGGGGTAGGTTTGTTATTTGGATTTGGATTGATTTATGGGTCTCGATGATGCTGATGATGTTAAGCAAGAAGGACGGTGGCATTCTGCCTTTATATACTTAACGATACAGCCCCCAAGCTTCAAGCCTTACTGACGTTGACGAGTGAAAACAGAGAATGTGAAACAAAAATAGACCAGGATGACTTTGACGCAAGCTGGGATATAACGGGCCCGGAACCGAAAGTGGTGAGATTATAGCCACGAGTCGTGTGAAGATGGAAAGAGAAGAGCTTGCGACGTAACTTGTGTGACATAGGAAGATAGAGATCATCGGTTTGTCTCTTGCAACCGACTTGTGATTTTACCACGAGCAAGGTAAACCGGTTTTGAACGGGCTGGGAGTTGAAGGAAGGGTCCGGAGTTACCGTTTGTGTCTCTCCCTATGTGCCACGAATGGTAGCTAAGATTTGCGATAGCGATCTGTCGAGCTGCTGCGTCCAACTAGACGAACCCGAACAAGGAGATTCACTTTGTCCCCAGCGTGTAGGGAAATGATTACCGAGTCACCCTAAGGAGGATAGACTTATGAGTCGGATTCTGTATGGGTGAGCTCGACAGGCGTACTCCGGGGAACCCATGAACGATCGTCAGCATGGCGCACATCGGGCACATGAACCGAATGAGGGTGTAGATGATCAAACAGCATGCATACTCCGATGCTATGCTGGTCATGACGGCCAGCCAACGGCGCTTGTTATTGGCTGTCAAAGGCATCCGGCGGAAGGGCTGAAACCTCGACATCCGATTCTCGCACCCCCGCTTGAAAAGGGTTGTGTCATGGATCTAGACCTTGTGGAGCCAAGACAACCCCCCGTACTGACGCAGATACTATCAATGCCATAGTCTCGAGCGCGATCTCAGACCAGGGATCACACGATTTACACCAAACTGAAAAGGGATCAGGAATTGAGATCTCTGTGCATCGGCTGTGATCCACCGATAGGGTCAAAACGGGGTCGATCCCATCACAGTAATCACGCACTGCCCCAGGGGATGGCAGTGTCAGTGCTTTCGCCCTGACTCTTTCACGCTGCTGCAGCTCTCAACTTACTCCTACCTTGTTTTCGGCCTTAACCTTATTCAGCCACGATTAGCTACTTCGTAAGCTAACGGCCCCTGTGCCTCCGACAGGATAAACGGTATCCTTGCATTGGAGACACCGTATGTACGTACACCTGGCACGACCTGGCAGATGAAAATGACTCAGGGTGCAGGCGCAGCTGAACTAACTTCTGCTACAATGTCTGTAGGTTAGAGAACGTCGACGAGCAAACCCTAGGCTGTCTTTGTTACTTTCTCGGTCGGCTGAAAATTCAGAATCAGCGGTCTTCTGGCTCGGCTACTGATCACCTTTGATCTTGTCGATTTTCTTTTCTTCTGCATTCTTCCTTGTCCAGGAATCCAGTTATGCTGACATCCCGACCCTGGCTAAGCGTTGCTCCTGAAATTTCACGATTAATTATGCTGCGCCGGAATGAGGATATTCAAAGCTAAGCCCCGTTCTATCCTAGCTTGCTGCCGCTGGACAGTACGTGCACATACGCCTCAAAGTACGTCTATTCGTTCCAGTATGGTGGTCAAAAAGGGGATTTCCACGACGGATCACGCGAGAACAAAAGCAATTGGCAGTTCTATAATTGGCTGCAAATCCCGGTGCTCGATATGACTACAGCAAATAGTGGCGAACTATGGACTTCTCACGAGCTGAACCCTGCACCAATGGACAGAGCACATCGTATCTGATTGGTGAACGGTAGTGATCGACGGACGTGAATCCGAGCCTGGCTGCCTCCTTAGCATGGGGTTACCACAACGCTGGGTTCGGGTTCGCGTCGCAAAGCCTTTATGCCAGTGCACAGCACAAAAGTTGAATAAACCCAGGGCTTTCGGGTACGGGAGCCGAAAGGGGCTTGCAACTGGTGTTTTGTTGTTTCACTTGTTTATCTCTCAACCCCCCTGAATACGTCCGCTCCGGTTACGGTCACCCCCTTGCTGCTATCTCCGCGGGCAGGTGTCGGAATCAATACTAGTCTCCGTGCTCTGCGAGAAACAGAACGCGGGGGTATTGACTATCTTGGACGGGCTCCGAGAGAGTTATCGATGCATTGCTTGCCCTTGAGGCGGATTGCTTTCCCAAATGCGATTGCAAGCAACCTAATGGTCTTTGCTACCAAGTTCGCCGATTCCCCTGCCTAGCAAGAATTGGAAGCAGACGATACCCCTCGCTTTGACTTTCTTGTAAGGACATCACCGTACGCCTTGTCCGTCTGACTGAGATTAGTATCTGCAGCGAATGGACTGATTGCCCTTGTAAGGCATGCTTGGCCTAAGCTCTGGCAACCTTATCTCTCTAAGCGATGATCTACCACCATCATAATCATCTGGTCTGAGCTTTTTCTTGGCGGGAATCTGGCGGTCTCCACCAGTCTAAACCTTCTAATACCTTGATTTCATGTGTACTGTTCATTAGGTGATGTTGAGAAGTCATACTAACCACCATCTGCTGTGAGACGAATGAGGGAAGCTTGAGGATTCTACGATCGGTCCAAGCCAGCTCAAGACCTGAAGAAACGGTCTCCGAGCTTGATAATGCTACCATCCACTCAAACCGCCTCGCATGGACGGAGTTAAGCTGCCATGTTACGAACCGAGCCGGAGAATGGCAGCTGCCGTGCCGAAAGCAACGTATGGACCTGCAAAGGTAAGGAGCGACTGCTCGCCAGGGGTTGTATTCAATGCACGGCTCTTTTAGTTGGGAACTCGATTATCAGTCAACTCAATTCATCGCTCATCACACCCAGTCTGCCGCTTGTCGACTCGATGACCGCACCTCGTCGATCTTGTCCCAATGAGAGCGTATGAAACGGCGTGGCCGGACTTCGGGAGGATGATTATTTCTCCTGTCCTGCATCGCTTTCCCATATACTGTACTGTACCGGTCGTTTTTGCTTTTTCCCCAATCCGAAAAAGTATCCTTTCTTTGGCCTTTTCGGCCCCTTTCAACCGCCACCAAATGAGCATGACAAGCAGTCGTGACTCCCACCGACATGCGCAGCAGGGTAGATGAAACAGCCGCGCAAGGCCTTTACGTCAACAAACAGGAACGGGATGACGCCAACGCTGATAAGTTCTCTGAGTGTGCATGTTGAAGACGGCTCTTCTTGACTCATTGTACGGAGTACTCCGTACCTGATCTTCATTGCTGCCTTCCCGCCCTTTAATTCTTCTCCTTTTCCCGTCAGGCATGCGCCCACGGCAGACACTTTAGGCAATGATTTACCTCCCTTTTCTGTTACTACAAACAGGTCTTATTTGTAGGAAGAACAATACCGGGGGGTTATTTCCCGAGCCGCGCGCCCCTTTAATGAACAAGGTTCTCAAGAATGAGTACTCAGCCTCTACTCATGCTGGGGAGGCTTAGAGACGTTACACAGACATCTCCAAGCGAAGAGGTCTGACTTCCGATATCACGTCGACTTCGTATCTGTTCCTGTTTGAAGAATGTCGAATACGTGACTGGCGTATCAATCCGACTGAGAATGAGCCTGACCACCAATTAACCAGCCAATCCCTGGACCCTTGAATGGTTCGTGACGACCCTCAAGTGGAGCTAACGGTCTCGACTACGCACATACTTACGATTCTCTTCGAACGGTGGGGCTGGCCTTCTAATGCATCACATCGGCCTATCCACGATCGCGAAACACTTTCGCTTCTTCTTACCATCTTAGGAGGAAGTCACGATGAGTGAACGCGCTACTGCCTGACCCTTGGAGGATATGAAACATGCGATTGTCAGTCCGACATACCCGGTCATTGTTCGTTATGCTCAGAGATACAATCGCAAGACTGAACCTCGATGGCGCTACGCTAGCGCATGTCTCAGCTGTCAGCACGCGTGCGCCATATAAGAATCATCGGGTCTACAAATTGCATTGCTAGCATGCAACGCAGGATCATCCATGCAAATGCAATGCAGCAATAAACTGCCCCCCTCGACTAGATGCCAGTCCCACATGATGGGCGCATTGTGATTCTGGTCTGGTGCGTAATGCGATCTGCAGAGACCCATGGTACGATGGGTAGCATGTGCTGGGAATCTGGTTTGAAGATGCACCTGATGATAGCGAAGCGATATCTGCATGCTTCCGATGCTGCCGGCGACTCAGAACGCGCAGCAGGCTCGTCTGCTGAACCGGTGGGTCTTGATTGCAGCATGGACGGCTTTACCTCTCACCACTCGTGTGAGATAGACAAGAATGTGACAACGGCTTTTGCCGTTTCATCAAGTGTGCTGTTTGAGAGGAGATGCCTGAGATAAGGCATGGGGCACTTTTGTGATATTTTCGACATTTACAAGGTTCGTGATCCAAATCTGCGAATGGGTTCAAGCAGGATGCAAGTCAAAGTAGGATGATTGATTGTCATACAAAGACAAACATGCATCCAGTCATCGATATTGAATCGATTGAAGAGACTTAGATTGATTACAGGATAACAAAACCGACAACACCCGCTTGTCCACGACTCTGGCATTTGGCTCTAAAGAAGATCATACACTTCGAGACCAAGAAGCCTACCGTGAATCAAACAACACGCGTAAATCACTATCTATTCCCCACATTCGAGTCTTAAGTCTATAACGCTTGAATGCACTGTGCTCACATGGTCGGAGCCGACGAGCATACCTTAATGGAATGGTACGGTCAAAAGAGTGGAGCATGTAAAACGATGCAAGGCAACTGATAAGGCAACGGGAGAGTTTGCGTAGCTCTTGTCCTTTCCAGTATAGACCAAAGATTTCCTGACTCGATTGCAGAGCTTCGCTTCAAATCAAGCAGGAGCTTACCCCGCTATCTGAACGATCACCCATTCTAGCTTCTGATTATACCATTTGTGGCGTCAGTCGGCTATACTTGGATGTAGGCCTGATGCGCGGAGACGATATATGCAACAGATCCAATGCACACATTCAGCAACAGGTTTATCTTGCAGAATCTGGGCTGTGGACGCATGCAACTCTTTCTTGGTCCCAGGGTATCCGCTGCAGAAGCCGTACATGCATGCAGAGTGTTCTCAAGCTTTTAATTTTGGATGGTAGACCACCAAAGCAAGGCATCGTTGCGAGACGTCGATGATCGGCGGATCGCTCCAGTTATCGGGTTGGATCTAATCAGTGCTTTCGATGGACTCTCTTTGTATACAAGAACACTGTGAGGGATAAAAAATCCCCGCACAAGAGTTCTACTGCCTAAGTGCGATGGAGAGGCAATATCGCTCAAGGCCACGGGCTCTGGGCTCTGGAGGCTTGTGATGGCGAATATAGCATGGACATAATGCACGATAGTGAGAGTCTATTGTGACTTATCTTATCGCTTTTGAGATATCCAGTTGGGAGACACAGAAGTCCCTAAGCCGTAGTCTTCTTGAGCTGGTTTGTATACCTGGAGATTCGTTGCAAGGTAGAAGCTGCCGTCATGCCTATGTCGGAGACTGGAAGTTGACTGGCTGCTATGATGATATTTCAAAAGGTTGAAAGGCAGCTGTCGTAACAACATAAGAGGTCAGGGAAAGGAAATGAAGAATAAACCAGAATTATGGATCGAGGACAGAGTCATCATGGTTTGAGAGTTACGAGTAGTATGGCAGTCAACCTCTGCCTCAGGCACGCACAGTCCCTCACGTGGTGCCTAATCCGTGTTGGGTAAGATTACCTTATCGCATCTCCCACCATCACTTCCTCTTCTATCTACGCGAGGTTACATGTTTTCTTATTTGTGTGCAAATCAATAGACTTGAATTTCCTGCGACAGGACTTCTGATCTCTCACAAACTATTTCCAGCATCTGCTGAACGGCCATGTGTCGGCTCTGCGGGGTAAAACACCTTTGTTAGTCGATTGGGCCTGTAGTCACGGCCTCCGGTCTGGTCTGGATGAATCATCAATAGGTATACTTCCAAACACAGTCCTAGTACATCTTAGATCTGGACCTTTCAAGTAAGCAATCAGCTAACACAGTTCCGTAGATTAGAGAAGCCAAAGCGCGATACACACCCAGCATGGATCCCAAAGCATCATCATCACTAGGCAGTATCCAGAAAGCCGTCTGGGACGGCAAACTGCCGCTGCACATCACCTTAGCCCCATCCGAAAGCCGAACCTTTGATCAAACAGACCCATATCTTGTACTTCTCTTTCCTCTCTGGGTTCACAAATGCGAATCGAAACACTAACCGAGGAAAGATCTCCCACCCGCGCATCGCATACCTTCCCTCTCTCCTCCCCCGACTCCGTGACTTCTTTGCGTCCTCCCTCATCCACCCCACCTCCAGCCCGCATGAAGGCTGGTTCTCCTTCGAGGGCGTCCCTCTAAAGTGGCACTACCCCATCGGACTCCTGTATGACCTGTACGCGGGCGCCGACCCGGCCTCCAAGGGCGGCGGCACCGAGCCCGACCTCCTCTCCGCCGCCGGCGCAGACGAGGACCCCCTCCCCTGGCGGCTGACCGTGCACTTCAGCGACTGGCCCGACGAGGAGCTGGTGCGGCTCGACGCCGACGGGATGGTCATGCACGACGCGTTTATCAACAGCGTCAAGGAGGCGGATTTCCTGCGCAACGGCACGGCGAAGGGGATCATGGCGCTATCCAAGGAGGATTCCGCGGGCCTGTGGACGGCGGTGAGAGATGGTATGCGTGCCCTTTTCTTTCTTCCCGGAAGTCTTTTTTTTTGCGTGTGCTTGTATTTGAGTTATGTCCTTGGGAAGGAAAACTAACGTGGATAGCAGTGGACCTCCCCGCCTTCCAACGAATCTCCAACATCCTCCTCCCACCGCCCAACCAACCCTTCCGCAACGTGCCCGTCCGCTTCTTCCTGCCGTTGCCCCCGGATTCGGACTCCCCCTCGCTGAAGGTGGTCCAGTCGCCTATCCCGCCGGTGATCGCCCCGTCGTCGGTGTCGTCGTCGATCGCGGCGAGTCAGTCGCTGATGATGGCCGCCGCGCGCGGGGCGCCGCAGGTCCAGACGGTCGGGTCGGCACTACATGCGCTGCTGCCGAACCTGTTTCCGAGTCGTAGGACCCCCGTGCTGGCGAAGCCGGTGCTCCATGGGGCGGCTGTGCCGATGGCGGCGCCGGTGGAGGAGCTGGTAAGGTGTTCGGCGTATGGCGATGGGTGGGTCTATGTGGTGGTGCGGATGATGGGGTAATAGGCCCTTGGGGGCGTCTTTAGGGGGAAGTTTGCTTTGCCTGCTAGCGAAGCCTTGGGAGAAGGATTTTAGATATCAGGCGCTTCACCGGACTCGGCATTCTCACTGATAGTGCTGGAATCTGTCTGATTCGTCCTCGGGCGTTGTCAATCGATGAAGGTTTACTAGATACAGTACAGCTTGTTTGAGTCACGATCGTAGGCACGGAACTCAGCGCTCTGATTAAATGATAAGGTCTTATCGATGCACGTGTTTTTATACGTAGGTAAACCCGATGGGTTTGGGTTTCAAATACTGCACTGTAGCGCTCACGCACGTGCTCCCGACAGGATTCAGCTACATACTCAAGCATCCTTCCACATCCTCGCCAGCTGGTTACCAAAGTGCTCCTCGTGGATCTCCATAACATCCTGCCCCGAGGATACGTGGCTCAGAATGATGCAGTAGATATCACAACATACCTGAATCCCCCAACTTCCGAAATCCTGTTCCAGCTTGTTTATTACGTTCCCCTCGCCCCCCTAATTGAGCCCGTATGCCGCGAACTCAGGATTCATCCAACCCAACGGCATCTGCGTATTGAACAGCTGCCACATAAGCCAATCACTCGACGCGCTGCTTCCCGGATCCAAGATCCCGGAAGCCTCTTGGTTCATGCCGTGCGCTAAGAAGCCCTCGTGGGCAGAGAGATGGCCCGTTTCCATGCCCCCATTCGTGGCGCGGGCCACTGCCGGCGTCGATGGAATGCGAGCCTCTGCGGTGCCAGCACCTCCCTGTGGTACAGCCCCAGCATCTGGATTCTGGAACAGCGGCTCGCATAGTCGCGCAAGGGACGTCAAGAGGTCGAGGAGTTTCTGGAGGTGCGGGTCATGCTTACACTGTGACAGGGTTTGGACGATACTTTGCACCAGGTCGTAATCGGATTGATCCAGGGAGCCGATGATGTTGCAGAAGAGAACGAAGAAGGGGCTTAGTGGGTAGAATAGTAAGGTCCTTGTGCTTAATCAGTTACCGAAGTTTTCATCTTTGCCGGTGTTGTACGCACCATGTGAGAAATGACGGGTATGGGTCGTTGAAACCCGGCATCTCGGCGTGGTGCTGCTGGAGGTACTGGAACGCTTCCAGCGATCGTCGGGCGCAGAGCAAGGTCTCCTTGTGGACCATCGGACTGAAGGAGCACCGTAGCCGGGTCCTGTAGATCTCCACGAGCACTGCATAGTAGCAGAAGTCGGCACCGATCCAGTCCAGCTCTATAGGTCTATGGAGCGAGCTGCGGTTCTGCGGAGGTACACACCTCGTGTCAGCCTAATGTTGGTGATACGGGTTGCGGAAAGCCTTACGCTATGCAAGTCTGGAAGGAGTCGTCGCATCCTAGTCTCGAGACTGTCGATGACTTCCATGACCTGTCGATTTGATTTGCGTTTTTCATGAGCAGGTATGGAGAGTAGTTCGCCTTGGATTTGAGCAATCTCAAGACAGGTCCGAAAGAGGGAGCCATATGGTAGTGAGGAGTCGAAGCCAACGAGATCTGTAGGAGGAACAAGCAGGTCCGGCAGGGAGGTGGGTCGGCCCATCAGGGAACTAAGTGACTTATCGAGGAAAAAGCACCACAACAACGCGTTCTGAATGTCCTTCTGCACCACGGAGGGAGCGGGAGTGTCTTGGGTCCTGTGGTAGCCGAGCGCTGTGATTTGACGAGCGCAATACGAGTTGAGTATCCAGCACTGGTTGACTCTACCAAGATGTTGCATCAGCAGGGCCTATATGCGGAGCATGTTAATGATCTAGTGTAGCACCTTTGGCCTGTGCACACGACTCACACTTGAGAGTAGAGCCTGTATGAAAAGAAGGCTGGGAGGCGCGAGGATGTCAAGTTTGTGAATGCTCTGCACGGCTGCAGCTATGTAGGTGGAGGCGGATCGAAACAGCCGCCGTTTAAGCGTGGAGCTGGTAGTGCTTCTGGCCAAGTTGAAAAAGTGGAATATTGCCTTGACATAGATGCAGACGGAGAGTCGGTGGAACACCTGGCCCTTGCAGCTTTCATCGAGTACCTCGGCAGCCATTTTTTCGAACGATTCTTCTGAAATATGATCAGGCCACTGATAACCTTCCCTACTTGTCGACCCTGGAAATTGTCAGTCGACAATGTTATACGATGAGACATGCCATAGTTACCAGGAAGCAGCATGAAGACGAGCTCTTGCGGTGGGGCTTCTGGAACTGCAATGCTGGGATCCACAGAAAACCCTTCCTCGGCAGATGTGCTTGACTCCACAGGCGCCGCGTCTGCCATCTCACTGACTAGATCGAGCGCGGCCTTGAGAACAGACTGCTGTTCATGGCTGATATGTCGACAGTCATCAAGCACCACTTCGATGATACTTCTGGCTTGCACCGCGTGATAGTTCGAGCTGTCAGTGCCAGCAGGCGAATTGAGGTCACCACGGGAGGTCTGGTCATGTTCGCCCAGCATGTCAGCACGTGGCTTCTTGAGGGGTCTCTGTTCTCCTGTTCTTATCTCAGGGCTGGCTCCTAGGTCGATGTGTCTAGCCCTGTCAACTGGTCAGCCGGCTGGGATAAGAGCCAGAGTTTGGGAAGAGCTTGCACCCTTGAGGCTGAGCTGCCGGTCTTTCCAGGCGAAGTATTGTTTCCGCTGGACCAGTGGCACTAGCAGATAGTGACTTAGCGGTGATCGTGGTAGTAACTGTAGGCCACCGAGGCCGCGAACCTTGAAAAAGATCGTTTGCGCGGTGTTCTTCCGCGACGAAGACGCTGGCACTCGACACCAACGTCTACACAATTTGAGCAGTTTCTCTGTCTGTTACATCTGATCTGTCGGCCGTGTGAGTACAGTATGGCTGGTTACGTATATAGTGCTGAACCAAACCTTTTTAGAATGACATAGATCGCACTAAGACATTGAGTCAGCTTGGAGGTCTAGACCGATGCGGAAGATAGGGACAGCGTAGAGAACATACTGCTGGCAGTATATCGTCGAAGACTGCAAAGCTCTGTGACATTGCGATTCATATTGCATTCCCAATACAAGGACGATTGGATTGATAGAGTGGTTGTCCACGGTAGAGGATGAAAAGAAGCAACTTGGAAGCCGCGCGACCTGGACGGAATGGGAGAAACCTTTGCGCGGCTGACCAATGACACCTTATCATCATCAGATAACTTCCTCTCCACCACAAACAAATTATCGAAGGTATTTCTTTTTGTAAATGTGATGTTGAACATACTGATTCTAATCTTGGTGTGAGAGAATTCTGAAAATGTTGTTCTTTGGATAATTGTAACTCCCGTCCAATCTAGGCTATACTGCCAGGGACTGTACTGTACAATAAGCGAAGCCAACGTCATCAGCCTTGCCAGTAATCATAAAACCACACCCCTGAGGGACACTAAGCTGATCCTGTGTCCGATTCCTTTGAGCTAGACCCAATTCTTAATCAAGAGCATCTAGACCTTCAGCCTTAGAAACAATCTCGGATCTAGGCTGATGCTTCGAGTTGTCTTCTGCTCTAGGACCCACTTTCCTGAAATATTCGGACTTCCGAAAGACTATATCTAGTACGGAGTAAGTTACTGGTCATGCATTTGATATTTCTATCCAAAATACCCTCTCCACGATCACCGAAATCACCAAGGAATCTCCTCCCCGCGGTAAATCTCCGACCCGGCAACATGGATATTCCTAAACGTCCCGTTCGACTTCTCATCCGCCGCCACAGTCACCTCCAGCACAGCCTTTGCACCCTGGGACACGGTGAGGTCGGCCCCACTGCCCCCCATATCGGTTTGCAGCCACTTTTGCACACACACCCCGCCATATTAGCCTTGACCACGCAAAAGAAAGAAAAGACGAGAAAGCGAATTTGCCCCCGGATGCACCGCCATGAACACGAACCCGTCCGCCTCGTAAGACAGAGCATACTGCACCGTCAACGCATTCAGCGCCGCCTTGCTGACCTTGTACGCTGGCACTAGACTTCTAGATAGGTTCTGAACCGGGGCTGTCGGAACTAGATTTACATGCCGAACTCCCTCGGGGCCCGTGGGCCACCTTTCCCAAGTCGTCTGGATCTTCGTGCAGTACATGGGACAGTATGACACACCTTGTCTAGCACATGGGATTCATGCCCCCCAGAGGAAAGAAGACAAAACAGAACCAATCGCAATATCCGAATCCCGTCATTATTCATTCATAAAGATGCCATATAAAAACTACAAATACAGTCCGCAACCCCCAGCTCCATAAAAGCAATGCTCACCAGGAAGGCCTCTGGCAAATCAAACACCACTCACTCCACGGCATGCTCCGTCCCCTTCTCCCCAAGCTCATGCTCACCCGGGACCATCGACTCCGAGTTTCGTCTAAGCTTACCGATCAGCCACTTTCCAACAACCCAATGAACATTTGTCTAGTCAATGGAAGGGAAGGGTAGAACATACCGCGCATTAAACTCCTGAATCATACTCGCCATATTCCCCGCCCCGCTCGATCGCCGATCCGGGTGGTCGTTCGCCGCGCCCCCGAAACTGCCTAACAGCTCGTTGATTCCTGCGACGATGTCCAGGGCAGTCAGCATCCACTCTACTACATTCCCACCACATTTCCATCGAGATAATCAGTGGTTGAAAACTTACGCTGCTGATCCTGGTGCCTTTCTGCCTCAGCCAATTCACGCTGCGCGGAACTCTTGCGACGGTCGCGCTTGAGGTGGCCGTATTTCTGGACGAGATCCATTGTGCTATCGTTATCTTCTAGGTTCTTTTCTTTGAGAGGAAAGAGGGGGTTGTGAGTGTATGTTGTGAGTGTATCTTGATAGTTTGGGTTTTGGTTCAAGTGACAATAATCTGACTGACAAGCAAGTCACTAGCCAGGACCAACTATGCTCTATATACCAAGTCGACGACGGTCATTGCATCATCGCAATCACTAAGCCCTCCAATCGTCATATGATTCCCGCATTCCGAGGCAAATAAATCATCGACACGCATGGTGGTGGCCTAGGTGCCAATAACATGATCCCGTATCGAGATCTGCTTTGACAATGGAATGGTTGGTGGTGGGGCAAGGGAAGGCTGTTTTCGCCTCTTCAGGACCAAGATCTGCGTCATAGTGGCTGCGTGTGTTTTATACTCGGTACTCCAGCGGGGTTGCGTTCCGCTTGCAAAAGCCAAGCGCCCCCAATCCCCCAGCGATCGACGAGGAGGTGATGCCTGGATGACAATACTCCACTTGGCGCGAGGACCCCGGTTTTTTTCTTTCAGCTGATTGGGGTATTCGATCATTATGTTCTGGAAACGAACTATAATCGTATTGTGCGAAGCATAATTTGTGAAATGTGCGGGCAGTCACATCCGGATTTGGCTGGGCGCACAACCACGGCTTTCGCCACACTGCCAGCGGCTGGTTTGGCTGGAACGCCTCGAGGGGAGAAGAGGGCATTGTGCAACCAGAAAAGCTTCCGAGTGCGCATTCGAGCTATCTACACGGACAGGAGCGTTTTTACTTTACTCTGCACCGCCCCTGGTTGGATTACTGCTGGAGAGCCAGAAAATGTGATGTACAGTACTGCACAGCCACTACGCCCACCGTGTCCCTACTCGAACCGCTGCAACTCAGATATCACGTCCAACAGCGACCCAGTCCTTGACCCCTGGGACGGCCGTTTCGCAACATCCTCAAGCGGAATGTAGAAGGCTTTCCAGCCGGCATCGATCGCCGCGCGATAGTCCTTGTCGTAGTCATCACCCACGTGGACGCACGTCCAGTTGCTGCGTCCATCGCTGCCATGACGGTCCTCCTCACTCGCGCCCACCAGCTTCATCGCTTGGCGCCGGGCCACCTCAAAGATAATGGGGCTGGGCTTCTCCGCTCCCGCCTCGTAGCTGGTGATCACCAGGTCCAGATCGTAAACCGTCTCGTCGCTTTTGTGACAGTTGACTAGGCCTTTATCGCGCGGCCCCCGTATCTCGAACCCCGGCAGTTGTGTACTCGAAACATCCTGGTCGGCCCGACACATCCCCACCCGCAGGCCCAGCGACTCCAGCACGGCCGGCACCCGGTCATCGGAGTTGGACACCACGCCGACCACGACGCGATCGAACGGGCCCAGCCGCGTTTTCGTGCTTTTGAGGTGGCGGAGCCGCGTGAAGAACGCATCGGCGTTGGCGTCGAGTACGTAGCCGTCCCGGCACGCGAAGCGGTCGAGGAGATGTTGGACGAGGCCGTCGGGTAATGTGCTGTCTGTAGGGGTGGAGGCCGAAGAGTTGGTGGCAGAGCTAGAGCTAGGGGCATCTAACACGCGCGCGAAGCTGCCCCGGATCACCTCTTCCCACCATTGTCTTGGCCCGCCGTACTCGCCGCGCAGAGCTTGGGCGCGACCGTAGTTGGGGTGGGCTTGGGATTGGGCTTTGAAGACGGCCTTGAAGGCGGATTGCAGCCGGTCCGGGGTGACGGTGGCGCGAGGGAGGCCGAATCTGTGCGCGGCGGACGCGTATTGGTGGGGGACGGGGTCGCGGGGGTGGAAGATGGTGCCGAACGCATCGATCGTGAGGAGGAGAGTACGCGGGTTGCCGGGAGTGGGCTGGGAAGGCATGGTTCGTAAGGCTGGAGGCCGTGAGTTAAGGAAGATGGCCGTGGTTTGGCTCGGAGCTGCGAATGACGGAAGGGAGTCTCGGGCTTAGTGCTTCGGGCTTCGGGCATACCTGCGGTCGATCGGATAGTAGTACCGTTCTGAGCAATGAAGTCCGCGCTAGCCTCGGCGATAAGATTAGATTGGAAGTTCCTTTTTTTCGTCCGCGGCTTATCTGACGTGCAGTTTGTTACACTGAAGCTTTGTTTCAGTTCGGTTCACAACATCGGAAATATAGAGAGAAACTGTTGGGGAATCTGTTCTTGTCGAACTCAGGATTGGTGCCACTTCACCATGCGGAGTGCCTTGCTGCAGGCAAGGGACACCACGCCCTCGTTCCACAAGGCGTGCACGATAAATAATTGTACGGCGTAAACGTTGTCGCCTGAGCGCTGACGCGTCAGACCGAACCATCCCCCACTAGGAAGTCCCCAATCGGGTTTTGCAGGCAAAAGTTGCCTCCTATTCTTTCCCCCGAGGCGCGGGCGCTTGCAAGGCTGGCATACATATATCAAGTCACTCCACCCATTGAGTTCCATTAACCCAGCCTTATCATCATCGCCCCCTACTGCCAGACACCACCATGGGTGTCTCCCGCCTGCTCGTATCGTCCCTGGTATGGGCAGCGAGCACAAGCGCCACCACCACCACTGCAGAATTCTTTCCGAATGCAAACCACATCTTCAACTCGATCCACTCGTCGATGCGCCAATGGGGTTCCTCGCTGCAGCACAACGGCATGTCCTTCTTCCTGGCGACCGTCCCCGCCGGCACGCAGTTCTACCACGGTAACGCCAACCCCGCGCCGGTCAACGGGACGGAATGGCTGGCCTTTGAGCCCGAGCATGCGCTGGTCTTTGCCCGGCCGGGCCCGTTCAAGAGTCCGCCGCCTCCCCACGATGACGACGACGACGACGACGACGACAACGGGCAAAAGGGAGATCTGCGCAAAGAGAAGCGAGCAGAGGTTGAGCAACAGGAGGAATCGGAAGGCGGTTGGCTGCACACCTACACCGCCGCCAAGGACCTTCGGCTGCTGTACGCGGACGGCATGGCCGCAGGGAAGACCGCCAACGGGACGCTCGACGGCGAGGACCGGATCCTGTTCCAGGATAACCTGCCCAGCGACGGGGCGATGCACGGAGAGCGCGCGCGCGCGGTGGAGTTCTGCCGCATGGCTCGCGAGGACTTTCACGGTCGCCTGGACGGTTTCCTGCGCATGGAGGCCGGGTTTGAGATCATTCTCTGTGACTTCGCGCGGGATCTGAAGGAGGTGCGTGTCACGCAGGTCAAGTCGGATAAGGGGCCTTCGGGGGGGCCGGGGGAACCGGGCAAAGGGAAAGGAAAAGGGGGCCCGGGGGGAGGCGCGGATTGGATGAAGGCGATCACGGCGCGGTACGGCGGCATCGGCGGCCACCGCGTTGCGCTGAACTACGAGACGTTCGTGTCCGCCTACACGTACGGCCTGGATCTGTTCCACTCGACAAACGAGACCTTCAAGAATCCCCGTCTGATGCACCTCTCCGCGCAGCAGCTGCAGCCCATCCGCGACGACCTGTACCGTCTCGTCCTGGACCACACCGCCGCCGAGAACCTGTACGACTGGCAGGCGATCGCCGACATGGTCGTGGAGCGCTACGCGCGCGAGATCCGCTATCTCGCGTCCGGGGACGTGGCCACGGTGGCGGACCTGCATGCGGAGATCGAGACCATGCTGGTCCCGTTCATCGACTACTCGGACCGCGACACCGACGCGGAGCGCGAACGCTGCGCGCACCAGTTCCTCCCCGGCGAGATCGCCGTCGATGGCGTCGCGGCCCCCGCCATCCACTCCGTGGCCCGCAGTATCTGTGCGACCATGCTGGCCGCCTGGCAGGAGCCCGACTACCAGACCGCGGTGGACCACTTCCGCGAGCTGATGAACTACCTGGCCTGGACGACGTGGAAGCAGTGCAGCGGCTGCGGCGACCACGAGGTCTGCGTCGTCCCCATCTGGCCCATGGGCACCCTCGAGGACTATGAGCACCCGCAGTGCCGCGATTTCTCGAACCCCATGAGTCCAGGCCAGAGCTACTGGGGCGACCGCCGCGGGCCCCGGCCGCACGAGCCGGACGATGAGGACGGGCCGGCATCGGGCTGGATGGCGCGATTTGTGCGGTATGTGCTTGAGATCTTTCTGCGCATGCATATCTGAGGAGGTAGTGTCGGATCTTGGCTAGGCCTTTCTATTGGTTTTTCTTCTCCTTCTTTAACACTCCCCCATAAACTATCACCCCACAACTTGTGCCAGTCCTTCATATGTGAAATCCTTCTTTTGTTTAATGATTATCTGATCTTTATACTCTCGTTCTCCCTCGCTTAGTAAACCTTGTGAGGCTTCGTATCAGAACGCTGTCAACCCTGCGGGGGAGCTGGAAGCAACCAGCACAGATACACAACAGTTTTTAGCTTCTGGTATTTTTTCATAGTTAGCTGTATTGTGGCCGTCACCGATTCTGTCACTGGTGGTGACTGTCGTTCCTGCCTGGGGTGTCATCTGCATTATTAGTGACTACAGTCTACTGTATTATTATTTATAGCTATTCCAGTTCCTAGGGACCCCCTTTTTAATACAACTAATCTTTATATATTAAATAACTTGTTTATATTAATTGGTAGCATGTTCTGCCTGTATTTTTAATACTTAATTTCTTAGTATATTTATAAATTTTTATTTTTTATCTTTAATTTTATGTCTATATATTTTTTTACTTTATATATATAAACAGTATTAATTATACTAATTTCTGGGTCTTTATTAGTAAGCTACTGGTTATTTTTTTCTCTCCCCTTACCAGTAAGGCGTCTGTTTATTTTATATTTACTAAATACCAAATACTATATTTTTATTTACTAAAGTATTACTAACAGTGTCTTTCTTTTTAATATCTAAAAAAACAGTTTTAGTATTTTTTATCCAGTCTTATTTATTTCTATTTTTTAAATATAATTTTCTTATTTCCTATACCTGCTCTGCTTTTTTTTTATTTTATATTCCCTATATTTATATTTACTGGACTTTTATTAGTACAGTATTACTTCTATTACTATTAATATTAACTTTATTTTATTTAAATTATTTATTTACTTAATTTTTTATATATTTTTATTCTAGTATTAAATTATTATTATTAGGAATTTTTTCCT